GCACCCACAGGTATACAGTACCCACACACATACACATTACCCACACACATACAGAACCCACACACATACAGCACCCACACACATACAGCACCCACAGACACAGCACCCACAGACATACACAGCACCCACACACATACAGCACCCACAGACATACACAGCACCAACACACATACAGCACCCACACACACATACAGCACCCTCACAAACACACACATTACACAAACAGCACCCTCACGCACACACAGCACACTAACAGTACCCTCACACACAAACAGCACCCTCACACACAGTACATTAACAGCACCCTCACAAGCACGCACACACAAACACCCTCACCCACATAGCACACTACCAGCATCGTCACACACACATCACACTAACAGCACCCTCACACAGCACACACACACACAGCAGTGTGTGTATGTGTGTATATATATATATATATATACACATATATATATATATATACATACATATATATATATATATATATATATATATATGCGGTGTGTGCTTGTGCTTTAGGGTGCACACCCTAATGCAATAGGCTGCGCACGCCTATGTATGTAGGTTTAAAACTCAGCATATTCAGTAAAACAAGTCACCACAGGCCATCCAACGCGTTTCATTTTACTAGATTTCCTTGGGGACATTCAGCAATTGACAAACAAGTAAAAACAGTAAATATAACCCCCCTCCCTTAAAATTGCTCCTCTTGGACTTCTATTGACTCTCACTCCTTCCAGGTGCTTTATATTCTCAATTTCCTATAGCTTCATGCCGGGTGGGATGACGTCATCATGTCCACAGTGCCACGATGTCTGTGCAAGTGTCCGACAACCTGAACGCGGAATTTCTGAGTTCCATTGTGCATGCAGCCCGTAAAGTCGGCAAGTCCCTGGTTGCACTTCTACTTCTTTGGATTTCACCCATTGAAGGCACATTTACTGTTTGCATTTGTTTGTCATTTGCTGAATGTCCTTGAGGAAGCATTGTAGCTCAACAGCAGTTGATGTTCAACAGATTGGTCACCACCGGTTCAGTGCAACCAGTTCTTACTTTTGTCTTTTTATTGAACTCATCTTACAGGGGACCTTCTGCATATCCCTTATCTATACCCTTGTGGTCTCTACGACACTCTTGTGAACAGACATAAGTGGCAAATGAATGAGGCCCTAATGTTCGCCAGTTTTCTTCTTCCGATGTTGGAATATGCTCCTCAAAAACGTGCCAGTGCAGAAAAATGCCTACAGCACCCCTGGCTACAATGCTGAAGAGAAAGAACAATATTGTTTTATTTTCATCACAATATAAATATACCCTAAATATTGAATATGACTAACTCGATTACTATTATTTTTTACTGTATCCAAGCTTATAATAAAGATTAAATATTAATTTTGCAGGCTCAGAAGAAATTTGTTGACTTGGGATTAGTTGTTGTACCTTTTACTTTAAGGAACACTCCAAGCACCATAACCACTACAGTGTGCTGTAGCAGCTACAGTGCCAGGATGTGGCTGCCTTTGGTTGCTTTGTGTTAATCCAACTATCCCTAAAATACACAATGATGCTGTCAGTTCTCCATATTTCCTGGTTTGATGAATATAAGCCCCTGAACAGTATTGATTCTGGATACTGATTCTGATTCATGCTACTGTATACTGCAAGGGAGTTTAAAGTCAGAAGGGAGTTTGAAGGTTCCATATATTCACTGAAGACTCTGCATATGTTATTTGTAAAGTGTACAGACTAGTTTGGATAACAGTGAGTTAAATAAAGTGAGTTAGCAGTCTACACAGCAAATGTGAGAAAACTATACTGTACACTTTTCTGAAAAAGTTTAAAAACGCAAATGCATGGTTTACTGAAATACATCTGATACTTCTATTGTATTGTCTCTTAGTTGTAGGATTGTCTGAGCGCAAAGGGTCAGTTTAAGCAGTGAGGACTTTAAGTTCTTTGTACTGGGCTTAAAGCATCCAGAGCTCACTCTCTTGTATATGAGTGACTTATAGCAACACAGATAAGTAAAACCCAGTGGTGCTATGAGGCAACTCACCTGGCCTGTGTCAGTTTTGTACCTATTCTGTAAACAGTGTGCATGAAGAATAGACTGCTGGGACCATCCTGAATTTGGGATTATTTTCTGCCAGGCTTACATGCCGACTCTTCTCACTTTATGTTACCTCCTCCTTTCTGGCTTGCGCACCCCACTCCTGGATCTTTACAACGAAAAGTTGTCAGGTGTCTAAACTGTAGGCAGCGACAAAATGGAACTGAAGTTTGGGAATAAACAAGCTATCCATAAACCCCTGCTGGACTTGAGATTTTGGGATAAGATCATAGCATAGAATGACACACTCCTGACTAGAGCTTCTTATCCTGGTATGGAAGATGTCTGCTTGCAACAGAACCATTAAGTATTTCCAATGGCACACCTCAGGCTTTTTTGTTTTTATTTTCTTTTTCGTCAATTTTTAAAAAATTATTCGTCTATATATACTACATTAAAAACGTATGTTCCTTTGTTTACTTCAACTAACCATTTAATGGTAGTTGTAACCATGGCAGCATACATTATATTCCATTTATTTTGACACAGAAAGAGAGCAGTGTCTATATACCCACTTTCACCAATAGATGGCAGCTGTGCGGTCTAAATTAGAAGCAGATGCTGGACAACTGATGAGCGACAATGGGATGGACTGCAGTAGACACTGACCCCTTGAGGTTTTATTCATTCATTGTACTGTGACTTGTAGATAATTCTAAAGGAAATCTATAATTATAAACCAAAACAGAGGAGAAAAACTCTCAAACTCAGCTATTTTCCCAATTTGGCTATTTTGACCTAAATTTTCTAGTTCCCTTTTCACTCCTATACAATTCCTGGTTTAGAGAAAAAACCTTTTTGTGAAAGAGACTGAGTAAAGCAACTAGACGATCAGAAAGAGGGTGTAAAATAATTATTCCTATGTATATATTTTTCTTTCTTCTTGTAAAAATGGCACATCTTGGGTCAAATACATAAATTTAATATGTGTGTCATATAAAAATAAAACACAATCAGACTTAGAAAAACCGATGTATTCATTTTGCTTCAAACATTAGATAACTCTTACAGCTTCATTAATGTTAAATGGTCAACAATGGATGGTATTGCTGAGTGTGTTTGGTGGAGATACACTGCCCCCACAGTGGAACGCACACTGCAGAAAGCCAAATAGGACACAATTGAAACAGGAAATACATCAGCGCGTTCCACGGTGGGATGCACGCCAAATACACGTGGAAATCATTTGCTACTCACCGCGAGGTATTTAAAACAAAGAGACAAACGTCATCATATAGATAGAAGTGTAGAGGAAGTCCTATACCAAGGACGAAACGCGTTGGATAACCTAGGACTATCAGAGAAATTTTATTCTACTTTTTATTTAGTTTTATTGGCATGTTTTTATGGGTTTTTTTTGCTTATTGGGCTGTACCTTCTACTTAAGAAGCAGATCCCCATACACTATACCACCTATGTGGAGATATGCCTGTTTACTTCTTTTAAGTGTAAGTGCAATACCATTAAACTTTATTACTGTTTTGACTTTTTCCTATTGTATTACACTATGTACTGTTTGTAATTTCTGGCTTTAGAATCTCTACTTTATCCTGGATACATTGTACCAGGGTTGCATTTCATTCATATAGCAGGTTGTTTTCCCATTTTTACTTTGTTTATCAGTGTTTGCTGGTTTTCCTTTTCTCTTTTCACATACATAACACTCAGCCTCTTTCACACAAAAAATTCAGTCATCAAGCACAACACTCTAATTGCACACACAGACACATTCTCCTCACCCGCATACAGCTCTCAGCCTCGCCCACCCACCCACCCACCCACAAGACTCAGCAATATTGTGGCCCTGGGCAATGCTAATTTGGCTCTGCGGTGCAGACAACGCCGCTAAAGCATTACCGGCATGGTCCTAGTGCCCTCAGCACAGCAGGAACACATCTAATGATGTGTCCACAATGTGCTGGCTGGGGACATATCCCTAATGAGCCCTGAAGAAGGAAACCAGAGAACCAACCTGGGACAATGGGACGGAATTCAAAACACAGACTGTCCCTCTGAAAACAGTAGCCCATGCCCATTCCCAAGCCACCTTATGTGTCTCATTCTCCCTACAGCCCCTCCATATGTCTCATCAACTCTGCCATCTACTCCATGTGTCTGATTCCCCTCCCCCGCTCCTCCACGTGTCTCATCTCATTTGTGACATCATCATCAGCAAATGGCCCATAGGGAAAGCATTTAATTGGCGGGGGCGGGGCCAAATACAATTTTGGGCAATCAGGAAATCCTTATAGAGATGTATTGAATCAATGCATCTCTATGAGTTAAATTCAGTGAACGCTGAACGGCAGGGCTGCCTACTGTGCAGCACTGAGCCAGGAAGCACCTCCAGTTGCCATCTGAAGAGTGACCACTTGGAGGTTTCCCTAGGGGCAATGTAAACACTGCCTTTTCTCTGAAAAGGCAGTGTTTAAATGAAAATGCCTGAAGGGGGCTATTATACTCACCAGAACAACTACATTAAGCTGTAGTTGTTCTGATGACTATAGTGTCCTTTTAAATTCAGTTTTTAGTGACCCTGCCAGTGAGTGTTATAGTCTGGCAATACCACCACCAACCACCAGAGGGCGCAGCTCTGTTTTACATCACCTGCGCCGATAGTGGCTGCCTCCTGGACCGCACTCTATACCCTGCGCTTCCTGTCACGTGATTCTGGTAATCATCTTGTTCTTGAGCAACTGCTGGAGAGCTGAGAGCGCCATCCCGAACAGAGACACGGGAGCCGAGTATAGAGCTCGCACCACCGGGGACCCAACACAGGGGAGAGAGACCACTGCCAATCAATCTATATCAGGAGGAGCAAAGATTGAGAGCTCTGTGCCAGAGTGCGGGGAATAGAAGGTACAACGAGTCACTAGAGGATGGGGGCATGCACAGTGCAGGAGGGTACAGGGGGCATGCACAGCGCAGGATGGTACAGGGGGCCTGCACAGTGCAGGAGGGTACAGGGGGCATGCACAGCGCAGGAGGGTACAGGGGGCATGCACAGTGCAGGATGGTACAGGGGGCATGCACAGCGCAGGAGGGTACAGGGGGCATGCACAGTGCAGGATGGTACAGGGGGGCATGCACAGTGCAGGATGGTACAGGGGGCATGCACAGTGCAGGATGGTACAGGGGGCATGCACAGTGCAGGGGGGTACAGGGGGCATGCACAGTGCAGGAGGGTACAGGGGGCATGCACAGTGCAGGAGGGTACAGGGGGCTTGCACAGTGCAGGAGGGTACAGGGGGCATGCACAGCGCGGGATGGTACAGGGGGCTTGCACAGCGCAGGAGGTTAGAGGGTCATGCACAGCCAGGAGGTTAGAGGGCTCGCGCACAGCGCAGGAGTGTTGGGAGGGGTCATGCACAGCGCAGGAGTGTTAGAGGTCATGCACAGCGCAGGAGGTTAGAGGCATGCACAGCGCAGGAGGTCAGAGGGGCATGCACAGTTTAGGAGGTCAGAGGGGCATGCACAGCGCAGGGAGAGGTCAGAGGGGGCATGCACAGCGCAGGAGGTCAGAGGGGGCATGCACAGCGCAGGAGGTCAGAGGGGGCATGCACAGCGCAGGAGGTCAGATGGGGCATGCACAGCGCAGGAGGGTACAGGGGTCATGCACAGCGCAGGAGGTCAGAGGGGGCATGCACAGCGCAGGAGGTCACAGTGGGCATGCACAGCGCAGGAGGTCACAGTGGGCATGCACAGCGCAGGAGGTCACAGTGGGCATGCACAGCGCAGGAGGTCAGAGGGGGCATGCACAGCGCAGGAGGGTACAGGGGGCATGCACAGTGCAGGAGGTTAGAGTCCTGTCCCCCCTCTTCCGTACTAATTCATTGTCCCCACACCCCCCTCTGTACTAAATTCCGCATACCCCCTCCCCTCTATACTAAATCCCAGCACCCCTCTCTATCAGGGATCAACCGATATCGATTTTTAGAGCTGTTACCGAAAATCTGTGAACTTTCAGGCCGAAAGACGATAGCTTATCTTTATTCTGTACATTTACTGTTTTTAAAGGAAAAAAATTTTTGCAAATCTTTTTTTTTTTTTTTATTTATTAAGTGGTAAATGTACAAAATATAAATGTCATATTTTTTTTTGATGCTTTCAAGAATATTTCTGTGTGTGTTTCTGTAGTTGATGCAGTGTGTTTGTGTGTAAATATGTGCGGTAGGAACACCCCATTCCCACAGACTTCTCCTCTCCGGCTGGGTAATTTTGGCAGAGTAGACACCTGTAATGTGGGGAGAGCAGTTGCCTACTCTGCTTTACTAAGCATGGCAAACTCGCGGCTCGCTGGGCCGCAAAAATATTCATTGTGGGCCGCGAGTTTGACATGCTTGATGTAGGAGGTGGAGGTGGTATGCATGTACACGTGAATCCTACATACGGCACTCCATTGTTTTTTTTCATGTACTATCTCGCATCACATTGGAGGGATATTTGTTGAGCAAAACAGTAGATCTGACTACCACAGATACTAGAGAGAAAACAAATTAATATTAACTATGTTTTAATGGGGTGTATGTTTAGTTTGCTGTCTACTTTTTACTATGTAGAAAATATATTCTCAACAAATTGTATTCAAAACGTATATACCAAGCAATACTGAGAAATGTAAACTTTTTTTTTTTTTTCTTCTTCGTTGAAGATCTAATGGAGACATGCGATCAGGAAAGCTCGGAGACGGCAGAGGGAACAATGAATGTTAATGTAGACTATTTACAGCAGCTTAAAGATCTTGACATTCCTGAAGAAGAGGCCAAAAAGGTAAATATTTATTCACTTAAAAAAAAAAAAAAAAAAAACATTTTTTATAATTTTTGTGTATTGAAGCATTTGTATGTTCAAGACAGACTAAACTGTATTATCTGATCACCCTTCATCCCTTTCTTTCTTCTGTTTAGGCACTTATTCTAACTGGAAATGTCTCTGCAGAAGAGGCTGCCATATTTTATTTTGACAGTCTAGAGGACCAGAATCCAGTAAGTAATTTTAATTTACACATAATAAACTAATGGGCTTACTCAAACCAGTAACTGGGGGATAATTAAAAGTGAATTGCATATTTTAGGCTAAAGGTTAAAAAAAAACTGGACCCAGTATGTGCATTTATTTTTAATTTTCACCTTGCCTTTGTGTGTAGAGGGGAAAACAAAGAATAGTGTAAATTAGGGTTAATTCAATTCATTTAAGAAGAAGATGCACTCCACTGTATTTGTAAAAAAAATAAAAATGTATTGCATCTCATTGAGAAGGGTGGAAGGTATCTTAACATACCTGCCACTTCTATTGGCTCTGTTATAAAAATCGTACTCTATCTAGCAGGTATTTTATAATATAGGTTAACTAAATTATGAAATTAATATTCACAAAAATGTCAATTTGAAATTATAATAACCTTAAATACCAAGTATAAAATTGACTTTACATTAATTGCTTCCTTTTTATTAATTATCAAAATAATTTATTTAATGAAGCTGAACAAACTAGTTTAGTACAATGAAAAGTTACATTGATTAAATGAAAACGTGACCCTTTCTCATGTTATAAAAATGGCACATTATATATGTATATCATGTTGCCAATCTTTTATTTGGAGATGTGGTGTCATGCAGAATGTTCCAATAAGAGAGAGAGAAAAGGACATTTTACAAAGACTTAACTAGTCTTCTATTCTGTACCTTTGATACTCGGTCCATCCCATCTCATGTGATGTTGCTTAAGACTACATGGCTTCCTCCAGGATAAAGTGGGTATGGGTTAGAGAGGGGGTAATATGTTCCAGTTGGTGTCTCCATAACAAGACTGACCAGTTGCTTCTTACTAGGGCATTACATAAAACTAAAATCATGTAACTTTGATCACAAAGTAACCAGCCATTGCAGTCCTTCTACAATGTGCTAATCAAATGGGAAGTATGCAGAAAGCTTATTTGAGCAGGGTCCTCTTTAACTTATCGTTCCTGTAAAAAATTTTGTAATTGCCCTATTTATAGTTAAATCCCCCCCCTATTGTAAAGCGCAACGGAATCTGTTGGCACTATATAAATGGCAATAATAATGACTATACCGTAGCATATTTACCATGGCAGAATTTGAGGTGCTTGCATTGGTTTTGCTAACTCTGTGAAGCTTACTGAACTAGAAGCAAACCTCACTGGCTGTCCGTTTCTACATCCAATTCTAAAAGTGCAGATTTCTATTGAAGTCAGCACATTTATTTTCTAAACGGTCAAAACAAGAGACACCAAGTTTTTTGTGTGTCTGGAGTATTTCTTTAAAGGACCACTCTAGGCAGCTTAATGAAGTGGTCTGGGTGCCAGGTCCAGCTACTGTTAACCCATTTTTTAATAAACATAGCAGTTTCAGAGAAACTGCTATGTTTATGAATGGGTTAAGCCTTCCCCTATTTCCTCTAGTGGCTGACAGCCGCTAGAGGCGCTTGCGTGATTCTCACTGTGATTTTCACAGTGAGAGCACGCCAGCGTCCATAGGAAAGCATTATAAATGCTTTCCTATGTGACCGGCTGAATGCGCGCTCAGCTCTTGCCGCGCGTGCGCATTCAGCCGACGGGGCGGAACGGAGGAGGAGAGAAGGAGGAGAGCTCTCCACCCAGCGCTGGAAAAAGGTAAGTTTTAACCCCTTTCCCCCTTCCAGAGCCGGGCGGGAGGGGGTCCCTGAGGGGGTCCCTGAGGGTGCCAGGAAAACAAGTGTCCTATAGTGGTCCTTTAAGGCTAAAATATATGAACATTCTCCAACCTAAAATGAGGCTATTGCTGTCAATTCTGAAGAATTCATAATGATTCATGCTTGTGGTTTGTACGTATGTTTTGCATTTAATTTCCCAAACGAAAAATTATAAATGTCACATTGGTCTAATCGTTAAACGCTGAATTTGATTGTGCAGAATTGGCTGATCAAATGAATCCTGTTTCTGCCGTTCATTTGAAAATATCTCAACTGAACTTCGGCCAAATTGTTAATGCTGTTAATAGAAGAGTGGGTTTTGAGGGGATTTAATGTTGGAATAACCTCATGGAGTGAAAGGGGCTTGGGAGTAGCATTAGCATGACATTGGGCCACGGAGGCTTAAAGTTTTAATATAAGTTCCCCAGGTCTGTATCAGGTTAGCTGGAACGAATAAATGAAGGCACTTTGGTAGCGGCTCCGCCTGCTGAAATGGTTTAAAACAGCAGCATTTTGAATAGAGCCTACAGGATTTCATTGAAGATCCTAAGGATGCTAAAATATGTTACATAAAGAGTAGGATTGTGCTAAATTTATAGATCTTGAAATAGATTTTTACAAACCACTGCATACACAACAAAGGGGTGTTCATATCCTTATGCTGCAAGTACAGAGAAAAAGAAAATTACATTTTAGTTCCTTTATACTAATAATTTTTTGCCCCTACTCCTTACGTTAATGCTTTTTTTTTTTTCTCTGGTGTATTGTAAGATGTCTAAATTTTACAATTCCGCTTCCATTTGCTACAATTTAGAATTTCCATAATATCCCTGTTCATAACAAGCAAGTGGGTAAAAGGATTAATTCAACTGACTAGTGCTAGAAATTTATTTTAAGACCTGGAGGCTTTTATTGTGCGTAACTCTCTTTCTCTACTTAAACACAGCAGCAAAGAAAACAATCAATAAAAAGTGGTTTAGTCAAGAATAGAAGAATATCATTACACGTGTAATATTTCTATTTGTTTTGCTCTTTTGATGCATTGTACATTTTTTTTTTTTATTTATTTTTTTTTTATTTATTTTTTTTGTTTTTGTTTTTTTTAGGAAGGGGATGAAGATCAAAACTATTACAAAATGGTGTTTGTGGTGAATATGGAGCTGCCAATGGGCATGGGAAAGGTAACTTTTTTTTATTTTGCTGTTCTGTTAATACACAATACAGAGTATATAGATATAGGATCCTTCTACTTTGTAATGACATGATCCCTGGTTTCCTAAGCCGTAAGAAACAGAGGACAGCCACACATTACCATTCACAGTTCTACGGGAACTAGGCATCAGAACCCCCAGTTGTTGTTGTTGTTGTTGTCTTTGTATATATTACTATTATTGTTGTTAACCATATTTGAATTGGTGTTTACAGCAAATCATAGATTGTACGACGACTATCCACCATACTGCATAATCTGGTGTTTCAACAGATATTGCTACATTTGGTGGTTCAGCACACAGATAATCAATGTGCTATAACACATTCTTGAGAATATGTACTAAAACCACGCGTTATTAGTTTGTAAAGGCAGATCAACCACATTCATTATCCAGTAGTTCACCTGATAATCCAAAATGGAAGCAAGTTCTATTACTGTATAATTTAATTCATATTTTACAAATGATTTGTTTACCGACAATACTAGTCTTCATTCTTCAATAAAAAATCTTTCTGGTACAAGCAAATTTTATCTAGCCTTTAAAGTCTGGAATAAGCACTAAATACCATTTTTAGCCACTGATTTGTAATTTTTTTTTATCACCAATTTAGTTGGGAAAAACAATGGAGAAAATACAGTATTTATCATATAGAGATGTGTCTGCCACAGTAGAAATGCTTAAGTTAAAAATAGCACATGAGGATCTAATTCTGTTTATGGCTGAGCTCAAACACGTGTTCTCAGATCCTGCCCACTGACAAAAAAAAATAGATTGTGTTGACAAGCTACAGTGTGAAAGATGCATAGAGGGGAGCAGTGGTGTTGCCATGGTAACTGGCATAGCACTTTTTTTTTTTTTTTTATTCCTCTGTTTCTACATTATTAGTTAAACAGAGAAAACTGATTCCTAATATTGTAAATGCCTATGCAAAAAAATAACAATAATACAAAAACTTGTTTATTCACCATTATGCATCCTATAGTTTGGCTATTTTAGTGTAGGGGCAATTGTTCTTGAAGAATGACCGCACACTGTGTTTTGGGGCTGTGAGGTATGAGATGTGCGTGCCTCACTAAAAATGGTATGAAATGTCCATGGTGTTCTATTTTAAATTTGTAACTATAGAAGACATTGCCAATCTCACAAACTATTAAAATATGTTCAAGAGAGAAAAACGTTGTATTTCTCTCGCTAATTCTATATCATTTTTGGGAGAAAACTCTCTCACTTGCTGATAGGCTTCCCGACACAGTGCTGCAGTTAAAACACTAATGATGAGAGGAATGACATGGTGGGCTAGTACTGGGGAAATAGCAGGTTCACAGCTGTTACAGAATTCTAATTGTTATTGTAACGTCACAAACTGTGAGATTGTAAAGCATTGTGGGAGTTGTAGTTATTCAAAGGATGGGATCTCTGTTCCTTCCACCCTCATATTAGTAAATTTATTTGAAAGGTACATTGATATACAGGAGATGTAACTGTATGTTATAGACCAAAACGGTATTTAAGCATATTTTTTTACAATTATGATATCAAGCTTATTATATGTCAAAAATAAAATTGAAATTGTTTGTTTCCCTTCTAAATGCATTATTTTGAGGTATTTCAAAGATTCTGTATACAATTAAAAGGTGAATACTGCTCTCCCAAAGCTGGATGTAGCAATTAATTTGCAGTCACAGAGCTCTATTATTTGAGGAACTGCAAGTGTTCAAAACAGTATATATTAAAATTAACAGGCTACCAACATAGCAGTCATAAATGTTTTTTTATATGGGACATAAATCCAAATACCTTCAACCTCAATGTACAACTTAGGATATTGGGGCCAAAACACCTGTCCTATCCCTGTAGGCTCGAATAAAAGATAATTTTCTGCAATATACTTTTTGGCTTATTGAGTCCATCTTTCTAAATGATACAGTATAATTGGTAACATTTTTACTCTCTCTTGATATTTCTACAATTGATGAATTTTAGGGAAAGATTTATTAAAACATGTGCTGTATCAGAGCAATCGCCATGGAAACCTATAGAATCATTTTCAACATTTAGCAATTTGCACCCAAAAGAACACCTGTTTTTTTTTTTCGTTTTTTTGTTAAATTTCACCGTATATGTCTTCACTTAACTTATGTGCCCAATAATCTAGCACATTAAACTGTTTATTGCTTACTTCACATGTATTAAGCTGAAAATTAATTTCATTGAAAAAAAAATGTAATTTGGTTTTGTGATTTTGCAAATAAAGATTGTGAAATCAATGTTACTCTCCCAGGTCGCGGCACAGGTGGGACATGCAGCAGTTGGTTTATATCAGCTTCTACTAAAGGAATCAAAGACGAGGGATGTGGCCTGCAAATGGGATGAATATGGGTATGTTTACTAGGAAACCTCACCGTGTTTCTCCCCTCCCCCCACCCTCTATTCAAAGGAAACTGTATTTTTGCTCTCTTTAAAAAGCATCAAATTGTGTGTGTGTGTGTGTGTGTATATATATGTATGTATGTGTGTATATTCTATATATTTGTGCTAGATTTGTAGTATAGATTTGTAGTAATGCCAATTTACAAATGGATATTTATCTCTCCTGTCTATCAATTCTTAGCCATAGACTCTGTGGTAAAAATTTGATAAAGGATAGAAGAATACACCACCCACAGATCTGCTTCTGCTCACCCTGCATATTAACCACAATGCATGCTGTGAATAAAATGAATCAGTTCACATTTGGAATTTAAAACATGAATACCTATGGTCATGTCATGTATAGCCTTTCACTTTGTCACAGAACACTTTTTCTCATAAATCCTGACCCTAATACTATCGCTTACTGTAAATTTTATTACTGACAGTTTTTATGGACCTCCTCATACACTGGTAATGGGGCAGAGGTGTGTGGGTAAGGGTGATGCAAAGTTTAGAAACGTGATCATAAGTGTGTGTGTGTGTGTGTGTGTGTGTGTGTGTATGTATGTATATATGTGTGTGTGTGTGTGTGTGTATATATATAAATTTTTTAAACAAAAAAACTTGCTTTATCAAAACTATTAACTGAGAGCAACATGTAATATACAATAGGGGGTAATGGGCAGAACTCGCATGAACCAGAGCCCTATCTCCCCTGGCTCTGCATTTGAAAAGTTCCACTGGAGAGGGAAGTATCCCACACTGTGCTGACACGATCTGGATGGTATACTCCCAGTAAGCAGATTATTCTATGCACTACAGGACAGAGGGAGGCAGAAACCCCTAGTACCGTTCTCAATTTATTATAAAAAAAATTTGTGGGTATGCCAGTAAAAACTACCCACATACAAGCATGTAAGGACAGTGTTAAACGGCTTCCACCATTCAATACAGTTACTTCCGGGTTTGCCAGTCTCAATCACGTGATCTCTTCCAGGTCCGCCTCTACAGTGACTTAACACTTAACCCGTTTCGAGGTCAGAAGAAGCCCAGGCGGGCCTAACGCGTCACATGTGACGTTATAGGAGAGGCGGACCTGGAAGAGACCACATGATCGAGACTGGCAAACCCGGAATTGACTGTATTGAATGGTGGAAGCAGTTTTACTCTGTCCTTACATGCTTGTATGTGGGTAGTGGCATACCCACCATTTGTTTTTGTTTTTTTTGGTTTAGAACTATTTTGTGGTCCGTTCAAGCGTGCTCAATTTTGGTAATATTCTTATTTGTGTATACATCTTTGTGTCACTGTGGTACAGTGCAGCTGAACGGAGTGCCTCATCACCTCTATAGCGCTTAAACACTTTTTGATTTCTATTGAAAGCAACATGTATCCACAATGCGTAAAGAAAATGTAAATGTCTTGCTTTAAGATATCTTTCTAATGTTGGTATATCTTATTATGCGTTGTTTTCTAATGTATAGATAATAGGGAGATAAAGTGGGGATACCCAGAATTGGCTAAATTTCATAGACCTAGACTGTCACCTAATTTTCAACAGCCGTAACTCCCACTGCAATGGAGAAAATTACTCCACGGATTTACTAATTTCTCATCAATCAAAAATTAAAAGTTAGACAATTGTTACCGCATATACAATTTTTAAAATAAGTTTGTTAACCCCTTAAGGACACAACTTCAGAAATAAAAAGGAATCATGACGGAATAGTTCCGTCATGTGTCCTTAAGGGGTTAAAAAAAGATTAGGAAAACCTTATCCCTACCTTAGTATTTAACAGGATCAATCTGCCATATACATACTAAGGATTGACCGATTATCGGTTCGTCCAGTATTCTGTAATTTCGGCAATATCGGTATATAGAGATACCGATATTGCCGATAATACATACCAGGACCGCCCGGCTCATTACAAGCCAGGCAGTCCTGGAGGGCCCGCAGCAAGCTCTTACTTACCTTCCTTTCAGCTCCCCTGTGTATACACACTACACAAACAAACACACTCTGCATTTAATATATACACACACTACACAAACACTGCATTCACTATACACACACTACATTCACTATACACACTGCATTCACTTTATGCACATTACACACTGCATTCACTTTATGCACATTACACACTGCATTCACTATATGCACACACTGCATTCACTATATGCACACACTGCATTCACTATATGCACACACTGCATTCACTATATGCACACACTGCATTCACTATATGCACACACTGCATTCACTATATGCACACACTGCATTCACTATATGCACACACTGCATTCACTATATGCACACACTGCATTCACTATATGCACACACTGTATTCACTATATGCACACTGCATTCACTATATGCACACACTGCATCACTATATGCACACCTGCATTCACTATATGCAATACACTGCATTCACTATATGCACACACACACTGCACACATTCACTATATGCACACACTGCATTCACTATATGCACACACATCACTATATGCTGTATTCACTATATGCACACACTGCACTACTATATGCACACACTGTTCACTATATGCACACACTGCATTCACTATATGCACACACTGCATTCACTATATGCACACACTGCATTCACTATATGCACACACTGCATTCACTATATGCACACACTGCATTCACTATATGCACACACTGCATTCACTATATGCACACACTGCATTCACTATATGCACACACTGCATTCACTATACGCACACACTGCATTCACTATACGCACACACTGCATTCACTATACGCACACACTGCATTCACTATACGCACACACTGCATTCACTATATGCACACACTGCATTCACTATATGCACACACTGCATTCACTATACGCACACTACACAAACACACACTCTGCATTCATTATATACACACACTGCATTCACTATACGCACACTACACAAACACACACTCTGCATTCATTATATACACACACTACATTCACTATATACACACACTCACTGCATCCACTACACAAACACACACTGCATTCACTAATCAAATACTCTCACTGCATCCACTACATACACGTACATTCTTGAAAATGGTACAGAATATCGGCTAATTGGCCTGGAAGTTCCGAGTATCGGTATCGGCTCTAAAAAAAATCAATATCGATCCATCCCTAATACATAAACCTTGAAACAGACAGTCTCTATGGTCTTCACTGCTTCTGAACAAAGGTATACATGTATGTATAAAGTTTGAAGGATCCTGTCATAAAAGTAGGGATGAATTATTATTTTTTTCTTTGAACATATACTTCATTGAACAAAAAAAAAAAAAGAGTGCAGTTCTAGGAACAACTAAGATACTGTGCAGAACCCTCAGACTCATACGCCTCTCGGAGGACCCGAGAATATAATATAAAATAATATATTTTCAAAGAATGATGAAAGGATTATTTATATTTAAAAAGAAAAATAATTTTTCGTTGACAGCTGTCCTTTAATTTCAAATCAAAGGAGTCAAATTAGCCAGACAAAAAACAGCTGACTACTTAATGACACTATCAGGATTTCAGTGCCAGCTGTTTGTCTTGATAACTTCCTTGTGGGTTGTACGATGCCATGCGTTTAGACTGGAAGAAAAAGATTTCGTCTAAGGCAAAGGAAAGGTTTTTTTACTGTAAGAACAATCAGGATGTGGAATTCTCTGCCTGAAGAAGTGGTTTTATCAGAGTCCATACAGATGTTCACACAGCTACTAGATGCATACTTGCAAAAACAGAATATACAAGGATATAATCTTTTAATTTAGGATAATAACTGCTTGATCCAAGGATAAATCTGACTGCCATTCTGGGGTCAAGAAGGAATTTTTTTCCTAGCTTGTTGCAAAATTGTGCTTCAAACTGGGGGTTTTTTTTTGCCTTTTGGATCACAGCAAAAAACAAATGTGAGGAAGGCTGAACTTGATGGATGCAAGTCTCTTTTCAGCTATGTAACTATATAACTATCCTTTTGATATAACTTTAATAGGGATTGTTTATAATGTATGTCTCTAAATTGACCCTATAAAAATGCCAATATTGCTTCAGTCATTAATGCACTGAAATTCTGAAAAACCTTGCTCATAAAAGGTTTCATTTATCTTTTTCTTCTTATTCATCTATTACTGCTTATTTCATTACTGCTTACATGAATTCCATTATGTCACGTGAGCAGTTTATCTAATAAACTGCTTACGCATATAGTTGTCTTAAAAAACCCCACGACATTTACCTGGCTATCCTCAGATTTGTAATTCTTAGATCTTTTTCTTCTGTATGCTTTATGAGACCTGCACCTGTTCAACATGTATGTAACATGAGAGTTCAGTGTTTTGCTGAGACATCTTTTTTTTAATCTAATCCATTTAATTAACAAGTGAAAGATGGATTTCTGCTTATCATGTGAAAACACAATATACTGTATATTATTGTATAACTACATCACCTGTTTTTTATTTATTTTCCCCCCCTCTGTGTAGGGCTAAGAAGGTTGTCCTTCAAGGTTCTAACACCACTCACCTATTGGAACTGCAGGCTTTGGCACTTAGTATGAATTTACCAACGTATATGGTGCAGGATGCAGGCAGAACCCAGGTACGTGGATAAGACAGCTGAAATACAAGTCATGACCCATTACGCCCAACAGCTGTAGGTGTGTCAAAGCTGCATTCATGTTTTACTGGTTTCTTGTGATCTGATATGAGCTCTTGATGATGTGTGGCCCAGACTAAAGATTAATTGTGCAGCCTGTATCATATTGTTCACATTCGGTAACAAGACAGCAGCGAGAGCTCTGTGCAGCAGTTAAATGAACACACTTACCGCTCCACAACTTGCCTGCATCATATTGTTCACATTCGGTAACGAGAGCAGCGAGAGCTCTGTGCAGCAGTTAAATGAACACACTTACCGCTCCACAACTTGCACACAAGAGGACTGAACTTACTCTCCCTATTAAGTGGAGTGGGTTTGTTTAGATTTAGAACTTTAGGTAAGAAATTTATGTAAATATGGTAAGAAAAAATTCCAGCAGTTTAATTTTGTGCATGAATTCTGTTTACGTCCATTTAGCGATAGTGATTCTCGGAGACTGCTAACATTACATTTCACATCAGATTGCAGCTGGGTCATATACGGTCCTTTCCGTCATCGGTGAAGAAGAATGTGTAAATAAAGTGACAGGAAAACTCAAGTTGCTGAACTGAATATGTGTAGGTATCTGAACGGGATCGACCCCGCGAGACCAGTGGAACTGGTGGAAGGAAGACTGGCACAACCATCCCCAACACTTCGCCATACCACATGTGCATAGCCTATGTCTGCATGGGCAAGTGTGATGGGGCTGTTGTCATCGGATCCTGCACATGATCCATTATGTTCTAAAGCCCTCTTAAGCAAGTCAAAAAACAAAACACCGGGCTGGCAGAAAATCCATAGCCATTGGTGCAAGCAAAGATCACTAGTGAATACAGTTAAGCACCTCTTCAGCCAATCTAACTTTGTATTAGTGCTGTATATACTATATTGTCTGGTAACAAACAGCTGTACATTAACACTAAATCAATTTGTATTCTGTGGACATGTATATAAATCCGTCTTAAACCCCTCCACCCATCCTTAAATGTATGGGGCTGTTGTGTTGTTTTTGTTTTTTTTTGCTTAAACTGCCTCTTGACATTTTCCTGCTTCACGTTTGTAAAAATTGCCACAAACTATTGAGGCCACAAAATTGTAGCCACAGTTGCCAACAATTATGTATTTTCTCTCTGAAATAAACTGTTGAGTATGTATTGAACTTGGCAGCGCTGATAGATGTTTTATCGTAATAATTGTCTGACCTGCTCTCAGCTTAAAGAAACCTTGCTATGCATACTCAAACTATTTATAAACTATGATTTATTTTATTTTTTTGCCAACACTTTTCTGAAGAGGTTTTGGCGCAGTTTATTTCCTCACTCATTTAACTCATTTTTGAATATTTCTGCCAATATGGCAGCATCATGTTTTCAGATAACTAATGTGATCACAATAATAAGAGAATTTAACTGCCGTTTTTCAGGACCCTTTGATATATCGCCAATCTTGTTTTTCCTCCCCCAATGCAATGTATCACTTCCTGGCCGTGCTAGGAATGAACTGGATGCAGATGTCTGTGGCTAAATCTATTTGTACAATCTAATATACATTTAAAATAAATCCTGTGACAAATGGGTGAATTTCAACTCTTTTTCAGTGATGTTATTTCTAGAGAAGTGAGTTACCTTTTAAGTTGTTTACAGACGTTCACTGTATTGCCAATGATATAGTTATATTTTCCCATAACTACCTATAAAGTTATGTTTTCTCTATATGTACCTTGAGCAAATTATTAGAGTAGAAATGCTAGTATTTTGAGAACATGCTACTGGGTCTAATACAAGTGTTGGAAGTATTTTCATTTTGTTTCCTCCCTGCAGAAAGCTTTTGAACATTCCCACCTTCATAAATGTTTGGTGCTGAAACATATAAAAATTTAATTACCAATTCTGAGCATTCCTGTAATGAGGTTGTCTATGGTCTCAGAGCGATGGCCGTTGAAATTTTGAAGCCTCCGGTTGATCCTCCTTTGTAGGATGTTTCTGGGCAGATTTTAAAAGCAAGTCTGCAAATGCTTGTGCTTCATTGGGTCTTTTAAATAATAATAAACATAGAAAAAATAGCACGCCTGTAACACATTGTTTAGTCTAGTCTAAAATGTTTATTACAACTGGTCAATGAACTTGGGACGGGTGTGGGGGGTGTTTTGTGCTGTCATTTTGTATAGAAAAGTTAAAGTAAACTGTTCCTGCTTTTTGATTAAAATTTTCCAGTTGTGTGATACTTGTGTGAATTTTTTTTTTTTTTTTTAATGCAAACAATTTAAATTTGTTTAAATAACCTCATAAGAAGCACTGTTTACATGCCCATGAATGCTATTGCACATTTTATTTACATGAACGCCCTAAGCACCCTAACCATTAGTGTGGTTATGAGGCCGGGAGTCAAACATTTTGCAAAAAATGGACACTCAGCCAGCTTAGCCAGGGAACTCATGGGAGCTCGTAGCTCTCCTGGAGGCTGTGACCAGCAAACTGTGGACCACAAACCAAATGGTTTAACTACTTTCCCTGGGAGGGAGGCAGAACACATAGCTACTGTAGTGTAGTGTTCCTTTAACAATATGTTTTGTTGTTGACTTGACAGCTGACTTGGAAAATTTACTCAGAAGAAGTCGGATTAAAGCAGTTTTATGAATGTGTGTTTTTTGTTTGTTTGTGCACACATACTTATATATATACGTGGTGAGGGCCAGATTGCGAACATATTGCTTAGATGAGAAATGATCTCTAATATTTTGGACCTCCTTGGTCTCTACTGCTATTTATTCCTGATGTTGCTGATTTTCAGGCAAGTACATATTTTTAAGCTATATATTTGCTGGCATTTTTAATGGTCTCTCTGTTGCTTGACTATCAAATGGCAGCATCAAGAGCGTGGTTGAGTCACTGTCTGTTCTGTATAGAACTCATTGCAAAGCTTAGTTTTGTGGGGGGGGGGGGGTTGCAAAAAAAATGCAAGAACTTCAGCTCTATAGAATCCATCAAAATGTGGGTCAACTCCAGCCTCCAGCGCCTCTTTAAATCTATGGATACCATGACAGTCTAGGTGGGATTTATCAAAATGTCATCTAAAGTGGGGCAGTAACCATGGAGACCATTGGATACATTATATGATGAGCCTCCCTCCCTTTTATATTTTTCACCACTGTGATTAATCTCCCCTATTGAGTTTAAACAGCTGATAACTACAGGGGGTGGGAAAGTTGTGAATTTGGGGGGGAGAGGGGGGGGTTTCCAACTGAATGCAAATCGCAATTTGCTGCTGCAGATAAGAACTAAAACTTTAACGAACAGGCTAGGAAAATATTTCAACAAACGAATCGAAATGATATTTCAATTGTTTTCCATGGAGCTATATAATTACTGAGAATTGTCATGCAAGTCATAAGGTCACATATTTCCAAATTCATGTCCTCATTGCCCATCTGGCTTCCAACGAATACTTTTCAGTCTTTTTTTTTTTTTTTTTAACCTGGGAACCACACCATGGCCATAAGATAAGCTTTGAAACCTATTATTCAGTTAGAAAACTGGAACAGTGACTAATTTTTAAATTATTTAATACATGACAAAAGTGCAACTTCATTAAACTATTGTGGGCACTTACCTGGTGTCAGGTAAATATTACCAACTAAATATAACCTAGAAGACACCAACCTATTTTTTAGGAAACCACTTTTGATTTTCTGTGATCACAAGACGTGAAGAAGCTTTAAGCAAAACATAAAGGCAATATTAGAGAAAGCGGACCTATCATTGATAACCAATAAATAGTGTAGGGACAATGGGAGTAGACCATCTCTTAACGTAATGAAATATCCTTATCTGCCCAATTATAAGGAGATCCTGTAACATCCTTCAAGTATTGCAGTTCTGAGTGATTGGGTATGAGTGTAGCACATATGTGTTTAACCAATAGTCACAATGCATTCACTTTCCATTACCCCATTTTTATTACAGACTAATAGAGTGCAATACTTTATACAGATCTACAAGAATTCTGTTTAAAAAAAAAAAAAAAACAACCTGCTGATAAATCTAAATATCTCTGGTAACGTTTATAGCTAATTCAGAATAGTTCAAGTGATGTTGCAGGGTAAAGAAGGGTACATTTTGCTGTAAATTCAACGCACTATGGTTTAATTACTATAAAGTGAATTCTGTAGAATCTAAAATTAATTTAGGTTAAAGGGATGCTATAGTCACCTGAACAACTTCAGCTTAATGAGGTTGTTCAGGTGAGAACTATAGCTCCCTGCAGCCTTTCTCATGTAAACACTATTTTTTTACTATATTTATGGGGGGGGGCTAGATGGTGGTGTTAACACTATAGGGTCAGGAATACATGTTTGTGTTCCTGACCCTATAGTGATCCTTTAAAATACCAAGTTGAACACTTCCTGAATGCCTCCAAAACTCTGGTTCTGGTGCTCTAGAGGAGCACTCACCCTCTGACATGCCAACAATGGGCTCCTAAGGTCAAGAAAATTAGACCCATGAAAGATATGATTGCCTCCTTATACTAGAGACAGGAGTGTTATTGCTCCACTTGAGCCCCATGGCTGGATACCCTGGATGGGGGCCGCAGAGGGGGTAGGTAATACCCTTTCTGTCATTTGATCCCTTCTATCCTTTGCTTTTTCTGTCTTTCCCCCTGTTTCTCTTCTTTATTCCCATTTCTCTCCCATGTGGAGAGTCTGCCCTTTACCCTTCCTTGCTCTCTTGTTCATAATTATTAGTTCCCCACTGAAACACATCAGCCTCTGGATTTAGTCCAGGGCTGCCTTTGCTCTACCTGAGTCACATTATCTTGCCATTTAAGACTGCAGAATATTGACCAAAAAAAAAAAAAAAACACAAGTCTTAAAAACAGTTGCATTACAGAATTTTTTTTCCCAGAAATAGTGCCTCAATGTGCAAGTGAGAGGCTTTTTTTTGTAAACCTTAGTGTAATAATGCAGTAATCAAGTTTTCAAATGTCCCCTTATAAAGAGGAAGTCATCCACCAGAGGGAGTGCTTGCCTACTTCAACGACAAAACCGACTTCCTGGTCTCCTTCTGCCTTTTTTTTTTTCTTCTACTCTCCTTTTGGTCACAAGACTATGAGGTCATTATGGGATTGCAGAAGGAGGGGTCATCTCAAAAGCGGAACGATGTAGGCAGAGTTTACCAATATTTCATAGAAATCAGGTCGTTTAGAACATCCTCTACTTTTTTTTTATTAATAAAAAGCTTTAAAAATGTACACTCCTTTTATAACAAAAAATGGAACTGTAAGATTTGTTTGCATTGCACTTTTAATAGGTATTTTGGAGAATGTTCCATAGGAAGATTATTCAGCTAAAATACTGTATGTTGATTGTCTGCCTGCAAAAGGCCTGAATGAATTCACAAAGAGATAGTTTAGCCACGTCAACAGGAAAGGGAGAAGAAAAAAAATTTGTCCCGCCTGCATTCCTTGCTATTTAAGGATGACTCTGCAAAAGTAAGGCTCTCACGGCTTGGAACAAAGGGTTTCTTATGTAAGACACAATCTACCTAGGAAATAAACACAGAAAATCAGGCCTGGCGTTGTTTGCATCTCGGAACTGATTAAAGTAGTTGACAGTGAGACCTACATTATTTATTCAATATTTAAAAGGATTCTGAATCGTGGATTTACCATCCACTTTTCCTACATTATAAACAATATATATATATATACACACACACACACACACACGTATACTCTTAAAGACTCGCCTCTAATTGTCTCCCCCATCCCCCCCATGCTCAGACAGTGACATCACCTTCAGCCAGGAAGTAGCATTGTTCGCTCAACCAATCTGTTGTCTTGCATGCATTATCATGACGGATTTAGTGAGTGGGCAAAGATACTGTGATACATAATTCCTCCTAAACAATAGTGTGCATGGCAAATGCAGATACTTCCTGGATCAAATTTAATTTAAATAAAGTTGATCTGCTTAAGCAAGTGAATATAAACAGCTGGTGCATGTGACCAATTGTTGACCAGTGGGTGAGCTGCCATGGACAATTGTACGTGCGGCCACTGCAAAGGGCTTTATAGGGACAAGCTGACCAGGTTCTTGTCATGATCTCTGCTTCCTGTTACAAGAGATTTTGGTGTTAGGCTGCACATATTTGGGGATTTTGCACAGTTGATGTTACAAAAATTATTTTATTTTTTTTTATTGAAAATGTGCAAGTTGCAGCCGGTTCACTCCCTCTCACTCGTAATACGTTACTCATTTTTAGATGGATTTCAACATCAAAATTACTAAGTCCCGGAAATTATTTCATACCTTAACACAGCTCTGTGTCTGCCTTGACTATTACAGAAATGCATTGCACAATGGCTTTTTCACAGGATTTGCGGCAAAGATGCATGCTGGTTTTACATCTCTCAGAATTTTAAATGCACACTTTTTATACCCCAGCTTTAAATGCACCTTTTTATACCTATAGATTGTAAGCTCTTTTGAGCAGGGTTCTTATGAACCTATTTTTCCTGTCAAAATATGTACTAATTTGTCTTATTTGTTGTTAAATTCCCCCTTAAAAAGATTGTAAAGCTATAAAAATGCCAATAATAATGGTAATAGTCCATGGGTGGACAGAGTCACACTTCATAATGCAAAAGTGAAATGTGGGTCTGTCTATAGGTGCTAGGCAGAGCCCCGTTTTGTTGTTTCATTACAGTTAGACACATAGGACCATTCAACAAACACTATAATAAACTTCAGTCCTTATGGTGCCAATTAAACGTTTGCTTTGTGGAAGTTTCAGTTCCCAGCAATATTCAATATAAAACAAACATAAAAATCATCTTAAGCCAAAATTCTACTTTTCATTTGTTAAATGAGGTGGAACGTTGATTTTTATTTGTGAAGTGCTTGTATTCTTTGATTTGTACATCCTTAGCAGACTCCTTAATTACAAGAACCCATAAGATTGTGATCTTAAAGTTTTGTACCAACAGACAATACCATGATTCATTCTTTAAACCCATAAGGATATTTTTATATGTTCTGCATCATGATTTATTGCAGATGCAAACCAAACCTTAGTAAATGGGTAACTATGCAATGATCAGCGTGTGTAAAGTTCACACAGCGAAGATAACAGATAAAATAGACCATTATGAACCTGGAAATATTTAGGCAAGCCTACAAATGTACTTTGAGTTACCAATATGAAGGTCAGTCATCGTGTCCAGTCTACTGCCATGTGTATATATAGTTCAATCAACAGGGTATGCATATACATTATTATAGTTATTCAATAAAGTCAAAATTCCTGGGAATTCAAAGTGAATTTCAAAATTAAAGGATCACTTTCGCGTTAGTAATACAAATGTGTATTCCTAACTCTATTGTGCCCTAGTGGTGACTGGCCCCCATCGGCATTGTTTACTTTCCTTTTCTCCTTCGCAGAGCTGGTCCCTGTGTTTCTGCACCACCTCTTTGGCTGAGATCATCGAGCTTGATGATCTCAACCAATCCAATGAGGTTAGTGCGCATGAGATGAAGTGGTGACTTTGGAGTCCCTTTAAAGCCAAAATAGCTGCATTGGAAGAAAAAAAAAAAAACAAGTTAGCTATGCTTCCAGTTCAGCTACTTAAATCTAAAATTCAATTTGTATTCCAGACAATCGTCACTTTAGTGAATAAACCTTTATGCCTTCCAGGATTATTGAAAGGAACATTAAACCATTCAGGACCAGCTAGGTAACTCCCTTGCTATTTTAACAGTCCTCACGTGGCATTGGCGATCAAGGTTTAAGCATGGAGATGTGTGAGGCAGGCAGAAAACAGCATAAGGTTTTCTTTAACCTAATCAAGGGCTGGGCAAATACAGTCATTTGGCTTCTGTCAAACTGCAGACTTTGACTTCTAACACACTTCTCTAAAATTATATAAATATAACACTATAACCTATTAGCAAATTGTCCAAAAGCACTCTTCCAGTCTTCACTTAGCTTCAAAGGCTAGCTGAGGATTAAAGGAGTTGTATTCCACCAAGCTGATCAGTACTAATAGAGTCTATAGCGCAACAATTCTGAGCCTCATAAATAACCACTACAGCCCCACGTAATGCTTGTGGTGCGAGGGCGGATTTACTTGCTGCCACTCCCAGTTCTATTTCGGACAATATTTGGAGGGTTGACACCAACCAAAGCTCACCAAGAGGCACTAGCAATATAAGTGTTGTTCATGTTTAGACGAAATTCATTGGTAGAGCATGTTGAGTGACACACTCAGCCAATCAGTGCCATACATATATGGATGCGATTGATATTGCTAAAAGTGGAACTTCAACATTAGCAATATACCAAGCTTGGATCTGTCCTGGGCACCCAGGGTAACCTGGGTTTGTTGAAAACCACTCAAAACCAATTTGACACAAAATGGGAGGATAGTGCCAGGGGCATACTGGCACTAGGACTACTGTAACAGGCTATTGTGGTGCTTAGAGTGTCCCTTTACATTGTACTTTAAATGTATTTATTTTACAAAATCCAACTACAAAAATGTGATTTATGTATAAGAGTAAGCATGCTCAAAGAAGAACGTAAGCTAAATGAGATTTACTTGCTGCTGATACCACGGACTAATCTATGCAAGTGGTAACCTTTGTTGCCACAATCTCAGTGACATTCACATTTGTCTGCCTAGAATATCAGGGACCACTGGCTGTTTTGCATAGGCAAATGGGAGGGTTTACCAGGGGTTCGCGAATCGCGAGTATCAAAATTACACGTACACTCAAAGCACTTTAACAACATATGCTAAATGAACATGGTGCATGTCCATAGGTCCAGGCACCCAGTTGCTCATGACTACAACAATTTAAGTAGCCTTATCCTATTATAACGGGGGTACATGTGCTAGGCAAACATAGCATTTTGCATCTATTCAGTCGTGATCTTAGACAGTTGTCGAAGGAATCACATTAGAAAAGTCTTCTTGAGGAAGGATTCAGAATCACATGAAGATTAATTAGTATCATAAGTCAGGGTTTGCCTTGTCTGCTATCTCTCTCTCTCTCTCTCTCTCTAACAAATAAAAGATCTAGTTAGAACAATGCATTATTCCATGTTTAATAACAGTTTCTCTTTAAAAGGGTAATTTGTGATCAGTTTGGTGATAATTGTAATTCATCATTAGCTTTCATGCTTGCAAAACGACATTAAAAATGACAAACAAAATTACATTACTTCATCCAAATAAAGCAATTTGCACACAGAAAAAAGCGATAACTGATTAGATTAAACCATAAACACATATCTGTGATCGTGTTTTTTTGGGAAGTGCTAAATATCACATACAATGTATGAAATTATTTTGGACCTGCTAGATTTGCATAGGGTACCAGTAATAATCCTGATGATCTCTGCTCCAATTAGATAGTTCTGTTAGCGATTCACTGTGGACCTACGCTGCATTCCACGGTTCAAATGATTAATCCTGATCTTATGCCCTGTGACCAAGGAATAGGCCTCATTGGCGCTTCCATCCGTTCTACCACTAAGGCTCGCTGCCTAGGTGTTCTCTTTGACTCCGACTTCTCCTTCACTTCTCATGTCCAATTAATCGCCAAATGCTGCCGCTTCCATCTGAAAAACATTGCGCGCATCCTATTTAATGTCTGATACGGCAAAGGTGCTTATCCATGCTGCTGCTCCTCTCTCTCGCCTTGACTACTGTAAGTCGCTTCTCAGTGGTCTTACATGTTTCCAACTTGCACCGTTACAGTCTATAATGAATGCGGCGGTGAGGCTCATCTTCCTGTCCCCCCACGCCGTCCCCCTTTGTCAGTCCCTACATTGGCTTCCCGTAACATATAGGGCTCAATTTAAGATCCTGACACTTGCTTACAAATCTCTACACAATGCTACTCCAACCTACTTATCCTCACTAATACACAAATATGTCCCATCTAGGCCCCTACGCTCTGCCGGAGACCTACATCTAACCTCTGTACGTACTCCTACCTCTGATGCTCACCTTAAAGTCTTCTTTAGAGCTGCACCGTTCCTATGGAACGCCCTTCCCCTCTCTGTTAGAATCTCACCCAGTCTCCACTCCTTGAAAAAATCTTTGAAAACTTACTTCTTTAGAAAAGCATATCAGTTCTGCCTTCCTTAATACACAACTTCAACTGCTCTCTTTCTTCTGGCATTGTCCCTGCTGACCTTAAAGGACCACTATAGGCACCCAGACCACTTCAGCTTAATGAAGTGGTCTGGGTGCCTGGTCCAGCTAGAGTTAACCCTTTTTTTTTTTTATAAACATAGCAGTTTCAGAGAAACTGCTATGTTTATAATAGGGTTAATCCAGCCTCTAGTGGCTGTCTCATTGAAAATCACAGTGAGAAGACGCCAGCGTCCACAGGAAAGCATTGTAAATGCTTTCCTATGAACTGGCTGAATGCGTGCGCGGCTCCTGCCGCGCATGCGCATTCAGCCGATGACGTCGCTATGAAGGAGGAGAGCTCCCAGCCCAGCGCTGGAGAAAGGTAAGATTTTAACCCCTTCCTTTCCCCAGAGCCCGGCGGGAGGGGGACCCTGAGGGTGGGGGCACCCTCAGGGCACTATAGTGCCAGGAAAACGAGTATGTTTTCCTGGCACTATAATGGTCCTTTAAACATGCCACTGTAGTACCTATCCTGAAAAAAACATCTCTTGACTCGTCCTCGTCCTCTAACTATTGTCCCATATACCTGCTCCTTTTTTCCTCAAAGCTTCTGGAAAGACTTGTCTTTACCCGTATGTCTCACTTCCTCAATGCCAACTCTCTCCTTGACCCTCTTCAACCTGGCTTTCACCCTCTCCACTCTACTGAGACTGCTCTTATCAAAGGTACTAATGACCTAATCACAGCTTTATCCAAAGACCATTACTCCATACTAATTCTTCTTGACCTCTCTGCTGCCTTTGACACCGTTGATCATGCTCTCCTTCTTTAAACTCTTCAATCACTCTGTCTCTGTGACTCTGTCCTCTTGTGGTTTTCCTCTTATCTCTCCCAATGCTCATTCAGTGTCTCCTTTTCTAATGATACCTCCTTGTCCTGTCTCGGTTGGAGTCCCCCCAAGGCTCTGTCCTTGGTCCCCTTCTACTTTCTCTTTACACTGTCTCTCTTGGCAAACTTATTACCTTATTTGGATTCCACTACCAACTGTACGCTGATGACACCCCGATATATATCTCCTCCCCAGACCTCTCCCCTGCCGTCCTGCAGCATGTCACTGCTTTTCTTCCATTTCTGACTGGATTTCCTCACGTTTTCTGAAACTCAATCTCTCTAAAACTAAGCTCTTTGTCTTTCCTCCTCCTAATACTGATCCTCCTCTTTCGCTCTTCCTTCAAGTTAGTGGTACCCACATAAGTCCATCCTTGCAAGTGCGCTGTCTTGGCGTCATACTTGATTCTGGCCTCACCTTTGAGCCTCACATCCAGTATGTTGCCAAATCCTGTAGATTCCATCTTAAAAACATAGACAGCAACCGCCCCTTTCTTACGCAAGATGTTACCAAGGAGCTTGTCCATGCTCTACTAATTTTCCGCATGGATTATTGTAACCATCTCCTAATTGGTCTCCTAAAAGCCGTATTGCCCCGCTACAGTGTGTAATGAATGCTGCCACCAGACTGATTATCCTCTCTAGACGGTCCTCTCACACCTCACCTCCCTGTCAGTCCTTACATTGGCTTCCTGTATCCTATATGATTCAATTCAAAGTGCTAACCCATACCTATAAAGCACTGAACAATTCTAGCCCCTCTTATATCTCTCCAAAGATTCTTAGGTATGCCCCTTCTCGGTCTCTCTGCTCTGCCCGTGACCTTCTCCTGTCCGCTGCTCGCACCCGTACTGCTCTCTTTAGGAAAGCTTATGGCCTCCCAGATTAACCTCTACCTTACATACCTGTCTCTTGCTCTCTCCTATAGGGCAGCACTTTACTCTCTCCTCCAGCTCTGCTTCACTCCCGCCTTATTTGATTGCTATTTCCTGTCCTAATGTGTTTTATACCCCACCTCCTATAGACTGTAAGCTTGCTTGAGCAGGGTCCTCTTCAACCTATCGTTCCCGTAAGTTTTCTTGTAATTGTCCTACTTATAGTTAAATCCCCCCTCTCATAATATTGTAAAACGCTACAGAATCTGTTGTCGCTATATAAATGGCAATAATAATAATAATAATTAAACTGTGAACAGCTTTCCCTCTCCGCACCCTGATTCCTCCCCTGAAACTGTCATCAAGACAAAACACTAAGCCCTTAGTGAATGCTATCCTAGCAACCTACTTTTATACCCTACCCTTGCCTTCACATTACCCCACTCCCTCTAGCATGTAAGCTCATTGAGCAGTGCCCTCAATCCCTCTGTTCCTGTGTGTCCAACTTGTCTGGTTACAACTACATGTCTGTTCGTCCACCCATTGTACAGCGCTACAGAACTTGTTGGCGCTATATAAATAATAATAATCATTTGAAATATTTGAAAGTATAAAAGTGTTATCTAGCATTATTTGCATTTATTTTTTTGCCTGTACAAGATATCATTGTTCTTGCTTTCTCACATGTGTAGTGATTAACCCCTTAAGGACACATGGCATGTGTGACATGTCATGATTCCCTTTTATTCCAGAAGTTTGGTCCTTAAGGGGTTAAATGGACACACGAAAATATAAAAGAGAATTTTGTGACCTGCACAAATATGTGTGTTCCAAAATGAGCTTTAATGTTGTATTAACTTTTGCTTGAAGGCAGCTTTATTTTAAAAATCTTGCAAAACAGGTCTGCTAAAACAAAGAAAAGGTAAAAATTAAACACAGAACATGACACTGGAGACAGTGCATTCAGTAGGTGAGTGACCAATCACAGAATGTTGTGTCACTACAATAGCATTTGCGAGAAAGCATGAGGGTGAAAATGTTAAAAAAAATTTAATAGTTTTTTTCCAGTGAAGGCTATTTATACCTGGATAGATTAGCCAGTGTGTTGATTGGGAACTTGACAGGTGATTTCATCAGATCGTATTTAACATATTTGGATGCAGCTGTACCTGCAAGGAATCATGGGAGAAAGATCCCTTACATAGGCTGCGTTAGACTGGCATATGTCTCAGCAGATCATTACTATCCATATACATTGCACAGATTTGTACAGATAATGTGGGAGTGAAACTTCTGTATTATCTTGGCATCGGTGGCAAAGCAACCAGGCCTTGCATGCCAGTAGATCTGGTTTTGTCAAACAGCTTTTAATTTTACACTGTTAGCAGTACAACTATCACAATAAGCAGAAGAGAAAAATAAATCTTATATTATACACACGAAAATAATGCTTTTTGTGCACAACTTGCAGTGGTTATGGATCTTGGAGTCTCAATTTGACAAAATTCACCAGTACCGCCATGACCATCTGAAATGTAATGCCTTCTGAGTTTAGCTGCAGTCTCCCCAGTTGTAATGGCTTCCAGATCACAATAGTTCAACTCCCCAAAGCACAAGCGCAGCTTAAACACAATGCTAAAGATGGATGTACTTGAGGCTGCGGCCTGTAGACAGATTTGTGAGTGCAGCAGTTAACACAATATACACACACCTCCCAGGTTCAGTAAACAAACAAGCTCAATAGTCCATCCACACATGCATTGGAGGAATACATGAACATGTACCTTAAACAACTGAGTTGTTTGAATGTTGGGCCCTATCATCGCCTCTGGCAAGATATCCTGCTAGACAGGCTAAGGTGCAACATCATCATAAGGGCACTATTGTTCTCTTGTCACATGCAATAAACATTTTATTCATTAGTACTTTTCCTTCACAATACTATCAGGTTTTTCACTAAACTCATTGTGGAAAAGTTACAAGAGAACTAACATTTTTAGTACAATTTTAGAGTTGTAGAATAGCTGAGATGACATAGATATGTGACTATTGTGGGCTAAAAATTTTAAATTCTTCATATCCTTATTAAGTTAAAGGACCACTATAGTCACCCAGACCACTTCAGCTCAATTAAGTGGTCTGGGAGCCAGGTCCCCCCAGGTTTTAACACTGCAGCTGTAATCATAGCAGTTTCAGAGAAACTGCTATGTTTACATTGCAGGGTTAATCCAGCCTCTAGTGGCTGTCTTCCTGACAACCGCTAGAGGCGCTTCTGCAATGCTCAATGCGAAAATCGCATTGAGCATGCAGAATGTCCATAGGAAAGTATTAAGTAATGCTTTCCTATGGGCGGTTTGAAGGGCGCGTGGCTCTGGCTGCGCATACGCATTCGGCTCCAATCTGGGAGCTGACGTTGGAGGGGGAGGAGAGGTCACCAGCACCGAGGGAGCCCGGCGCTGGATTAAGGTAAGTGGCTGAAGGGGTTTTAACCCCTTCAGCCCAGCGGGAGGGGGACCCTAAGGGGGGGGGAGACCTAAGGTCTGTATTGTGCACACATTTAACACACTTCACCTGTTCATTCTTGGAACTGTGCAAACTGTGCAAATAAAAATAAACATACACGATGCAGTGGGATGCTGTGAGGCTTATTCACTGAAGTGATAATTGTTGGGAATTCAAATTAAAGGCCAAAATATTCAAACAGAAAGCTAAGCTGTCTTCTCAAGCTTGGATATTTTGACCTACAAATACTGTTTTAGAAACAAACAAAAATTGTTTTTGGATAAAACAACCCAGCAAAACTCACCTTAATCCACCGCTGAGGGAGTTCTCCAAACCTGTAGGACATGCTCAGCATTCTCTGCGTGGTGATGACAGACACCAGATATGCACAGAATTAACACGCGGCAGCTCAGAACTCTCAGAGCTGGCACATGGCTCTGCGGGCAGCACAGTGCTTTAACTCTGCATTTCAAACTGAAATGCCTGACATACAGACTCAATGCACCATAACTACTTCAGATTAGTGATATGGTCATGATGCTTGGAGTAACCCTTTCAATACGAAATTAACTTTGAATCCATGTGTGCATAAGACAGTTTGTTATACAGGTGCAGGTGGTCGGTAATAATTTTAAGCAAGTGAATTCCAATGTTCCTGAAGGGAGAAAAGTATTTACTGTGACCCAGTAAATGCCAGAGTCCAGCAGATAGTGTCCTCAGAGCTTCACATCAGTAGTTTAAAACTTTAAACACACGCCTGCTGTCTGCAGCTGTAACTCTACCCCAGATCATAAAATATTCAAGGGAATGAATCTTCTTCGCTAATCTTTTATTTCTATGGACACCAGGAAAAGGCGCAACTTCCATTCACTGTCTAGCTTCAGCATGAACAATCAGAGAATATACTTAAGCGACGCTACGTACTAAAGTGTGAACTGAGGGGAATTCAAAACAATTTTAACATTTTAGGCCAGAATGACTGAACTGTAAACATTAGTGATTTTTCTGAGAATTTTCTAAAAAACTTTTCAGTTCAGTGTTGTGGTCTAAAACCCTGGTAATGTTAAACCACCTGATAAATTAGTAGATTGTTTTTCAGTTTTACAGACTGGGCAATAAATTGTATTATGTATGCATAATAAAAGAACACTTTATAGTCACATGTGACAACATTTATTATGTCCACCGTCCTATCTAAAAAGGACTCATCACAGGATGAAAAGTTGAGTCCAAATTTACAAACACTGCTTCTTCTTCAGTTGGGCTATCTCTCAAGGTACGTGGGCAAGATCTACCATGTTCTCCATGAAGCAAATAATGTTTCCATTCTGGTGGTTTGCAAAGGAAAGGTGTTGCACCCATATCACAAACACGTTCAGATGGGGATGTTTGAGATTGAAGTAATCTCTATATATACGCATGCAAACATGTATCTATCACTTCTAAAGTGTACAAAAACAAAGAATATGAGAACTCTAAGAATGGACGAAAGCTTAGAGAAACTCAATAGCTTATCCTTCGGTAAATTCACGCTTAGGTCTCAAAATAGTTTTTGCTCACTTGTGCCATTACAGAGAGAACATGTTCCGAAGCATATCAGACTGATTCCACTCGTAATGGTGGTCCAGAACCGAAATGCCAGCAAGTTCTCTCTGCATGAGAGATACAGCAACCTCTGAACATCGTTTCAGCCTTCTTTAGGCCTCATCAGTGAGGTGTAGCTGATATCCCTCTGGGCACAGTGAACACAGGGTGCATGTCTGGATAACCCTTTTAACTTGGGGAGTGCCAGGTTAATGTATTGCAACACAAAAAACAGAGAATATGAGATTGGGCCTCATCAGTGAGGTGTAGCTGATACCCTGATAAGTGAGTGAGGCACAGTGAGCTCGGGGTCCACTGGAGAGTATTCCGCACAAGGACTCTTTGTTATATAGCCCTGTGGTTACATTAAAAGTAATGTTAGTACTTATATGGTCGTTTATTCTCACATAATCCGCCTGATTTGGGATATAGTCAATCTCGTTGGAAAACAAAAGTCTCAGACTTTAAGGAATCCTTTTAGATTCAAACGTATTTAATGTAAGCTTATGACAGTCTGCATCTCCAGGCTGTGTAGGAAACTAAATAATATATTTCCTGTCAGTCTCAAAGATCAGCAGTTTGATATTTGTCCATGACCTTTATTAAGTAGCATCAATTGTATGATGATTTTAAGATAATAATAATAATAACAAAGTATTTAACCAGGAAAGATGATTAGAACCTTAATGAAATTAACTCAGTGATTTTGATAGACTAACGGAGAGCCATACAGAAAAATAATTCAACATTTCATATCATTTAGCAAAAAAAAAAAAAAAAAATCTACATTTTATTTTTAATGGTTATAAAACGTTTCTGTAATTTTCTAGCTACTGAACACCAGTGATTAACAGAGACATGCAATTTCTTGGTATCCTGATATAAACATTTCAATGTTTCCACTGTGAAAATATATATACTTTTTATTTTTTTCCAAATAGGTGGAAGCATTTGTATGCAGAGCATGTACAGACAGATACTGCAATGTCGTAGACAGCAGAGCTGCCTCCTCTGTAGCTGGAATCCCCACCAATTAACTCTCAGTTACCATCCAAGCGTAAATACATTATTTCTTTTCGATGGTGGTCTGGTTCCCTTAATATAATTAATGTATTGATTTATGATAAGGGCGCTATATGAGAATTATTAAATAAATATATTAAAGCAGAATTTGCAACAGAAAAAAATACTAAATTATTTCAGATGATTAACCTATTTGAGAAGGTAATTGTGTCAGTGTATGTAAAAAATTTAAGAAATAGCCAGAAATTGAGTGTGAAGCAGTATAATTTGGAATTAAAATGTGTATGAGATGGGCACGACTAAAAGCTACTCCCCTGCTAGAAGTACAGAGCTATTCCAATCAGATTATAATACCATGTATCTGGTTTGTTACTGCAAACCTCCTAACATTTCAGATTGACAAAGAGTGACCCTTTTATTTTAAGGGTGTCAGTGCAGCCAGGGGCAGGGCTGTTCTGGGGAATTTTAGGTGACTTATTTATAACAATTAATGCAACTAAAATGTAATTTCTAACAAGAGCAATGTGTTTTATTTGCACAGACTGGTTTCTAAACACATTTATTGTAGTCTAAAGACACATTAATGGGAGCATTATTCCTGTTGAGCTCTGTTATACACTCAGACAAACCAACAATGTGGAGCACCTAGAAAAAAGGGGTACACTAGGATAGCAAAGGACAGGGAAATTTGGGCCCAAAATAGGGACTGCCCCTACTACATAGGGACACTTGGGAGGTATTGTGTGTAGTGTGTACTGCATACCACTCCCATCATAAGATTTGTCCTGCTGTTAATATTCCCTTCCATCCCATACAAACAAATAACTAGTCACCCATTATAGCACTTTGTAAAGGACATCTCAGTGCTTAGAAAGACATGGAACCATTACCGTAAATTTATTATAGAATGGCAATATGTGTGCAAAGGTTGCTATCCTGACTACCTGCAGTAGAAGTGTAATAAAAACCCTTGTCACAGTATGGTTGGGCCCCTGAATGATAATACAATACAGTATTGATTCAGTTTATACAGTATGCATAGTGTATAAATTGATATAATTTATATTGTACTGCTTCTGGATATTTTCAAGCAGAGAGCTGAACCAAATCAGTTTAAATGTATCCTATCTGATGTGACATGTGGCATAGTACCCCTGACTCAAAAATGTGCCTAGAGTTCTTCTTTATTAATATTCTTTCAGCTGTTCAGAAACACTGTACATATTGAAACGTGCAAGATCCTGTACAGTGTAAAAGGAAGGAAGGAGATACTGTTATTTAGAGGCCCTCTCTGCAAGGCAGAAAAAAAAACAGACCAAAGCCCTGGTGGAACAATCTGTTTTTCTGCTGGGTAAGAACCAGAGGGGGAGCCCTAAGCAGAGCCTCATGAGCACCATGCGGTATGGCCGACAGGAAGCTCTCTAGCTCTTACAGCACAGAACTACAAATCCCATGATGCTTTTCCAGCTTCTAGGCCAAGACCTGCTGTATTCTAGTTTTCCTCCATATCCCCAGAAAAATAATTGCTCCCTGATTTTTCTGGACAAAAGCAAAATCTGCAAAAAAACAAACACACCTCACAGATGTTTGTGTTCAGGGAAGTCCAAACAAGAAAATATGCTTGTTTTACACACATGAGCACATAAACAACATTTTTCAGATTCAGAACATGAATACAACTTAGCATTGAAGGGTTGGGGTCATCCAATATTTGAGGGGTTATATAAATGAGTAGAGGCTGGGAGCTCTAAAGAGGAATATAATAGCAAATGAATAAGCAATATTGTGAAAACAGGCACAATGGCCTTACAGAGGTTGGCTGGACAGCCCTATTAACATTGCCAAGCACCTCTCTCTATTTGATGGGCTAATGTCTTCGATGCATCTTCGATTATTTACCCTCTACGGATCAATTCTCAAGCTTTCCTCCAAAGACTGCAAGCTCCAGCGATCAAAGTACTCTCTCCTCACCTCACCCAAAGCTGGAATGTTTTTTTCTCAAGATTCTTGAAAACAAGAGAAATCTCAATGTATCCTTCCTGGTAAAACTAAAGGAGGAGACTATATTTAAAAGAAGATAAACTACCACAACAAGAGGACATAGTCTTAAATTAGAGGGGCAAATGTTTAAAAATAATATCAGGAAGTATTACTTTACTGAGAGGGTAGTGGATGCATGGAATAGCCTTCCAGCTGAAGTGGTAGAGGTTAACACAGTAAAGGAGTTTAAGCATGCGTGGGATAGGCATAAGGCTATCCTAACTAAGGCTAGGGATTAATGAAAGTATTTAGAAAATTGGGCAGACTAGATGGGCCGAATGGTTCTTATCTGCCGTCACATTCTATGTTTCTAAAACATTTTATAAATAAATAAAGATTCCATTTGGGTTTATTCAAACTGCCTGCTGTGTTTTTCTGATAACCAGCTTCCTAAATTTTAGTGGACATTAGCTAAGATGGAACAAAGTGACCTTTTATTCAGAAGTCATCTGAGATTTGTTTTGTGCTGTTTTTTTACCCTATTTGACCTGCAACTTTTTTTTTTTAAATAAATAAACCCATAGTGTTGTATATAAATAAAATGATAAAAATGTTTTACAAGCGATTTGTTACTGAATCTAAATTTTGTACAAAATGAATCTATATAACAATCAAACACAATATTTGCATTATACTGAGAGAAAACGTCAGTATAATCTTGCATTTCCATAGAGGTCAAATAACAATGAATACAACAGACAGAGCTACCATGTTTAAACATGTTGCCTGTGAAACTACAGCGTCACCTTAAAAACATTTAAAAAAAAAAAAAGCATTTATAGACGTTCTAGTGGTGAATAACTTGTGGGCCTCAATGTTCTGCCTCTATCCCACAGCCTCAGTACACAAAATGTTTTGTACAATTTTGCTTCCAGTTAATTTTGGTCTAAAAAGCCTATCATTCTTTACAAAGCTGCAGCTGTCCAAGAATGATAGGAGTTACAATATCAGTAAGGAGCTACACAATTGTGTAATTTGTACTACATACATTTAAAATGTGTCTTATATATATATATATATATATTATTATTTTTTTTTAACAGAGCAAGGCAGTCTTTTATTATGGTCAAGGGAAGGCTGTGGAATTCTCTCATGCAGAGCCCCTGCAATACAGTCTGTGAACGCCCACACAACCACAAATGCTGTGATATTCCCAATGGGGTCGCACACATCTGTAAAATTAAAACACCTCAGCCAGCATTAGCTGGGTTTAACCAAATACTCTAAGAATGAATGCATTGAGTTTAATTCATTTTTTAATATACAATGTCATGAAATAATAATGGAATAAGACTAAGTAGAGAATGATGTTAACTGTGGCCTGCACTGTAACAATTGCACTGTATACAATTGTGTATATTTTTAAGATGTCAACGTGCTCTGCATATAAGACAACTAATATCATTGCCCTCTGTAACTCCCTGATACATAAAAAAAGATCCATGTGTACCTGTGGACTATACAAAATATATATTTTTTTTAAAATGAAAGAAAATGATAGTCAGTTTTATAGAGGTCGGAAATAACAAATTATCTTATAAATCTTTTAGAATTGTAATAATGTATCAAGATCTACGTGTTAACTAGCAAACCACCATATTTGCAACAAGCTGAATCTTATTTATGCCATCATAAATATGTATTACTTCTATCTATCTATATGTAAAAAAACAGGAATCCCTTGTTTAATTTCAAAACACGGTTTTTTTAAATGTTTAATTATTTGTCAATTATCAATGATAACAATACAGCATTGATTTTGCAATCATTTTTAATTTTTTTTTAAATAAAAAAAAAAACAACTGCATGTGATATCAGATTACATATACTATTTGTAACTGATCACTTTTGTGTTTGCCTTTTGTTTGGGGAATCTTATCTTAATAAATTAATTATATGTTGAGAAATCAAAATCAAAGGCATTTTCCCCCAACACGTAATAAAATATTTTTTTAAAACCTGAATAAAGTTATTAAAAAAAAAAAAAAAAGAAAGCAAAACAAAACTATAAATGTACAAGGGAACCTTTGGGTGTGTTAGTTTGTTATGTATACAATTCATTCCAAAACAGAATAGATTGTCATTGACAACCATATAAACTTGTATCCTGGCATGTCCCCTTTCTATATCTGCAGACTGCTTGTGTGATCCATCTACAAAGAGCTGAGTATTGAAGGTGTCTCTAAGCTACAGAGAAAAATCAGAAAAAAAAAAGAAGCAATGAAGCTGTTAGAAATCGAATAATATAGTGGGATGAGGGTGACACCTTAAGGTAATCCGGCTGTGGTCTGTATCCAACTCTCAGCATCCTCTCGCTTTCTGAGGATGATGGGAGTGGGAGAACATTGGCTCCTGGACACTGTAAAGAAGGAGGTGACTAGGTTAAAGTGTGCCTCACCCGGTAGAAGCCAAACCTCTTCCTGCCACGCAGAGCTTCTTGTGTCATCAGATCTCCAACACCCCAACAGGGGAGCCAGCTATAGGTTAATAATAATAAATAAAGGCAATTTATATATATATATTTATATTAATGATATATATATATATATATTTGGGGAGAAAAATGCAGATATCCAGACATGAGTTGGGGGGAAAAAAAGCATCCGGAGAGAAGGGAGGAGGCTGAGCTCCACTGAGTGATCAGGGAGGGCATGCAGCCCCTCCTAGCCCTGTGACAGAGGCTCTGCATGACACACAGGGCGCTGGACATTCTAGAACTCCTACCAGGCGCAGAGCATGTGGCACGTAGTGATGCCTTCTAGTGGACCTGGCACCCACAGAACGCACAGCACTGCTCTGCTCATCCCAGTGACAACATCCTCACAAGCCAGCGATGACCAAGCAGCCAACCCCTCCCTCCCCCCACTACCCCTGCTGGGCTGCCCAGGAAGCCCCGTGTATGTTGTTGAAGGTCCCTGGAGAAGACAGGCCAAGTTCAAAGACCAAAGAGCTCCAGTAAGGTCCTCATTTGAGATGGATGTCCACCTACAGCCTCTTCCCTGAGGGGAGGGGGTCCCAGTGACCCTCTCACAACCTATTTAGCCTTGCAGATCCATCCTGTTGTTGTTCCCCCTCTCTTTCAGAGCCCCCACTCCTGTCTGCACGTGGGAGGGGAGCTACAAGGAAATGTAAAGGGGAAAAAAGGAGATTAGGAGAAGGAGGAGCTGATATCTCATGCCATCCTTTCCAGAGACTCTCAGGACCCACCTCCTCCTCCATGTAAATAGGGTAGAGGTGGGCAGAAGACTGCAGTTTGTTGTGCTTGGTGGGGGCTCATCATGAAACCCAGCTCTCTGGCTAATCTGCATTTTGGGCACTCACTGTAACCCTTCCCTTTCCTCATACAGATTATTTTGAGCACTCAATATTATGTTGTGAAATAATTAACTCTCTGAATTTCAAAATCCCTGACATCCTTATGTCTGCTGTGTATGGAATAAGCAGAATACATTGTTCTAGAATGCCCCCTCTATGAAATATAAATTATCCAGCCCTGGGCTATAAGCCAAAAAAAAAACATTGCAAAATTTGCAGGCTTGCCCTGCCTCGCTGTCACCTTTCACTTTTATTTACGCAGATGAAATATGGTAAAATTAAAAACAGGAAATATAAAAAAAAGTTATCAAGCCACAGCCCTTGACATTTAAACCTAGAAAAAAAATGATATAGTCATACGGTGTTGCACAATATGCCAGTGTCTAAAAATGACAATATTTGCAAGATTCTAAGAGGAACACATGGCACCGGAGATGTTATCAGGGTTAAACTGCTGTGGAGGACTGCGAAACAGTCAGATTGGAAACATTTTCAAACCCAAAAGCTATTTATTTCAACAACTCTAGTTTCCCACCGAGTGTTCAAAAAAAAGAACACAAAGCTCAAATTTCAGTGAGAAACCCTCCAAATGACCACTGTTCAGATCTTAATTTGCTAAACAGTGATCTGTGATGAATGGACAAAGGAAGTGGGAAATTTAAGGTTAAATAGCCAACTGGAAAAATTCTCACATCGTCCCATCTTGGCCTAAATTTTGCAATGCCATTTTCAACACGCTGTTTAGTAGTTAAATCCCTAAGTACAGAAGAGTGACATGATTCCTTGTAGGAGGAAGACAAAAAATAGGATAAGGTGGGTGATGGGTACAAGAAAAAGTCGCTGAAGTGGAGAAAAAAAAAATAGAAAATGTGGTGTGGAGAGAAACAGCATTCAAGAATAATTACATGTCCAAATACATAAACATATAAAAATATGGAAGAATATCACCAAATTAAGTATTTTTTCTGTTGTTTAATATCAAGACCATAAGATCTTGTTTTTTCTTTTTTTTTTTAAATAGGGGTGGTTAAAGATATTGTAAACAGATACATAATTAGATAGATGACAGACAGATGGGCTGCAAATTATTCAGTTATTTTTACTTTATTCTGGATCATAACAGAACCAGTGCTTAGCATGTACAGCTCAGTTCCTTGACTCGACTTGCCACATCAACGCTCTAATGAAGGACGAATGTAAAATGTGCATTCAAGGCTTCTTTTGGTAAACATTTCACCCACAGCAGTGCAGGAGCATGCATTGTTTTGTGTCCCTCAATAAAACAAAAATTATTTAGGCCTGTGCTGAGTGCCTGCCTAAGACGACCTGCGAATAATGGAAAATAATGCAAAATATCCATCATTATCAATTTTTTCCATGATATTATCTACCCATTACCAGTCACATTATTCATCTTTTAAACAAATGTTAAAATTGAGGTTAAAATGGCTGCGCTGTGAGTATAAGCAGAATAGATTTGATTCCTCACGCCCCCAAATGAGCTATTTTGGCATAACTATTGATAATTCCATTTTTAGTTTAGTTTGCTGTTTAGCGAGTAACCGTAGCTGCGTGGGCTGCTTTTCTGGGCCCAGTTTTTAAACCGAGGTTAACGTTCGGAGCCACAATAACCCTTTCCTGTCTTTTTGTTCCCTCTAAGCCTTTTCTGAAACGGAAGATTGGTCTGGATCTAAGCTCTACAATAGAACTGTATTCACTTGTAAGAGGACTGGCCGAGAGGGCTACTATAATACAGAATGGCCTATAATACAGAATTGTTATGTAGTGGGTTAAAACAAATGCAGAGCGATGGAGCTTTAAATAATAATATAAATAATGACCAAGCTAAGGTTTCTTATTAAGGAGCATATTATGAGAAATTAAAAATAGGCCAAAATAAGAGAGCTGGAAAAATTCTCTAAGTCAGCTATGTTTTCACTTAATTAATTTTGTATAAAAATATTAAATATTTGAATACAGAATACATTCTTGTCAATTCACACTTATAGCCAGGATTGTTTATTCACTATAAATATAGCACATGTCAACCAAATATATAATAATTTAAAAAATTTTTTTAAAAAAATCCAGGATGGATAAAATGATTGTGATTTATGTTATTTTCTATAATTCCTCATTAAGGAACAACACGTCCCATATAGAGCAGCTAAGCACTAGACAGGGGTTATATAACATCCTCTCCCCTCGGCTCCTCTCCTCCGACTGTGGGAAAAACAGCTCAGAGCGCGGGTGTCACTGCGTCTCGTGACTGCCTCGCCTTGACGGACACCACTAGCCGCCCAGTAGGCGTGAGGGTGGCGGTCGGCCATCCAATGGCACGGCAGCTGGTGGGCGTGGTTACGGCGCCCCTCCTTCAGTTCCCGCCGCCCCTGCCGCCGGAGCCGGGGATCCCCGTGTGGTCAGTTGAGTTTCCGCCCGTGGAGGTAGAGAGTGTGCGGGGGGAGGGGAGGCGGTGTGTGGATCGGCTGTCTATGCGGATTGGGGGGGTGGGGGAGCTGGCTTGTTGGGGAGCCCTCCCGAAATTACACAAACTAAGCAACGGAGAGCTGCGGCTGGCAGGCAGGCCTCTCATCCACTGGAGCCCAAAGGATATACCAAGCCTGGGAGCCCTGGAACGCTGGCCCGCTGGAGCTGCTCCCGGGCTCAGGCTTTCAGGAAACACCGCGGCTTCACTAGAGGCCTAGTAGCTTTTTGGACTCTGGGAAAGTGTAAAGCGGGATTTTGCTGTGGGACCGAGGTGGACATACTGTGGGAGGGACGGGTAAGTGACTGTGACATTCACCCAGGCTTATTTTATCAGATTTTTACACAAAAAGTAGGTTGTTTCCTTCAAACCTGTCAGGGTCAGTGCTTTGTAGAGCCAGGTGCTCTGTGTGGCTGGGTATGGGTCAGGAATGCACTGTGAACTTGTTTGTAGTTGTTTTTCAGTTACTTTTGCAGCTTTAAACCACATTCTCACAGCAGTGAATGCTTTCCTGAGCTGGCAATACCAGGGTGCTCTGTGCTGTGTAGGATCCTGAGCTGGCAATACCAGGGTGCCCAGTGCTGTGTGGGACCCTGAGCTGGCAATACCAGGGTGCCCAGTGCTGTGTGGGACCCTGAGCTGGCAATACCTGGGTACCCAGTGCTGTGTGGGACCCTGAGCTGGCAATACCTGGGTACCCAGTGCTGTGTGGGACCCTGAGCTGGCAATACCAGGGTACCCAGTGCTGTGTGGGACCCTGAGCTGGCAATATCAGGGTGCCCTGTGCTGTGTGGGATCCTGAGCCTGCAATACCAGGGTACCCAGTGCTGTGTGGGATCCTGAGCTGGCAATACCAGGGTACCCAGTGCTGTGTGGGACCCTGAGCTGGCAATACCAGGGTGCCCAGTGCTGTGTGGGACCCTGAGCTGGCAATACCAGGGTGCCTAGTGCTGTGTGGGACCCTGAGCTGGCAATACCAGGGTGCCCAGTGCTGTGTGGGACCCTGAGCTGGCAATACCAGGGTGCCCTGTGTTGTGTGGGACCCTGAGCTGGCAATACCAGGGTGCCCTGTGCTGTGTGGGACCCTGAGCTGGCAATACCAGGGTGCCCTGTGCTGTGTGGGACCCTGAGCTGGCAATACCCGGGTGCCCTGTGCTGTGTGGGACCCTGAGTTGGCAATACCAGGGTGCCCTGTGCTGTGTGGGACCCTGATATGGCAATACCAGGGTGTCCTGTGCTGCGTGGGACCCTGAGCTGGAAATACCAGGGTACTCTGGACTGCCTGTGAGCCTGATATGGCAATGCCTTGGTGCCCTGTGATCTGTGTGACCCTGAGATGGCAATGCAAGGCCCTGAGGAGCTTTGTGTGCCCTGTACCTAATACTGGGTTATGTGAACCTCTGGACTGGCAATTATACTCTAATGGACTGTCTCTATACTTCAGTGCTGGCAGCCCCACTCACCTGGATCCCTGTGTTAGCAGTTTTATTTTGTAATATTAAGTGTGAACCCCAGTACTGGTAGTCATATCTTGTAATGGGACGTGTAAATCCCAGTATGTGTCCCTGTGCTGGTGATCTCATTATTAATGGGACATGTGAAGCCTAGTATGTACTCTTGTGCATTCAGTTTTATCATGTACTCCTATGTTAACAGTCTCTTCCTTCAATGGGACATGTGAACCCGAGAATATCTCTCTGCAGGCAAGCTTGTCCTGTAATGGGCTCTGTGAACCCCATTAGGAACATGCAAGCCCTAGTATATTCCTTTGCTGGCAAGCTGACCATCAAATGGGTTCCGTGAACCCCAATATGTATTCCCTGTTCTGGCAATCTCATCCTCTAATCGGCTCTGTTAAATTCATGTGCTGGTAAACACGCAAATGAACAGTTTGTACCCTTGTGCTTGCAACCCTTCTCTGTGTTTAAGAACCCCTGTACTGGCTATACCACACTCTTAAGCTTTGTGAATCTTTGTATATATCTTTGCACTCCCAATCACTTTCTTAAATGGGTCCTGTGAATTCTTGGATTTTTCAAATGGGCTGTGTAACCCCATGTACACCTTTGCTGGAAAATCTATTCTCTGGTTGTGTGATCCCGTAAGCTGTGCTTCCATATGTTTTAATACCATTCTGTTTGATCTACGTCAGTGATCTGTGTTGATATTTTGTTCACTTATAATTATGTATATTTTTTTTTAATCACGTTTGGTTTGGGGTTACAATCAAGAGTTAAAACTTAGGAAAGCAGGATCATTTAATAGTCAAAGATAAATTAAATTGACACTGGTGGTATTGCTGTGCTGGTAGTCCTATTTTCTAAACTCTGTGCAGCCAGTCTTACTCTGTAGGGCCATTTGAATTTCTATGTATCAGGTTTTTCTGGGAATCCAGAAAACCTGATGCAGCCAGCCCCATAAATCTCTTTGCTGCTTAGTATACCCCTGTGTGTTTCCTTGTCCTGGCAATCAGTGGCAAGCACTCTGTTTTTATCCTTGTTGAATTCGTACTAATCTGGGTCTCTTGTATTTTCTGTGGGGCTATATTTACTCATGTGCTGGTGATTGCAGTCTCTGTGGGGGTTTTCTATCCATGTGTTTGCGCTTCCTCTCTGCGGAACTGTTTCTACACTGTGCTGGCAGTCCATGCATGTATACATGTGATAGCAATTCCCTGTTTCTGCAGGGCTGTGTGTATCCATGTGCTAGCAGTTCCACTCGTTGTGGGACTTTAAGAATGGTTGTGCTTCAAGTACTCCCCTTTGTGGCTCTGTGTCCATGTGCTAGCAATTCCAGTTTCTGATGTTGTGCATTCCTATGCTAACAATATGTTTTCTAGAGCTCTCTGTACCCCCATGTTTAGAAACCTTTTTTTGTTACAGATACCCCTGTTTATCGGTTTGTGTGCATCTCTCATGGCAGACTTATACTCTACGGTCTGCATGTACCTATGTTCCTTGTGCTTCCAGTCTCCATTTTTACAAAGCTGTATGGTACCATGCTTTGGCAGTCGTACTCTCCATACATTTATTATTTTCCTTTTTCTGGCTGTATGTACCCATATTCTTTTAATACCATATTTTAAAATAAGGCTTTCGCAGTGCTGACCATACCATTCTCAAGGGAGGTTGGTCCATATCCATACAATACAGATTATACTTTCTATGGGACTGTGTTTGGCCTATAGTAGTACTCCTGTGTTTTGGGATTAGTCTCTCTGGTGTAAATGTGCCCCTGTGTGTCCATTTCTGTTTTCTATGGGATGGTATGTACCTCTCTTTCATGCGTTGCCATTATCACACTTTTGGACAGTTTATCCCTGTATTTCTGGTTGAAGTCTCTATGGTTCTGTGTATACCCATTTGCCTTACATGGCTGTTCTCAATGCCATTGTGTCTACCATTGTTCTGATAATCCTTATCTGTTATTTGTACTGTTGGTGCGATTTGCAGCCTATCCCAGTCTCTCTGATGCTGCTTGTATTATTATGTTAGGTTTACCAAGCCATACAAGGCTGTTTTTCTGTTCCCAGTCTCTGTTGGAAGCGTATACTCATGCTGGCAATTGCAGCATTCTCTCTATACTCCTTTTGTAGGCAGTCCCAATCTGTTGTGGCCCTGTGTAATCCCACATGTGCAGCCTCAGTCTCTTGGAGCCCTGGGTATCCTCATGTTGTCAGTCTTAGTTTCTGTGGGGACATGGGTAACCCCGTTTGGCAATCCATGTCTCTGTTGAGCTCTTCATACCCCTATGTTGGGAATCCCAGTTTCTGTGGGGCCCTGTGTACCCTTTTGGCAGTCCCAATCTCCATGGTGCCCTGTGTACACCGATTGGCAGTCCTAGTCTCTGTAAGGCCATGTGTATCCCCGTGTAGGCAATCCCAGTCTCTGTGGGGCAATGTGCAGCCTATTCCAGTCTTGATTAGTCTCTTTGTACTCCATCATGTTCAGTGAATAATATCCTGTGTGTGTCAGCCTTCATCCAGTTCTGGTCTCTGGATATCTTTATGTATCCTTGTGCTTTCAGTATTGGGACCTTTTCATGGAGTTAAAATTATTATTGACATATATAGTATGCCAATGTATTCCACATCCCTGTACAATTTTGTTTATGTATTTGGGGGTGCAATTTTATTTTCCCACCCAAGGAGTAGACCTTGATGTTATTGAAGACCTATGCTGTGCTGAATGCTCGTAAGATTTAATTGATTTATTTTAGACAATTTGTGGGGGCAAGGATGGATTTCCTTCTGTAAAGATTCCTGGCACTCAGTGGTGCCTAATATGGGGTTCTGCGTTACTGCAGTAAACCCAGATTCGCACAGCCACCTTCCATACTTCCCAGTCTGTACTGTGAGGCTGTTCAAAATGCACCCTTCCCCGCCCCCTCGCACAAGTGTCCAGGAGGAAGGAGTATCTGCTGGTTTATTTTAACCTCCATTTCTTTTGTAATGCCGATAAAGCTGAAAAGTGGTTTGCGGGGCCTTGGGTTCTGCTCAAAATTCTATTTTGAGACCTGTGTTGTGATAACAAACTACAGTATAAAGCATTTTATTTAACATAATCTTGCTAGTATGTTATAAACTTTATTAGTGATGTAGCCTCAAAAGACGAGGTGCTTGCTGGCAGTCTGTTTGCATGATTTCTTACCACTTTGATTAGATCTAGCTTATTCTTTTTTCGACAAACTGAGAACTGTTCTCGGCTTTTGTAAGAGTAGTTTGTTATAATTGGACCTACCATATCAATGCTAATTTCCGTTCAGTGTTTTCACATGTACAACCAACCTTTACACCTCCCCCCTCCACAGTGCTAAAGCCAGTCTTTTGGAATTCCTTTCATGATCCTTATTCTTTTCGTCTCCATTTACATTGAACAATCCTCAATGCGATGTGATGCAGTGTATCTGTTACTGCAAACACAGGGTACTTTGTATTTTGGGTTAACCTTTTTGCTGTTCAGTATAGCTCTCTTCGAGGTATCTTGGTTCATGGGTTTGAGACTGCAGAGGTGGTCTCCTTAAATGTGACTTCAATTATTTAAAATAATACCTCCTATAAATATTACCATTATTATTTATTGGTGGATCAAACAGGTTTATTTTAATTCTTGCTGCTTTTTACTATATCTTGCAGTTGTTTGGGCCCTTGTGTATTACTGGTAGTTTGGCTGCCCCACCCCCCCTTGAGTGTTATGCGTGACCTGTTTTGTTGTTTTTATTCTTAATGTATATACTGTGTGGCTGCCTTTTTTTTTTTTTTTTTAGGAGAGATTCCAGCTTGTTGCCAGGTGTTTCTCATTGCTGGTAAATTAGCAGGAGGATATGAGACATCTTTTTGTATTTTTTTTTTTTTTTTTCAATTTATTTTTAACCCGTCATCCTCCAAGTGCTTGCATTCTACAGTTTACAACTCCTCTGAGCTTTGTAAATAGCACCTAAAGCACATTTTCTGTATTGTATCTTGAGTCAGATCTGCACAAAGATGTTTTTTGTCTGTTCAAGGTCACGAAGACACGCACCAAAGTTTTTAATTCACAGACTGGTATATGGGAACCAATGCTGATTGAGGCAGAACACCCAGCATATGTTTTCCCAGGAGTAGTTGAGAGTTGGTATAGACACCCATTTAGCTGTTTTGACATTGCTTACAAGCTTGTTACTGTATTCATTATATACTTCTTGATAGCTTGATTTGCTTTTTGTTTCCATTTATTACATATTGCATGCCTCCCCACCCCTACTTATTTTGTAAAAGTTGAGGCAAAGTAATTTCAATGTCTTGTGACACCCTCTGGTACTTAACTGCACCAAAAGGTACACAAGTAATCCCCTGAGAAGGTTTTTCTTTATGTAATCTAGACTAGAACAAGAATATGTATTTAATATGAATGAACCATGTTATTTGTGTCTGTGCAACAGATTTTCTGTCTGTTATTAAAAGGCCTTATTTAAAGGTTGCAGGACAAATCTACTGCAGTGTGCTAAATTTAAAGCATTCATTTTTCTTCCTCAGATTTCGCAAGGGGTATGTGATTAACAGTTTGCTTGCTGGCAGCAAGGCTGTGCCCAATGGGTACAGATATATTTTAAGAGTAGTCTTAATTGTAATGTTAGTTCTATATTGCATGCAATGTGGCTCCAGTCGTTAAGCAAATGTTATTACTACATGCGTTTTTGAAACGATGAATATGTTGCACAATATTGCTTTGGTTTAACCCCTTGAGTGCTTTGATTTCGGTGTTTTGGGTTGACAATGACTTTGGTTTCAAAAGTGTTAATACGATGATACTCCAGGAGCTTTTGGGGAGGAGAGTTAAGTATAAGCCCACCCCACTGAAGAGCTATTTTTTATTTTTTTTCCTCCATATATGTGTTTTTCACACTCCCGAGTATTGTGGGGTGATGGGTGTTGCTGAGTTAGATCATGTGCAGGAGATTCAGAGCACGGCCCTGGAGCTGCTGTTGCTATGTGAGACTCTCAAGTGGCTGTCAGTCTCTAGGGAAAAACACAGCGTCCATTAGCACTGCTGGTCCAGAAAAGAAGGGTTGGCAGCACTGTAGTTTGGCGATGGCTGGTTTGTTTTAGCCATCTGTGTGGGTTTTTTGTTTGTTAGTATGCCCCCCCATTCCAATCGCAGCATCTCTATAGTTAACAGCCTAGCTATGGTATACAATTGTTTATATAGCGCCAACATAGTCTGTAGCATGGCACAATAGGTAAACAAGACAATACTTACAAAACATGATTGACATACTGGAACAGTAGGGCCCTTCCTATACAGTCTTGCAATCCAAAATATTGAAGGTATAACGTTTAATGTCGGTTTCACCATTTACTTATTTGAGTGCAAATAAATTATCTGCCGTACTTTCTGTATGTAGAGCTTTTTTTGCTCACAGATTTGGTTACTGAAATATTGAACTATAAAGCTTCCACTGAGCACAACACTGGCAATCATCACTTGCTTTTTCATTAACCAAGAGATGCTTGCAGCTGTTTTCCATTGCTACATGGTTTGGTGGAAAGTTTGTGAGCTGTTATCGGAATAGCAGCTCCCTAAAATAAAATGCTTTTGTACTGATCACTGCCTGCTTCTGTATGCTTGTTCAGCCCCTGGTTTTGTCCTGTTCCTTGGGAACTTTGCTCGCTTGTTATATTTGTACTTTATATATTGTTTTATGGAATGGGTGTGTGAGGGCTAGGTCATGTTTGTGGCTTGTATTGTTGCGGATTTTTTTTTTTTTTTAAATGTTAATTTATTTCCATTTTATAGCAAATTATGCTGTAAATATATATAAGGGCTCTGAAATAAACACAGTATTTTAATTTCAGTCCCTAAAATGTTCTGGCAATTTAAAATCCCTTTCAAATATGAATAATCTAACAGTTATATACCAGTGCAAAAGAAAGCCTCTGCATAATGACTCTTATGTACAGGATTTATAGGCAATCTAGCATGTGATTGTGGAAAATTGTCATCTCTTTGCTAGTCTCTGACAAGTAAAAACTAGCAAACTAGTGAGAACACATTGTTTTCCATATTTGTTACGTGAGGGTTGGTTATAGTCATTTGGATTGCGACTAACCCAGCTGTGTTGAACTGTTTTGACAAACAGATGCGTTCCATAGTGTTCTGTCCCCAAATATCTGGCTGCACAGGAAGCACTCTAAAACATGCTTTCTGTTTCTTTGCAATTTTAATGTGGATAGAGAAGGAACTGGCTACAGATAGCTTGATTCATTAGCGTTTAGTTCTATGCCTTTATATATCCGTCTATTTACAGATCTTCCAAGGCTTGGCCTTTTTATAGTTTTCGTGCTGTGGCTGCCATTTTTCCTCTTGCATCATCTCTGTAATTTTCTCTCACGCTCACTGTCTGCCCAGGCCTGTACTGTCTATCTCTTCTCTTCTACTCTCTGATATTCAGACACTCCCTCCTAACCTAGCCAGCAGTGCTATTGCGTGCTTCCCTGTGTGTAAGTGTAGGTTATATGCCTCCAGTGTATTTCCTCTGGCTCGCCTGTGCTGTCGTTCTCCCTTCCCTTTTTGTAACGAGCAGTCTGATGAGATCACCAGTATTGAGTCCTGCGAGAGACCTGCAGACTGGGTGAAGGGAGGTGTTTTTAATTTTTTTCTTATTTTTTCTAACACAGCGCACAATACTGTTCTACCTTTCAGCATATTGTCCCATTGGTTAAATGGGGTACGAAGTACTTTTTTTATTTTTATTTAAATTTTTTATTTAAGGAGGTTTTTTTTTGTTTTTGTTTTTTTTTAATATGGTGATACCTCCAGAACTGTCATCTAAGACAGGTTTTTTTTTTCCCTCTCTCTTCTTTAATGACCTAAATACTTTACTTTTTACTTCCTCCCTTTGGTTTAAATGCACATTGGCCGGTTTCTAAGTATATGAATGACTCAGCACAGTGCTATGTAGGCTTTTTTTTTTCTTTTCCCTCTCTCTTTCTGTCCTCTTATTAATGGATAAAATTGTAGTTGCATTTTTTTCCCTTTAGGTAGCCTTGCTTCCTTTTGACACACGTTTCTGAACTGATTTTGTGCTAATTATGCAGTAAAACCTGGCTAGAGACATAAACATACAAACTTGTATATTCATACAGAACAGTATGCCTTATAATTATACATAAGTGTGTACCAAAGAAAAGTTACCTGCACTCTTCCCAAATCCCTATGTATATTTAAACAAATGGAGGTGCTTTAGTTTCTCCAATGGCCATGAGAGACTTTAGCCCACCTGCCACATCCAGGAAAATATCTCAGGCGGGTCCTACGCTAACCTTTTACCTTGCTTCCTTGAGCTTCTGGCAAAGATATGTGTGTGTGTTTATCACTTTTGGTATATAGTATATGGCTGGTTGGAGCAATGACAAAATCTGTGTCTTAGAACTGGGAAACCCAGACTTGAATCCTAGTCAGACCACCTATGTCATTGGGAAAGACACATTTCCTTTCTCTCCCCATTTCCTTTCTCTCCCCCCCTTCCCCTTCTCTCCCCCCTTCTCCCCTTTCCCCTTCCTCCCCCTTCCCCTTCTCTCCCCCTTTCCCTTCTCTCCCCCTTCCCCTTCTCTCCCCCCTTCTCTCCCCCTTCCCTTCTCCCCTTCCCTTCTCTCCCAGCCCCTTCTCTCCCCTTCCTTCTCTCCCCCTTCCCTTCTCTCCCCTTCCCTTCTCCCCCTTCCCCTTCTCTCCCCCTTCCCTTCTCCCCCCTTCTCTCCTCCTCCTCTCACCCCCTTCCCCTTCTCTCCTCTCCCCTTCCCTTCTCCTCTCCCCCCTTCCTTCTCCTCTCCCCTTCCGTTTCTCCCTCTCCCCTACACTTTCTCCTCCTCCCCCTTCCCTTTTCTCCTCTCCCCCTTCCCAGCACTGCTCCTCTCCCCAGCACTGCTCCTCTCCCCCCTTCCCTTCTCCTCCTCCCCTTCCCAGCACTGTCCTCCTCCCCCTTCCCCTTCTCCTCTCCCCTTCCCCTTTCTCCTCCTCCCCTTCCCCTTTTCCTCCTCTCCCCCTTCCTTTTCTCCTCCCCTTCCTTTCTCCTCCTTCTCCTTTTCTCCTCCCCCTTCCCCTTTTCTTATCTCCACCTTGCCTTTTCTCCTCCTCCCCCCTTCCTTTTCCTCCTCCCCCCTTCCTTTTCTCCTCCCCTTCCTTTTCTCCTCCCCTTCCTTTTCTCCTCCCCTTCCTTTTCTCCTCCCCCTTCCTTTCTCCTCTCCCCTTCCTTTTCTCCTCCTCCCCTTCCCTTTTCTCCTCCCCCCTTCCTTTCTCCTCCCCCCCTTCCCCTTTCTCCTCTCCCCCTTCCTTTTCTCCTCTCCCCTTCCCCTTTTCTCCTCCCCCTTCCTTTTCTCCTCTCCCCTTCCTTTCTCCTCTCTCCCCCAGCTTCCCAGCACTTTCTCCTCTCCCCATTCCCTTTCTCCTCCCCTTCCCGTTTTCTCTTCTCTCACCCCCTTCCGTTTCTCTTCTCTCCCCTTCCCGGCACTGTCTTCCCTCCCTTCCTTTTCTCTTCCCCCTTCCCCTTCCCCTTCTCTCTCCCCTCCTCAGACATGAGTGACAAGAAGTGTCAGGCATAGGAGAAATACTGAGACAAAGTTGTCCTTACTTTGTCTCTGTATATCTCTTGACTGGGTTGGAATTTCTGTGTTCTATATTTTATGTGTGTTTCTATGTTTATTACATATTTTTTTCGTGGGAGTGGGGTGACAATGCTGCTTAATGGAGCAGCCTTTTATAAGCTAAATGGGGTTCAGAAATCCATTGCAGGCCATCTTCTAAAGTGGTATATAGGGATGTCATTTATTTGTGCTAGAAGCTGTGCAGCCTTTTGGTTTAAGATAAAGTTAGCTGTTTTAAAACTAAAAATCTCTTGGGATCGTGCTGACAATTTTTAGATTGCAAGAGACAGCCATATTGAGGACAGTTTTTCTTTCCCCTCTTTCTAGTAGTTGAGGAGAAGTAACTCTAACATTTTACATAATATCCAAATAAAAAGACAGCAGTAACCTTTTCGGGAGCCCATGGCTCTGTCTCTTAGGGTTTGTCGAGCCCAAGCCCTTTTTTGTATGGCATATCAAAACAAAACACTTTTGTTGTATGGTCTGTAATTACTGTAATATAAATGCTGACTATCAGAATATGAAGCTTCATTCTCTTTGCGTGCTCTCTCCCTTGTGGAAATAATATGCCCTTGATATTTTCAATCATTGTGTTGCTTGGTGCTTTCATTTCTCTAGAGCGGTCATGTCATATTTTTTCTTTTTTTTTTTTTTTGTACCCAACCTCACCCCTCATGAGGTCCTATTGCATTTTTTTTTTTTTTTTTTACTTTTTTTTTTTTTTAACTGTAGATCTTATTTAAATGCATGGGCTTTGCATCCTGGTTGAAAATAAAATGTTAATTGGCTTCCTCAACTATGCAACTTGATTGAAAACAGAGGTAACTGCAATTGGTTTACTTGTAGTAGGATGCGAGCAAGAGGATTTATCTCAGGTTGGTTAACAGAATAAATTGCTGCTGTGCTTTACAAAGCTTTTGTAGAGTGTACATAGAGTTAAACAGGCCCTACAATTGCACAATGCTCACTTTAAAATATTAGTTAAGGGAAAAACAATTAGGAGAATGTTAAAATGCAATAACACTGATGGCTTCCACAACATGACAAAATATAACTAAACATTTTATCAGCCATTCACCACTGACCATTAGTATTGGCATTTATAGCACCAACATATTCCTCAGCATGTTACAATTATAGGAAGGCACTGCTCAAACAAGCTTGCAACATGTGGAGACTTGAGATAGGCAGACCTATATTGGCAGGTGTCTTGTCCAAGGACAATTACTAATGAGGTGACCTGGCCTTGATTCAAATATGGGTTTCCAAATAGTGATTTTACTATTGCTCCAACCAGCCACTCAATTTTTGTCTAGCTTACCTTCAGGGATTAAATGGTTTAATCCCCAAAGTCTTCAGGCTGGCGCTCATCCGCTCTATCCTGTCAGGTCCATTTCAGTCTGAGACTTCAATCAGAATGCCTAGTACTAGGGTGCCGCTGATAGACGGAGAGCATCAGTTGACACAGCCTATCAATGACTTGCCAGTCACTAGTTTGTTTTCTACCCAATTTAGAAGTGAAGTTCAATAACAAAAACAGATGTACACACTGACATAATTATCCAAAATGCTTACAGAGGGTATTGATATATCTGGAATTAAAGCTACAAGGTTTTTGAAGTGTTTTGTTGAATCTTGCTCTAAACATTTTCATTCTTGTTTTTGTTTAGTTTTTTGCGTGGTAAAATGGAGCTATGGTAAGATCACTGTTTTTAGATCAAGGAAACCTGGGTTTGAATCCAGGTAAATCACTTCATCAGTAGATGTCCTTGGGCAAGAACAATTTAGGTCTGTCTATCTCAAATCCTCAAAGATTGTAAGTCTGTTTGAGCACTGCCTTCCTGACTTCTAAATATTCCCTTTCTTATAATTGTAAAGTGCTATGGAAATTGTTGGCGCTTTAAAAAAGTAAATGCTAATATAAATGATCAGTGCTGAATGGCTCTGACATGGTTTTAGCTGCACCTTTTTTCATGTTGTGAAACCATCTGTTTTAATTGCACAATAAAATTCTGCTGATTGTCCCTTTTGCCATATCCAATATTTTTTATTTAAATAAATTGTAATGAAGGAATCTACTAGACTCCTGATTCTTTAAACCACTGTCAACTTGTTTTTAATCATATCCGTCATACAAAACCACTGTTTAAATTGTAAATGATAGACCAATAATACTTTTAAACCACACTATGCAGTGGGAGCAGGTGGACACAGTCTATATTAGAAGTTGAAGGGAGCAACTTACAGTTAATGTGTACCGTTTTTTAATCTCTACCTCTTGTGTACACAACTTCATCAAACTCACCTGCTCATTCACACCTTTTGTGTACCACATGTTAAATTTCAAAATTGTCTTGTAAATTTGCCCTTGTTTCATAAATTGGGGGGAGTTAAACGATGTATTTTTGGGAATCCTTGGAGTGCCGGTAGATTTTGTTTATATCTGTTAGCAACCAGAGCAACAGGTACCATTTAGTTTTGTTGGAGTGCAGGAGTTTCCTACATTTATTTTTATATCTTTGTGTGTCTCTTTCTCTTTCTCTCTCTCTCTTTCTCTTTCATCATTAGGCATAGACCAATTATTAGAGGTGATATTCATCATTTCACCAATAATTGGTATCTGCCTTGTAACATACCGCTTATTACTGATAACTTACCTCTCCCAGTCACCACACGCTGTCTTATGGTATCTGGAAACTCTAGCCTGCCAGGTAATGAAGTGCTATATTGTGACCTCACATCACCCATTTCTGAGAGTCCCCCACATGCAGAGCTCAGCTGAAGGCAGGGAGATGAGCCAGTGAATAATCTATTGTATTAGGCTGGCTGACCATGATAGGCGGTGGATTGCAGACAACCATCACACTCCTATCAGTAAATGCACTGTACATGCTGGGATCTCATAGATCCCAGCATGTACTTGCTGCCTGAGATTGATAGGAATGTGATTGCTGTCAGCATGTTCAGTTAATATCAAATTTGTGTAGAATATGTTACTTTTTCAAAACTTTAAAAGTACAGAATAGTGTATCTGCATCGACTCTGGAAAAATGACCACAGTAATACTGTTGAAGCCAGATGGTGCTCTTGGTTTAGGACTGGGTTTAAAGGGAGTCTCTGGGTGCCAGCACAATTTAAAGGAACAGTATAGTGTCAGAAATACAAGCCTGTCTTTCCAGAGATTAAAGATGACTCAACTTTTCTTCCGCACTAATCTCACCTTGGCTTGCTCCAATTTCATGGCTGAGATGATCAATTTTTATCTCAGCCAATCCAGTGCTTTCCCATAGAAAATCTTTAGGAGGCTATTGCGCCTGCACGGCACAATGAGGAGCTATACAAATCAGCATCTCCTCATAGATATACGTTAAATCAGTGCATCTCTATGGGGCATGTTCAGCGCCTCCCATGCAAAACGTGGAGACCGAAGCACCACTAGTGGCAGTCTGAGTGAGAGCTATTATTGGTGTAACTAGCCAACAATGTAAACATTGCCTTCTCTCTGAAATGGAAATGTTTACAGTTCTAAGGCTGCAAGACATGCTAGAGACACCAGAATCACTACATTAAAGGGACACCGTAGGCACTGTATCTGCTTCATCTCATTAAACTGGTTATAGTGTCAGGAGTCCACTGGTCCCATCATTTCTATCAGCATTAAAAAGTTTTTAAAGTTTTAATGTTTTAATGCTAAACAAGAGTCCCTGGCAATCCATCCCCTCTGTGCTGCTTTAGCTAATAAGGAAGTATTAGCCTGAGCAGCAATGGGCAGCTGTGATTGGCTGAGTGTGTCAGCTGACTGCTTTTAACCTGTCAAAGTTCCAACTGACTGTATGAATGGGTATGACAACAAGGAAGTGTGTAATCTCTGCCTTAGCTACACATACTGAAGGGCCCGGACTGTGGGTGGCCAGGGACTCTTATTTTGTGGCATACTGCACGAACATGGTGCAACACTGAATGGAGGGACAGTGCCAGGGTACCACAGGCACTATAACCAATTCAAAGAGATGAAATGCTTATTGTAACTACAGTGTCCCTTTAAGCTTTAGTGGTTCTGGTGACTATAAGTGCATTTAGTAGGTTCTAGCCTCATGTTCATGCTCTGGTGGGGTTTTTTTTCCTTATCAATTTTCTGTAGTTTTGATAACAAAAAAATCTGCTGTATAATTCATCCCCATTAGCAACACATCTTCTTTTCACGAAATATCTTCCCAATCAAAAAGTACGCAACGTAGCCTAGCCATGTCAGATAGTAGTGAGCTGAGCTGCTGGTGTGACTGCCGTTTAATATCTTTCATCAAAGTTGTGCAAAGGGACAGGTGGCAGATCATAGGAGGACAATGACTGTGGGGTGTAGTCATGTCAGCAGATCAGCTCATCCTTGAGTGTCCTTTTAACACCACTCATCAGTGTTAATCATGCAAACTCCAGTATTGCTTGTTTAACCCCTTAAGGACCAAACTTCTGGAATAAAAGGGAATCATGACACACTTGTCATGTGTCCTTAAGGGGTTAACAACAAATAAAATGGAGCCATCTTGAAATTATCAGGCCTGCTGTAAGTTTACCCCCATTTTATAGTTCAATTGTGTCATTAGCTTGTTGTGTTCCAAATAGACATTTTAGGTACAGTATATGTGTGTTGTATTATCAATTTCACTTTTATTTTTGTGTTACAGTGCTTATTTTTACGTGAATTCGATTAATGAAGAATCATTAGTGTAAGATTTTCTTGCAATCCTCATAAGGTGTTTGTGGTGGTGTTCTCATGTTCAAACACTTAGATTTTGTGGGGGGTATATGAAAAGTGTCTTCTCTGATTTATCAAGTTCTTTAGGGGATGGAGTCTCGCTTTCTCTCTTTTTATTTATTTATATATATATATATTATACTGCACTAATAATGGGAAAGTGTTTTTTGAAAAGTATCAAAACAATAAGATTGTGTTGATATTGACTGCTCATCGTCAGCTGTTAATGTGTTCATGGTTATCAAGCGATAGATTTAAAAAAAAAAGTTATACCGGTCCACCCCTTTTCATGTACAGCACTAACTTCCTAGTTGGTGCCGTGCATCATCCATTCAAATGCTTCTTGTAGATGAGCATTAAGGAGACGTGTGCTTATGCGATTATCAAATTCTCTTCTTACTCATTCAGAAATGGCAAGATGAGCAACGATTCCTTTCTCTGTTCATGCCTCACCCACCTGCTGTAATGTGCTGTCACCCCTCCTCCTCGTCTTCATTTTACAATTCCCAGCCAGAAGTAAAGGCTCGGTGCACATGTGCCAAAGGTGTTCAGAATAGCCTGTCCGTGCACGTGTGTCAATTTAAACAGTCTTTTCAGATGCAAGGAAGTGTTTGCATTGCGGCCTAGTAATACCTCTAGTGGCAGTCACTCAAACCACTAGAGGTTCTTCCTTTCTTTCAATGCATCCATTCAATATTTTTATAAGGGCTGAGGGAGGCAGCCGGCTGAGCAGAAGAATGCAGGCCCTACCACAACGGCGGAGTTAGTCAATCTTGACGATCTTAGCCAATCCAATGCATTGGATTGGCTAAGATCGTCAAGATTGACTAACTCCGCCGTTGTGGTAGGGCCTGCATTCTTCTGCTCAGCCGGCTGCCTCCCTCAGCTCTTCATGCTCCATGAGCCTCCCATCGCAGTCAGTAGCTTTGGGGCTGAACTGGGGCTGAACTGGCTCACAAATCCCAGGCGCAAGAAAAAATTGCATAGTCGCCATGGCAACCTGTCCTTTTGTGACTTGCCCAGGGACAGTTACTTGTCAAGTGGTCTGACTAGGATTCGAACCTGGGTTGTCCGCTTCTGAGGTTGTTGTTTTACCTCTACTCTAATTAGCCAATAATGTTCCATTACCTTTTTTACTTAGTTACTGGGAGCTGCTTTTAAAAAAAAAAAAATTTTTTTATATCAAGTAAATGGTGACACATAGTTAACCAAAGTAAAGTTACTGGTTAGTTAAAAAAAACAGTTTTTCCACTAGGGATCAACCGATAATCTGTTTTACCGATATTATCGATATTCAGTATTTTCGGCAATATCGGTATCGGTCAATAAAGATACTTATATTTTGTGATAATACATAACCGGACCGCCGCCCCATTACAAGCCTGGGGGTCCTGCAGCAAGCTGTGTAAGTCCCGCGGCCGCAGAGCGGTGCCACGGGTTACCATGGCAACGCTCCGCGCGGCACTCAGACCGCACAATTTACACAAGGAGCTGAAGGAGTTGCTGGGAAGGTAAGTAAGTGTGCTGCGCACTATACGCACACTACACAAGCACACTACATTCACTATACGCACACTACACAAGCACACTGCATTCATTATACGCACACTCTCTGCATTTACTATATATACACACTGCATCCACTACACGCACACACAGGTCTGATGTCTAAACACACTGCATCCACCACATTTGGCATATATATTTTGTGCATTTACCTTTAGAAATGTATTTTTTCAAAATGTACAGAATATCGGCAAGCTATCGGTCTGAAAGTTCACAGATTATCGGTATCTGCTCTAAAAAATCGATAAAGGTCGATCCCTAGTTTCCACTGGCCATTCAGAGCAAGTCAATAATTAAACACCATATGTAGGCGTGTAATTAAAGAGATTATAATTTTATGCTTGCTGTTATGTAATGAATGTTCATCAGCCCCCTTTCCTACTTATATTTTTAACTCACCTGCAAATATTGCTTCATAAACCACCTCCTGTTATTGGTTAATTTTCATGTTGCTGTGATTAATTAAAACACCACTGTCATGCCATATTTGCCTTTTCTTAATTGCTTTCTCCTCACTGTTTCTTTTTTTTTTCATTTTCATCTCCTGCTAACTAAAAACATTTGTTATGGTGCCCAAACAGAACAGGTGAGAGTTCTCTCATACAGGGCTCACAAGTTCCACTAGCTATGGTGGTTACAAATGTAGCCATGGTGAGTAGAAATCCATCCCTAAAGGGTATACTATGGCATGCAGTGACAAGGAACTTTTAATACCTGGCTAGTAGTATAGTAGTACCCATTTTAAGTCCAAACAGCACAGGTGATGTTTCACCATTACACCAGTCCTTTATCAAATCTGGTGTATTTAGGAAACCTCACCTGGTTTGTTTTGGCACCTACTAAAGCAATAGGGATCGACCGATATTGATTTTTTTTAGAGCCAATACCGATAATTAGAGATGTCGCGAACCGTCCGCGAACTTCTCGCGAACAGCTCGTGGCGAACTCCGGTCAGCTGACACGTCCCGGCCAATCTCCAGCAGACCCTCCCTCCCAGACCCTCCTACTTCCTGGACAGGAACTTCGCGAGAAGTTCGTGGACGGTTCGCGACATCTCTACCGATAATCTGTGAACTTTCAGGCCGATAGCCGATTAATTGCCGATATTCTGTGCATTTTGAAAAAAATTAACTATTTCTAAAGGTACATGCACAAAATATACATGCCACATGCAGTGGATGTAGTGTGTTTAGACAGGGGAGCTGTGTGTGTTTGTGTAGTGTGTGTATAGTTAATGCAGTGACTGTTTGTATAGTGTATATAATGAATGCAGAGTGTGTGTGTTTTTGTAGTGTGTGGTGTGTGCGTAAAGTGAATGCGGTGTGTGTGTGTGTGTATAGTGAATGCGGTGTGTGCATTATATACACACTACACACTCTGCATTATATACAGACTGTGTAGTGTGTGTTCCTGAAGGGATGTGATTTGTGTAAAATAGGGGGAGGGGGGAAGAAAGACATTTTTATTTTAATTTGTAATGTTTATATGTCTTATTTTAATTTTTTGTCCCCCCTCCCTGCTTGTTACCTTACCAGGGAGGGGGGCTATGAGAGTCCCTGGTGGTCAGGTGGCATGGATGTGCAGTGGGGGCCGGCAGCAAGCAGTGGCTTACCTTTCCAGCAGCTTCCTGTGTAAATCTCGTGGTACTCGCAAGATTTAGATCAGGAGCTGCTGGAAATGGAAGACACCGCTGGCTGCCGGGCTTGTATTGAGCCCGGCGGTCCTGTTATGTATTATCGGCAATATCGGTATCTTTATTGTCCGATACCGATATTGCCCAAAATACAGAATATCGGCCGATAAGTTCGGTAAAACCGATAATCGGTCGATCCCTATAAAGCAGGGTGGTCAATCTGCGGCCCTCCAGATGTTTTGGACTAAATATCCCTTGATGCTTTGCTAGCATTATGGCCCTTAGAGCATTACGGGAGATGTAGTCCAAAACATCTGGAGGGCCGCAGATGGCCCACCCCTGTACTAAAGGATACTTATTTTAAGAGGTTTGTGCTGGTTTTTATTTCTCTCTCTACTATAGTTGAATGTTGGCACTAGTTTCCTTACATGCTCTTATACATTTTTCAGAGGACTTTACTTATTTTGTACTACACAAAATCCTTTAAGGTAGATCCCTAGATTTTGGAGAACTATAACTCCCATTATGCTTTGTCAGGCTGCAGGTGGTAACTGGCAGATGTCTCTTTTTGGTCAATTCCTGTGGACTTCTGAACACCCTCTCTTTTGCTGCATGTTTATATTGAATCCTACGTGTCTAGAGCTGCATTAAGTAATTCTATTTGTGTGTATTTATTATCTTAAGGGTACGCTGTAGGCACTGTAAGTGCTTCATCTAATTCTAGTGGTTATATTGTCTGGAGTCCCCTGGCGCCATGATTCCATTCAGCATTAAACGGTTTTTAATGTTTTAACCCCTTCTCAATGTTATTATGTGTGATCATATCCTGTAATGCATGGGCTTTAAACGGTTACTCCAGGCACCATGACTGATTTAGTGATTTGAAGTAGTCATAGTGCTTGGAGTCTGTATTTGCAGTTTTTCCCATTGAATGTTTAACTCCTTTGCTGCCAAAGGTGTTAGTCCATCTGCTGCAAAGTCATTGCGGTGTCATTTGGCAGCCCGGAGCTAGAATTTCGATGCACAGAACCTTACTCAGCACCTGAGTGGTCATTTGACACTTTCAGCCAATGAATGAGTAGCATGTTTGGCGTCTGGCTTTTGCAGCTTATAAACTGTGCTTCATAGGAGAACTGGAGTTTAGGATGGCCAAATAGAAAGGCTAACCATTTGAATAACATTTTGCCCCATTGCTGGAGAAAAACTCCAGGCTACTACTAACTTACAGTGGGCTGTAGTGGTTATGATGGTTGGAGTAACCCTTTAACATGTCATTACATCCAAACACACTTCTCCTCCAAGTGTGATTGGGGGACTTGCCTGGCAATCGAAACAGTCCTCTAGGTGCCACGTGATCGTGCTGTCAGCCCATCACTGCGATTAAAGATTACAATGTCCCAACCAAAGAATTCAAACATTGGCTGTAACCATTGACTGCCTCTCTCTTTCCTTACTATGATCTGCAGATAGCAAAGCAGAGATCATTGCTACAGTGTCTCTAACATTCTCACAATGTTGGGGAAATACAAAACATGTAACAATTTCACTGTTATAGTAGTAGTACTGTTCATATTTTGTGGGTGTCCTCTTTTTGGCGTTTAAAAATGTATTTATTTTTTTATATAATTTATTTTTTTTTTGAGATTTTTTTTTCTTTTTTAATTCCCCCTCCATTTTTATTTTAAATCCTGTTCAATGTATGGTGTCTGTGAAGAGTGTGATAAGATTGTTCTGTCTGAACAGCCAGCTCCAATGTATATATTTTTTTGTCTTTTTGTTAAACATTCTCATGTGAATCAGAGAGTGACTCATTTTATCCAGCAGATAGTGACACTTAGCACCTCTAATATAGAGCCATTGAGTGAGGCATCCAGCCTAACCATGTACAAAATGGTGCTCAGAACCAGTCCTCATGAAGATTTGGTACCCCGAAACTTAGCTGCTACTGCAAATAGATTTGGTACCCCCAAACGTAGCTGCTACTTATCCATGATGAAATTTCTCTCTCCTCTGGTTTCTCACAACCTCTCTTGACTCGTGTCTCAACTGGATGGCTGCTTATTTCCTTAAACTGAACCTGTTCAAAACAGAACTTCTGGTCTTCCCTCCCTCAAGTGTTGCTATTTCCTTGTCTGTGTCCCTCCAAGTCAATGGCGCTACCATCCACTCTACCTCTAAGGCTCGATGCCTAGTTGTTCTCTTTGACTCCGACCTCTCCTTCACCACTCATGTCTAATCAATTGCCAAATCTTGCAGCTTCCATCTCAAAAATATTGCATGCATCCAACACTATTTAACGCCGATACGGCAAATGTGCTTGTCCATGCCGCTGTTCCCAAACTGTCCCGTTACAGTGTATAATGAATGCGGCGGCGAGGCTAATCGTCCTGTCTGCCCACACCTCCCACGCCTCCTCCCTTTGTCAGTCCCTACATTGTCTTCCTATAAGATATAGGACTGAACTGGCTTACAAATCTCTACACAATGCAGCTCCAACCTAGTTATCCTCACTAGTAAACAAACATGTCCCATCTAGGGCCCAACGCTCTGCCGGAGACCTACGTCTAACCTCTGTTCGTACTCCTACCTCTGATGCTCACCTTAAAGACTTCTCTAGGGCTGCACCGTTCCTATGGAACGCCCTTCCCCTCTCTTAGACTTTCACCCAATCTCCACTCCTTCAAAAAAACTTAAAAAAAGTACTTCTTTAGGAAAGCATATCAATTAAACTGTGAACAGCTTTCCCTCCCTGCACTCTGATTCCTCCCCTGCAATTGTCAAAACAAAACACTAAACCATCAATAAACACTATCCTAGCAACCTACTTTTTTACCCTTACCTTTTGTGTCATATTACCCCACTCCCTCTAGCATGTAAGCTAATTGAGCAAGGCCCTTAATCCCTTTGTTCCTGTATGTACAACTAGTTTGGTTACAAATACGTGTCTGTTAGTCCACCCATTGTACAGCGCTATGGAACTTGGCGCTTTATAAAAAATGGTGATAAAGGCTACCACTTAGGGGTTACAACTAAAACCTGTAAAGGTTTACTAAATTAAATTCACGTTATTTTGCCTGTGGCACAATGCACAAAACACAAAGGTTTACCCCAGAAACTGACATACGGCAAAAAAGGTAAAGCACCACAATGACCGAGAAAAGGCAGTATTTACATTGCTGCCTAGTAACACTACTTGTGACAGTGACTCAGATGGCCACTAGAGGTGCTTCCTGTGTCAGTGTCTCCATGCTCTGCATGGAGGCACTGAGTGTTCCCCATAGAGATGCATTAATTCTGTGCATCTCTATGAGGAGATGCTCATTGGTGCAGCTTGGCATTTTGTCACCCATGTGCAATAATTGACTCCCAACACTTTCACACCTCATTAAGAATGATTTCTCCACCACATCTCCAACAGTTATATATTTGATTGGGTTGCATCTTGGATATTTTATAGGGCATCAGGTACCATTTCTACATTATCTTATATTGACATTCAACTAAGTTTATAGTAAGTGTTTTCTTGTATAGCTTTAAATGAGCAACACCATTCCTTTTCAGTTATTTCTATATCTAATTCCTTTATCCATTTATTTATAATCATTAAAGATTTATTGTTGATGGAAAATATTAATTTGTATGATTTTGATGTCACCTTTTTAACATTTTTGTATGAGAATATAGTTTTTATTGGGTTAGTAATTATTTTCGAATTCCTCAATAAGGCTTTAGATTAAAAAAAAAAAAAAAAATTCTTAAAAAGTTCTTTATTAGGAAATTGAAATTTGGCCATAATTTCTGCAAAGGGCAATATTTGCTCTCCTTGTGTAATGTCGGCTATTCGTATTTCGTTTTTAAACCAGTTACTCAGAGGTATATCTTGCATATTATCTTCTAAAGTAATTAGTTGACACGTTTTAGGAATCTTGTGTATTAATTTCAAACATTTTTTATTACATCCCAGGCTTGAATAGTCTGAGCTAACATTAATGATTTGTTATATATTTGGTCTGTCTTTTTTTACTACTGTTAAAACATAAATAAAATTCAAGTCTGTCCTTTAACCCCTTAAGGACCAAACTTCTGGAATAAAAGAGAATCATGACATGTCACACATGTCATGTGTCCTTAAGGGGTTTAAAAAAAAAAAAAAAAAAAAATGATTTCTCAACCATGGAAGTGGGATCAGCCGCAGCAAGGCCAACACTGCATGGGGAAATAGTGAGTAAAAACACCTCCTCATGTGTTCTGAGGGTCATGCAGACAGACTGACACACACTTTCTCATATACTCACAAATTATTATTTTATTTTATTAATTTCTACATTTGGGAGAGCTGGATTGGATCCTTTCCTTGAGGTCCAGCTGCTAATGACCCTGTAATCATTAAACGCTGCTCTTGCCTTTTAGTGATCCCGGTGCCAGGGTGAGGTCATATCTCAGCTCCTGGCATCATAGCAGGGCACGTGAGGAAGCAGCGCAAGAAGAGCTTGAAGATTACAGCTCCGTCAACGCTCGCTGAACGTGCACACAAACACCCAGGCGCCAGGAAGAAGTTCCTAGTTACCATGGAGACCTGGAACCTGGGATTTGTTGAGTGCTCCTCCCCCAAATAAGGATGATGCTCTAAACTGTGAAAGTGCAGTGTTTGTGTTGAAAACACACACAAAATATGAACTCTAAATTTGGCCAAGTTTTGTGACAAAAGAAGTGGCTACAAAAGAAGACTGGAAATATACAGTTTTTTAAAATTACCCTGCATTTGTCTACTTTTGCAAATGGCATGCCATTATAGGAGGTAATTTTCTTTCCTTGGATGCCATACTGTCTCACAGTGACAGGCTTAAAATCAATTTGTTAAATTTATATATATATGAAGACTGAGGCCCAAATTCGACTTTATAACTTCCAAAAACTCCAGAAAACCTGTACATAGGGGCATTTTTGACTTCATGGGACATCACAGTCCCATGCTGTAAAACCAGTACTGTGATATTCACTGTAAAGGGGAATTTATTAGGAGAGGCGAGATTGGCTGCGATACCCAGGCTCATTCCTAGCTGAAGAACATCATTGATTCATGACCACAGAAAGCCTACAGAAAAAAAATAAAAACATTTCTTGCTGTAGAATGGATAAAAAAAATCTGGCATCTCTGATTTTTTTATGCAGTGGGTTAGGGCTCGACAAATCCCTGGCGCCTTGGATTTGTCAGCTTTTTTTCTAAAATGACCGGCGGTTGGGCAAATAATTAAGCTGGCCATCCACCTGCGGAAGCATGTAGGCGGCCGGCTCAGTGAGCGTTGTAGCCAGCCGCCCTGAGCTTCATGTAGGCGGCTGGCTGAGTGAGCATTGTAGCTGGTTGCCCTAGGCTTTGTGGAGCATCAAGGTTGTCGGCTGGGGCAGTTTGCGAGGGAGCAGTGATCTTCCAGCGGCTCCTCTCTACTCGGTCCCGGCATCACAGGGATCAGAGAGGAGCTGCGTGGTAATGTACTGCTCCCTCTTACAAAGGAAGAGAGAGCAGTCCCACTGTACCCCAGGGAACGTCCACTCAGCTCTCCCAAATGTAGGGAGGCTGGGTGGACTAAAATTAAAAAAAAATAATGTACATTTGTGAGTGTTTGAGAAAGTGTGAGTGTGTGTGTCTGAGTGTGTGTGTCTATTTAGGTACCTGCGATCACATGATTGGTGTTTTTACTTACCCTTTTTTCCCCACGCTGTGCAGATTTTGCTGTGGCTTGTCCCGTCTCCTTTGCCGAGTTCATCTATCTTAATGATCTCAGCTAAGCCACTAGAAGTCTTAGTATTCTCTGAAAATGCAGCGTTTACATTGAAAAGGCCACAGGGACAGGCTATAGGCACCAGAACCACTACATTAAGCTGTAGTGGCTAGTGACTACAATGCCCCCTTTAAAAAAAACAAAAACCTGGCTCCTAACTTTTTTAGCTGGCTCCTAGATTCCAAACAAATTTGTCAAGCCCTGCAGTGGGTAATAACTTTTACAACTCCAGATTATTATACTTTACTTTTTCCATTTTAAATGTATGTTACTGGCACACACCTTTATGGTTTGAAATAGTTAGCAATCTATTTGCCAGAGGTAGTAGATACCTGGAATAGCCTCCAATTGTACTGCAAAATGCTGCAAAATAATTTTAGAACTCTTCATATGTGTAAATCTAGATTTAGTGTGTGTGTAGCTCTTTATAAATAGTTTGCATTTGCTATCATATTAATTTCCTTCGAATCCTTGCCCAACTATAATTTTAAGCAGAGTTTCATGATTTATTTTTCTTTTATTTCTTTAAAACTGTACTAGTATCAATTCACTGGTAGCAAATATAAAGACACTTCTTTTTTGTCTATCTATAAAATAATAAGAGAAGACATATATATTTAGAGATGTATAGATAATGTAGGAAGTTAGCAATAGCTCACATTCACTGGTTGAATTGCCTTTGATCCTTCTAAGGTTAATAAAATGAATATCATTAAGTTGGGTAACACAAAGACCCCAGGATGTACTTGAACAGGTGAAAGCTGTACACACCTGTATTGCTGACACTATAGTGGCAAAACAATTATTTGAGTAAAAGGTGATTTAAAAAAAAATAATAATTTCTAGCACCGGTTTTGACGCAGCAAGCCCTGACTTGATCTGCCTTCATGGCTGAGATCAGCAAACTTGATGATCTCGACCAATCTTAGACTTTATCATAGGAAAGCACTGGGAGGCTTTTGCGCATGGGTGGCAAAATACCTTGCTGCACCAATCAGCATCACCTCAGAGATTCATTGAATCAGTGCATCTCTATGGGGTATGTTCAGCATCTCCATGCAGAGAATGACACAGGAAGCACCTCTAGTGGCTGTCTGAGTGACTGCCACTAGAGGTGTTACTAACCAGTAATGTAAACACTGCCTTTTCTCTTAACTGTATATATTTGTTCTGGTGACTAGTGTCCCTTTGATATAATAGTGACTTTAATCCCCTCCTGTGCATTTTATCAGCTCATACCAACAACAAATTTACCTGAGGGGTTCTTCTAAAAGTAAGCGTAGTTTAATGATAACTAATTTTGGTATTGGAATGTCACTGTAATAAACTGGTTAAGCTGCATAGTAGTAACATTGTATTGGATTAAACAGAGCTGGATTTAAAAAAATAAAATAAAAAGTTAAAGGGGACTTGTCACTTCTCATTATTGTCTTGTTTCCTATATTTAGCAAATAATTTTTTGTATTAAATGTAGAAAGCCACACATCTTTCATAAAACAAAACGTTAATTTCACTTCTCAATCAGGTTTTCATTTACAGGGCTATACCAACAAAATAACATGTATGACGAGAGTTGATTGGAAGGAGAAGAGTAGGAGGAGCTTCCAGCAGGTGTTTTTTCTCTCTTACACAATAGCCACAGTGCATGTGCTGTAGTTCCTGAGACTTTTTTTTTTTTTTTTTGGTGTGTATTCCCTGCATATTCAAGACTACTAGCATCTCGCACGTTTCCAGAATGTAAGATTGAATTGACAGACCTCCCTCTGTTAACATGCTGATGCACTGCACTGAAGCCACCATGTTCTTGTTTAGGAATTTTGAGTGAGTTGTGAGATTTTTAAATCGGCATTTACAACTTTAAAGGTATGCGGTGGGTATGCAAATATGTGAACCCCTAAAGAGAAACTGTTACTTTGCATAACCCAATGGTTAACTAAAAAGCTTTGCCAGGTCATGGGATCACTGTGGGGAAGGTCTGCCAGCCCATACAAGTGGATTAAACAAGCAAGAAAAGGTATGGGCACATGGGGTTTAGCCTTGAGGTTTGAAAAAGGCTTAATTGCAGAGGCAAAACATTGCTTACTTTAACCCCTTAAGGACCAAACTTCTGGAATAAAAGGGAATCATGACATGTCACACATGTCGTGTGTCCTTAACGGGTTAATCTGCAATAAAGTCTGCTGAAGAATAAACCTTTTCTTGTTTGGGTCGAATGCAGGTTCAACTCTCTGGGCTGGCAGCACAGAAGTACATCTGTCCACTGTGCCCTAATTTATGTAGTCTCATATGGAACCATACTAGTGAATCAGCCTGTCCTTTTTAGCTCATGCTACTGAATTTGAGCCTAAAAATGCCTTTGGCTCATTGTGGAACAAACTTGCAAATTTGTGCCTTTGGAACAATGTGGGGACAGTTTGCCAGTTCATTCTATTAGATCTTTCGAAAGATTCTGCCCACATTCATCAAGCTTCAATTTAAATATTTCAGACTTTGAAACTGTATTGTTCATCTACTTTCTCTGATCTGATTTCCATATGGGGATATTTGTTTTGATTAATGCTAGTAATTTACTTCTGAACTCACGTCAGATACTTAACCCCTTCAGACCGGAGGACGTACAATTACGCTCTAAACGCCGCCGGGCGTAATTGTACGCCCTCCGGTTTTTGTTTACTTACCCGGTCGCCGGCAGTCCCACGCCGGTGATCGCGGTGGGGGGGGGACTCCCAGGGAGCCCCCCGCGGTAGATCCTCCTCCTCCGGTGCCCCCCAGGCCATGTGAGAGTGGGGTCCTTGCAATCACATGGCCGGGTAGGCTGTCTCCTGCATTGCCAGCTGCCTGTAATGACAGGTGGTCCCCCTGCTGGCTGAAAATAAAATGTATTCGTGATATATATAATAATGTATGTCTAGGTGTATTTTACTATTAATATATATAATTATATTTATATATTAATATCAAATTACACATAGACTGATACTGATTATATATATATATATATATATATTTAATTATTGTTATATATATATATATTTATATATAATATAAAAAAAATTTAATATGTAAATACGTTAAAAAATAAAATTAAAAAAATTATTAAATATATAGATGTGTTATTTCGTTCTAACTGTATTGTGATATTAATATATATATTTATATCAAAATACAGGTAGAACGAAATAATATATATCTACATACATAAATATATACGTATATATCACTATATATATATATATTTTTATTTTCCCAGGTCCCAGCACTCAATGTTCCCGGTCTTTTCCATGCTCCGGTGCAAGTAATCTCTGACCAAAATATAGCATCCAAGTAGAGAGCACTCTGGAGTCTTCGTTTTATATCAAAATAAATACTGCTTTATTGTGCAGAATACAAAAATGTCGACGTTTCAGTCACAATAGACTTTTCTCAAGACAATTCATGCAATGAATAAACTGTGATTATATATGTTACAACAAAATTCCTATATATAAATAAAAATATTTTTTTTAAAATTATTTAGATATACACATATAGATTCACATACGTGTATATATATGTATGTGTGTGTGTGTGTATATATATATATATATATATATATATATATATTGTGTAATATTTTTACATAATTAGGTATCTTAATTAATTACAATTAGCGGGACCTGCCTGACAACCCATGCCGAAAGTAAAGGGAATTTAATTTGCTAGCACTATATTTAACCCTATAACTTTCCAAGATACCATAAAACTTGTACATGGGGGGTACTGTTCTACTCGGGAGACTTCGCTGAGCACAAATATTAGTGTTTCAAAACAGTAAAATGTATTACAACGATGATATCGCCAGCAAAAGTGACGTTTTTTGCATTTTTCATGCACAAACAGCACTTACACGGACGATATTATTGCTGTGATACTTTTTACTGTTTTGAAACACAAATATTTGTGTTCAGCGAAGTCTCCCGAGTACAACAGTACCCCTCATGTACAGGTTTTATGGTGTTTTCAAAAGTTACAGCATCAAATATAAGGCTTGCGTTTCATTTTTTTCACATTAAAATTCGCCAGATTGGTTACGTTGCCTTTGAGACCCTATGGTAGCCCAAGAATGAAAATTACTCCTATGATGGCATACCATTTGCAATAGTAGACAACCCAAGGTATTGCAAACGGGGTATGTCCAGTCTTTTTTAGTAGCCACTTAGTCACAAACACTGGCCAAAATTGGCGTTTTTTGCATTTTTCACACAAACAAATACTAACGCTAACTTTGGCCAGTGTTTGTGACCAAATGGCTACTAAAAAAGACTGGACATACCCCATTTGCAATACCTTGGGTTGTCTACTATTGCAAATGGTATGCCATTATGGGTGTAAATTTTATTCCTGGCTACTATAAAGTCCCAAAGGCAACGTAACCAATCTGGCGAATTTCAATTTCAAATGTAACGTGCTATATTTGACCCTGTATCTTCCCAAAACGCCATAAAACCTGTACATAGGGGGTACTGTTTTACACGTGAGACTTTGCTGAATACAAATATGTGTATTTTATTGCAGTAAAAGCAAACAGTATTATGACATTGACAGTTAAAATGTCATGTAGAACTAAACAAAATTAAAAAATTCTTATTTTCTCCCTTTTTTTTCATATTAAATTATGTTTCATAGCTAAATATTTGATATTAAATGAAAGCCCTGTTTCCCCTGAATAAAATGATATATAATAAGGGTCGGTGCATTTAATATGAAAGAGGTGAATTACGGTTGGACAGACATGTAGCGCAAATGCCAGGTTTTGTTTACATTTTGTTTCGTTCACGTCGTGTACATTTGGCTCAGTCCTTAAGGGGTTAAAAGGACACTATAGTCATCAGAACAACTACAGCTCAAGGTAGTTGTTCTGGTGTCTATTGCCTGTCCCTGCAGACTCTTTTATGTAAACACGGCCGTTTCAGAGAAAAGGCCATGTGTTTACAAAACTGCCTAGTTACACCTCTGGTGGCAATCACTCAGCCACTAGCTGTGCTTTCTGGGTGCAGCACTGTAGTTCAATATCTCCACGCTCTGCATGAATTGGCTCAACTTTGCCCATAGAGATATATTTACTCAATACATCTATGAGATGAGGCTGATTGGCGCTGAGGGGTGTTTTACTGTGCATGCGCGATAGACTCCCAATGATTTCCTATGGTAAAGTATTAGACTGGCTGAGATCTATTTTGGTGATCTCACAATAAAAAAAATAAAATTCTGCTAGGCAAATTGCTACAACATAATGATTCCTTTTTTTTATTTTTTTATTATAATGTTGGGGCTAGTTGTGTGGGTTTACCAGAGTTGAAAAAATGAAGCGTTACTTACAAAGTTGTTCGCCTAACAGTATGTCTACGTGTCTGTCTATGGATAACAGGTCTGTATTAAGAAGTTATACATGTACAGTCTTAATTCCAGTAATGCCTGAGTGTGTGTAAATAATACATCAAGCACACTCTACTGGCAGTGCTTATTGTGACCCTTTACAAAATGTCAGATTCAATCAGCATTGCCATCGTTACATATTTCTGTTGTTCCATTCCATCAAGATTGTGGCAACAAACCTCAGATGTGGAAAGCATCAATATTATCTGTAATTTTTCTTTTTATTCAATGGAGACCTGTAGAGTGAGCAGAGCCAGTTAAATTGTCCTTGAAAATACATTGCTGGTCTGGACGTAATCACAATATTTTAATGCATTGTAAAAATGCCTTAAAAATCTGGAAATATAAAAAAATATTTCCTTTAAACTAGAGGTAGCTGCAGACAGGCCAGTTTAGACCATGAATAGGCACTGCATCTTGGGTGTGTCTGATAGAGGTCTAAATAGATTTCTTATCCTATAATCTCCATGCAGAGCTCCATGGAATATGTAGTTTAAACCACATCTGCTGATGAGTTGAACTGCTGAACGAGCTCATAGCAACAACTGTACCTACCATTGATTCATTCTCAGTCATAACCTCAATGTACCCTACGTTTTACCTGCATATTGTTATATGTGTGCAGTCTGTGGTAAAGAGAACCTTTAATTAAGTCATCTGAAAATGATGATTTTACTCTTTACTTGGTTTCTTTGAATTTTTTTGTTTCTGCATAGTTATATGGATTGATTCTGAATAGGGGATTTTGTTGTTTGGACTTGCGCTGTTTTATCTTCCTGTTGTAATGTCAGTGTCAAGCAATAATTCATGGCATGTTTCTTAAAAAGAAAAGCATACGCAAAAAAGGACTAGCAGTCTTTTGCTCTTTTTTTTTTTTTTTTTTCCTGCTGCAATGACAATTGGGTAGGTGTCCATATTTGATCTATTCATTGTGCTAGTACAATTGCAAAGAAAATGTATAGATTAAAGCAAATGTTTTAAAATCGAATTCTCCAAATGTGGCATTGATACAGTGCTACATTAATAGTGTAAGGGAATTGGACTTGCCTTTCTTATGCAATCATCGTATCACTTGTGTACTCAAAATTGGTAGTGTATGAAAAATCCTGCGAGATATAAGGGTTCCTTCAGTCAGATTTTCATGCAAGTGAATTAAGATGCCCATAGGCTGTGGCAGGATGCCCCGGATGATGCCCCTCTCATTGCTACATTTAACCAAAGTTCAATTCATATATGATGCATAAGTAATACCTTTATCTCAAGTATTTCTAATTATTTAGCATTCATGAAAAACTGTGACAGTGCTGCTTTGCCAAATTTTTCTCTTTAAGGCGTGCACCCTGACCTAATCTATTCCTCTGTTGAATTAATTTTGGCTTCTGCAGGATGAAGGGCAGTGACTAAAATATACAGTGGGATAATTCTGTAGCGTTAAGAATATAGGTGCAAGAGGACAGATGTTATATTACAACAAACCTAGAACAAATTATTACATTGCTTCTTAATGTAAGAAAAATTAGTTGTGGTAACATTTAGTTGAACAGTCTCAAAGGTGACTGTTTCACTCAGGGGTCGATAAAGGTTTTATAGACAATTTAAGGTACTCTAGGGTGGGGAATCCTGTCTAGAAGTCATGGTATGGATAGGTACTGTAATAATCTACAATACCCATTTGGAGTGTGGGGTATTTTACGAGCTCTGGCTTTCCTTGGCTTTGAATAGGATTGACGCAATTTATTTGTGGGACAATATGTGACCTTTGTGTCCAGAAAACACGTTGCCAAAAGCTATAGAAAATAAACATTTACGGGTTGACTCCTTTCTATACAGATGGAAGAGTTGAATTATTGCAACATAAACTGTGTATAAATGCTTTGCCAAGTAGGGAAGGTTCACAAGCATGCCTTGCGAAGCGCAACAATAAAAAAAAAAAAAAGAAAATGGAACGGGGAGTAAAGCTTAGAAGACTAGACTTATGATTTGATATTGGTTTCTCTTCATGAGTCCCATGAAATAAATATATATATTTATCTCAAAAAGCTGTCCGTTTTAGGACTAGATATCCTTTTAAGCCATACACCAGCAAACCGGCTATATTTTGCTATGACCATATCATTGCTATATACAATCAGATGGGGAAGGGCATATTACAGCTTATGTCACAGACCGGTCCAACCTAACACATACATCATTATTAAGGACAGGTGCTCACAATATGCTCAATTATTAAAGTATAAACTAGAGCTTAAAATATTTGTAGCTTCTAAATTTTGGACAGAGATATCTAGGAGATTATGGACAGCACAGCAGGGGGATCAACTGTGGTAAAATACTAAGGAAGCAACTTCTGAATGTTCAAAGACAAAGAGCGAGTCAGAGACATACTTAAACAGGAAGGAAAGAGTGCACACAGGAAGTACATAGAATGAAAACAGATATGACACATGGAGGCTATTCACTAAACTGCACTTTTAGCCTGAAGTCTCAACTTTGCAGATGCACATGTTAACAAGGTGTCTAGAATTTTATTTTGTAGGAATCTCCCTATTTCTCACTTTAACAGTGCGTATTCTGATTTTTAACTTCAGTTCTGGAATCATCCTTGAGTGGTACTAAGTAGTTGAAGAACGAGACTAATAGGAATCACATTATTAGGATGTCCCATTGGTTTGTTATTGATATTTAAATATGGTATTATTTTACCCTGATTAATCCTGATCTCATCCAACAAACCTTTTAAATAACGAGTTGTGTTATAGGAACCCAAATGAACTGCTGTGTTTAAAGGAATATACTCCATAAACACGCCAATGAACTATAGAGGTTGACACTAAATGGTCTGACTTCTTTATTTATAAATTATTTATAAGAAGGCTACATTGAGGTTTCTCTCATTTTCAAGTATGTCCTGGGCTTACTTGGATTCTGCCCGGTGCCACTCCCCACCTCCTTTCAGCAGTTAGGAGAGCCGGATGTTCCTGCTTAGGAGATTCCATTTGCTCTCAGGTCCATTAGCTCTCCTGAGCTAAGCTCTGTGGACCAGCTCTTTGGCTGAGCGTGTCAGCTGATTGTGGTTATGGTGCTTAAAGTGTTCCTTAAACCTGCATGTTTACGTATGTTCAAACATGTTTAAAAATGACAGAGCATACATAATTTTTTTACTTGCATTTGTTCATGAAGTCCACCTTTTGCTGCGGATTGGGGCTTCATCAATTCTCATCAGCACCGTTTCTTGTCCCTACCATAATTTAAATGCTTTCTGTAATCTAATACATTTATCAGATTTAATTTTCATATTGTATGTTGGTTTATCTTATACAACAGTCTTAGGTATTGCTTATCCGATAAGAAGCAGAAGCTAATTAATGTTCTGACTGGGCCTTACTTGACCTTCAGAAAAAAGGACCATATGGTTAAACTGTCCCTCCAGTTACACAACCATAACTTGAATATAAAACACATGAGAACAGGAATAACAAAGTACAATAAATATATAGAGCTTGATAATTTTTTTCTTTTTAAGTTTATAGATCCTTTTCCTATCCTTCAAGACTACACACGTCTATGAAGTTTCATGATAACAAGAGATTTACTGGTCATGAGTCCTAAAAGGGTATATGTGTTCCTCTGTATAATGCAGAACTTTTTTAACCTGTTGAGGAAAAAATGGAAATATTTATGTGTCCTCCTTAAATAATTGTTGTTTGGAGCGTGATCTTTGGAATCTCGTGCTCTGTGATGACTATCCTTGGATTCACAGCTGTTTGGTGGACTGCATTTCCTATGATTCTCAGCCAGCATCTAGGTACATTCCAGGTCGTCATCCCACCTTCTACAGAGGCAGGTTTTTGTGTGCGTGTGTATATATATTTATTTTGTAACCTTTCTATTGCAGAAAAAGCATGTATTTTCTTTTTATTATTTATTAGTACACAGCTTCTATTTTAAAAGCATATATCTTTTTAAAAATTTTTTTTTTTATTCTTGCCTTTTTTTATAACTCTGCATGTAAAGGTTAACTGAATTAAATCACGAGTTCAGTTTCAGCATCACTAATGTGTGGTTTGTCTGTAGTGCAGCATCGTATGTATCCTAGATGATTATCTCCTCTTACTTGCATACTAAAAGGTCTAATAACCCCCCTTCCCCATATCTCTTCGATGTGGCATGACCAGCCTTTAATTGGCTAGGGTAAAGATGCGGTGCAGCACCGTTGCAGAAACCGGTTGAAGTATTTAGCTCTGCGGGTTTTTCAGTAGAGATCCTAAAATTCACGAGTTCCCTTTTTTTTTTTTTTGTTAAACTCCCCTCCTTCATTTCTCTCTGCATTACATAGAGGTCACGTATGTCGCAGAGCCTCTGTGGTGGGGTAATCGGAAATGCCTTATTTTGGAAGTGCAGTGTGCAGAGGGGAGTGTATGCAGAGGGTGATCTGTTAGATGAGGCTGTGAAAGAGTACTTGCTTGCTGCCTGTCTGTGCTGTGAGGTTTCTGCGTGTTCATGTAAATCCCTGATGAGAACAGCTTTCTGTGTCCTGTCTCCATGGTAACAGAGACCACATCTTGGCAATGTCTTCAGCTTGCACATCTTCCATTGATTGCGAAAGATAGATAACTCTCACCGCTCTGGCCTGTACTCTACTTAATTTATTTGAAATTGATTTCTGGGTAGGGGCTACTACCCTGTGATTGCTAGGGTGGCGAGATGCTTCTGGAATAATAAAATACCTTATTTTATTAATTTGTTTTGTTACGTTATGCTGTGTAGCAAGTGAAAAAGCATATAATCAGAATTATACATTATGTGTAGTACAATGTGTTTGCCAGTTTGAATTGGCATCCTTGGGGTAAATCTGGTATTATTGGCATGCCTTTTCTTTACCATCGCATCTCTCTCTGCAAGAACACCTTCCCCAGAGGCAAAACGAAGACCTGGATGTCAGTGTCCCAAATCAATAAAATTGTTTAAAACCTCGTCAGTGACCTTGCACTTATCTGTTAGTGAGCCTAGTGCTGTGAAGTTGATAAACCCCAGATTAAAGAACTATGTATTTCATAAAGATTGCTTCTGAATATGCCATTCTATTCTCTTATACATAATGTACACTAAACATTGTGTTGAAAGCAGACTTGCCATGTTTTGTAAGATCAGATTAATTTAAGGTGTGTGTGTGTGTGTTTGTGTGCACACACATTTGGCATCTAATTTTGTTCTAGCAGATAATCTTTAGTTGCTATGTTTGAGCTTTTAATATTTGTCTTCTGAGTGTGTGTTTAGAATCTTTCCGTTACATACAGGCACTACCATTGGCACCTACGCAATAAGCCTTTGTTTTGCAAGTGCTTCTGACATCCAGAGAGAGCGAGAATAAAGACTTGATAAATTCTAGGGGCCATGTGTCTAGAATGTGATTAATTTTATTTCTTTTGATGCATGTCTTAAGAAAAGTTGTCTTGTTTTATAAAAATGGTTACCAAAATCTATGAATTCTTTCAAGTTATGAAATAAATTTAAAAAAAAATAATATATATATATATATATATATATATATATATATATATATATATATATATATATATATCTCTATCTATATATATATCTCTATCTATATATATATCTCTATCTATATATATATCTCTATCTATATATATATCTCTATCTATATATATATCTCTATCTATATATATCTCTATCTATCTATATATATATATATATATATATTTTTTTTTTTTATGATGGAAGAAGTGTGCATCCTGTTATAGTGCTATAGCCTTAGAGTCTACAGGGGGTGGATGATTTATTAGATTGAGGTCATTGGAGAGATCACCGGTGCAGTTATCCATTATATCTTTGTACGTGATTAGAACTGAAAGCAGTCCGGACGCTGGTAACGCACACTCTGCATTTTCCTTGAAAATAAGATGAATGATTATTAGGAGGAGATATAGGGCAGCACAAGGAGATGGGATTATTACCGAACCTGCCTGACCATGATCCATAAGCCAAGGGGCATTTGCTACTTCACATTTACAGGATTTAAGGAACCAAAGACTGTCTGCTTTTAATAAATGAGGGGAGAGTTGTCGTCTTAAATCCCTGGCACAAGGTCAATTGTTATATTGCGACTATTGGTTCCATTCTGTCTAACCTCATTTGCTGGGTGGGGGGGGGGGGTGTAAAAGTTCACTCTCCTCGTTTTCAGCTCTGGGACTCCTCTGCTGCGGCCTCTAGATCCTCCTTTAGTGATGTCAGCATCCAATCTGACATCACCCACGATCTGCTCCAATCCTTTGCTTCTAATAGTGAGCCAAATGTTGTGATTCTCCAATAGCAGCATTTGATTCCCATACAGAGTTTTGCTCTGTCTGGAGGAGGAAGCTCTTTGGGGGGGCGGTATTCCTTATTTCAGAGCCCAGAGAGGCTGTATTGTCATTTAAAGGCTGTCACATCTATCGCTTCACGAATAATTCCGTTTCATAATTATGACGTTTACCCTTTAACCAAGGTTTGACAACTTTTTACGGATAGAGTCCTTTCTAAACCGTTAAGAGGTAGGCTTTTGGTGCAGGGAGGCTCATGGCTTCGTTTGCAATAAATGGTAGTGCTTATGGTGCTTAGGTTACTATTAAGGTTATGACAATTAGAGTGCATAGGCTGATGCCTTGGAGTGGTTTTACATCCACTGCTCTGGAGCAGAAAAGCGTGTGTTTACGAGTTAAAACAAAAAGTCCCATTATATCTATTAAACCAAAAAATTGCAAAGTGAATTTGAGGACTGGATTTGGTTGTGATTGCTGCACATGCTTCCTGTCTCCAGTGTTGTCTGTGAGAGGCATTAGATTGGGGTTTGCAACACAGGAGTTACTTGATGGTGTAGAATACTTTCACAGGTGCTGAGACAATTACTGATTTATTTTGACTGTGTTTTTCCAAGTATATTTAAGCATACACACTTATAGCGATAGAAAATATCATAATTAATGCTATTTGTGATATGTTTATTATATCACATCTTATGATATGTGCCAAGTTGACATCTTATGATGCACCATCCATACTATGCACTATGTTCACTGATCTTAAATTCACCCATCACTTTGTTATCAAAGGGTTTCTCCAACAATCATAACCACCGCTTCCAGCTGTAGTGGTTACGTTGTTCCCCGCTTCTTTACAATGGTTTGCCCTCTTACACCAGTTTTCCTACGCAGCAGGATTACTACATCCGGCTTCTGCAGAACTGCTGGGCGCAGAATGCTCTTCCTGCTACTCGTTTATTGGCTGAGATGAAAATTTGGACAGAATTAACATTGGCCATCCCAGAACTCTTGTTATTGGTTAGCTAATGATACCCCAGTGATTTTCCAGGAGATGGAGTTACAACTCCAGTAGCAAATGAGTTGAACTTGCTATGTGCAGCGTTTTCTAGCAAAACGCAAAACCTCCAGGGACCATGACAACTTAAAATCACTGACGTAGTCATGGTGCTTGTAGTAACCTTTTATTGTTACTATTATATTATTATTGAAATTGTATCCCCTGTAAATGTTTAAAGGAAAACTCCAGGCACCATAGTAACTTCATCAAAATTAAGTTATAGTGCCAGGAGGCTTCCTAGTGCTCTCTTACCTTTAGTGGTTAAACTGTTTAACCCCAAAGTGAGCATCCAGTGCCCCTCTGTTCCCACCAGGCAGCATCCAACTTCTGAAATCTGTTTCAGGAAGCGCAGAGGGACCCTGGGCAGGGGTACCGCTGACTGACTGATCGCAATCAGTTGACATACTCAGCCAATCAGTGATTCCCCATTTCTAAAACCATCTTGAAAAGAAACACACACTTTTCAGTCTAGTTTTGTGAAGGGGTTGTCATTGCTCTCAGCCAATCAGTGGCATCCCTACCTATCTGCACGCCCCGCTTTCTGAAACTGAGATTTCTGAAGATGGACGCCGCCTATGGGACCCAAGGATCGGCTTTAATTCGGATGAAGTTATGGTCCTTAAACAGTCCCTTTAAAGGTGGTTTGCAGAACACTGACTTTAAGATTAAATAATGTCCATTATGGTTTGAAACATTGCAAATTTATGCTTTTGTTGGGCTGGATAAAGGCACCTTTTGTGCAGCTTATCTAAATTGAGGTATTTTATGCGGTTTTAAAACTGGGAGACTTTAACCCCTTAAGGACACATGACATGTGACATGTCATGATTCCCTTTTCTTCCAGTAGTTTGGTCCTTAAGGGGCTAGACTTGGGGATCTCCTTCCTTACCTGGATCCTTATTCTGTGTACCAGTGTTTGACGTTACTGATTTAAAAGGGCCTTTTCTGTGTTTTGGAGGAAGCGGGGAGCTATTGTGCAGACTTAATTTTGATTGGCCGCTGACATACTTTTATCTGCAGCCTTTATCAGTAAATTACACTGATTTTGTGTGTGTGTACATACACAGGGTTTAACAAATTTGCTTTGACTCTGAACGAAGCTTTATTCAACAACAAAAAAAACCCACACTCACAAACACACATCACACAGTATTCAGAACCCTTTATATTAAAGGATCACTATAGTGTCAGGAAAACAGACTTGTTTTCCTGAGACTATATAACCCCTAGGTCTCCCCCACCCTCAGGGTCCCCCTCCCGCTGCAGAACTGCTGCAGAACCTTTCCTATAGAGGTTCTGCACGCTGAATGCGATTTTTCGCATCCAGCATCGCAGAAACTCCTCTAGCGGCTGTCAGGAAGACAGCCACTTGAGGCTGGGTTAACCCTGCAATGCAAACATAGCAGTATCTATGAAGGGTTAAAACCTGGGGGACCTGGCACCCAGACAACTTGATTGAGCTGAAGTGGTCTGGGTAACTATAGTATCCCTTTAAAGGACCACTAAAGTCACCTTGGCTACTTTGCCTCAATAAAGCGGCCTGGGTGCAGCAGTCTTGCATATTGCCGAAATGGCCATGCTTACTTAGGGTTAAACACACCTTCAAGTAGCCTCGGTGCTGAAAAGGGTAACTAAAAATGTTTTTTTCTTTGTTTTTTTTCTTATTTTTGTGGCACACTGGGAAGGGGGCGCACCTTTATAAATAGGGACAGGGACACTAAAGCATTAGGAATACATGTTTGTATTCCTATTGCTTTAGTGCTCCTTTAACTTTATGTTGCAGCCTCATGATACATTTCTTTACATTTTTATTTTTTCCACATCACTCAGCACTTAATACCCCGTAATTAAAAAGCCAAAAATGTATTTTTCACACCATTGCAAATATAATTACGGAGGCCACTGTGCTCTTGGAAACCTTCAATGAAGCCGACATTTATTTTATAGCCTTTACCAGATCTGTGCCTTAACACAATTCAGTCTCTGAACTATGCAGCAGCTCATTTGGCCTTGTTGCTTGGATTTTGCTCTGATGTGCAAATACAGTTGTGAGACCTTATATAGACATATCACCAAATCATATCAAGTCAGTATAATTTGCCACAGGTGGACTTCAATCAGAGTGTAGACTCATCTCTAAGATGATCCAGAGAAATGTGATGCATCTCTGCTAAATTTAAAGTGTCATAATAAAGGCTCTGAAATGAATGCTCTTGTTAATTAGATCATTTCAATTTATTTATTTTTTAAGTTTAAGTTTTTTTTTGTTTTGTTTTTGTGCTTTGTGATTATGGGGAATTGCGTGCAGATTGATAAAAAAAACATTGATACAAGAAAATTTAAATGCACTCTGAATATTACACATAGAGAGCACTCACTCATATATGTAGAGCAAGAAACCAGCTGCAGCAATGTCTGTCCATCTGTGGCTGCAAGAATGCTTCATGAATAAAAGCTACTCTCCTTTACAATCCTTATTATAAGTGTATAGATATGTATAATGTGTGAGTTATCTAGCACAGCTTACTGTACCGGGCTGCCTAATAGGGTTTCACCCTGTATGTGCAATGTTTCATAGCCAAGCACCATGACTATTACCATTCCTGACACTTTAGATAGCTCCCCTTGCCACCCCCATTTCTCGCGCCTCCCTGCCGTTGTAAAAAAAGGGTTAAAAACTCTTTATTACTTTCCTTATCCTAGCACCGATATCCCTCGGCGATGGGTCGACACAGGACGCTAATGTGCATGCGTGGCAAAGGCCCGCACACGCATTAGACCTCCTCATAGAAAGCATTGATTTAATGCTTTGCTATGGGTAAAAAATCTGAATCTGGATGTCTTCATGCAGAGCGTGAGGACATCCAGTGTCAGATACTGGATCAGAGGTCCGTTACGATGCAGGAAGCGCCTCCATTGACTGTCTGATAGACAGCCACTGGAGGCAGACTTAGTGCTGCAATGTAAACATTGCAGTGTCTCTGGAACTGCAATGTTTAAAGGGACACTTTAGTCACCAGAACAGCTACAGCTTATTGTAATTGTTAGGGTGAGTATAATCACTCCCTTAAGGCCTTTTGCTGTAAACGCAATCATTTCAGAGAAAATGCAGTGTTTACATTACAGCCTAGTGATAACTCCACTGACCACTCCCTAGATGGCTGCTAGAGGTGCTTCCTGGGGCACTGCCATTCAGTGTCTCCACCCTCTGCATGGAGACACAACTTTCCTCATAGAGATGCATTGATTCAGTGCAGATCCCTATATTGTATATTTTTTACAGTATAGGGTCAAGAATACATGTTTATGTTCCTGATCCTATAGTGTTGAGTATAGGACCATATAGTGTTAGAGTATCCACACACACATTTTATTTATCTTTTTAATAACCATCGGGTCTCATGCAGTGAGTTTTATCAAGCTTTTACTGACCTGCCCTGGAGTGTGCATGCTTAGATTGTTGTACTGTTTTGTCTGCTCTCCTCCTCCACACGAAGATTGCATCATCCAAAGGAGAGCTGCCAACTCCTCAGCTTTGTACAGAGAGAGAGGCAGACAAGGCCCTGTCTCTTCACTGAACATTTACTCCTGCCTCTTCCTGCAGCTCACACAAGCCTGGCTTATCCTAAGTGTCACCTTTGTTCTGAAGTCGTTTCCTCTTTCAAGTCCCCTCCCCATCTGCTTCCTTGAAACCCAAACCCAACATTTATTAATATTGCATTTAGCCATTTATTTAGCATATTGCTCAGTTTTCTGCCTCTCCCCAGATTAGGTCTGTTTTTAACCTTACATGCAACATTCAATGTCTGCATTTGCTGCATTATACAGTATATAATTGTCCACATGTTTTATGGATTTGCCATATATTTCAAATAAACCAAAGTGTTACATAGTTTTGACTCCCTAATATCCCCCCCCCCAAAAAAAAAAATTAAAAATAAATAAAATCTTGCAATCAAGAGAAATATTGTCCACCTTTCATCATGTATTTTCTGTCCAAATATATAAATAAAAAATAAAAAGTATCCAAAGTTTATTCTTCCTTGCAAAACCTATAGAAAAAATTGGGTACAAAATATGCTAAAATTGTAGTGGGCAAAGTAGGTGAACATGCTAAACTGATTGCTGCCCAACATGTTGGGAGCCCCTGCTATATGTTATATTTAAAAGATTTTCCTAAGTTTTTAGTTCTGCTATTTTTTTCTCTTGAGTTGCTTTTCCTGTTTGTGTTGTTCGTTTTTAATTTTTTGTAAACCCTTTTCAGTTTTTGCTTGTAATATTTTAACGTTGGTATTCCCCTTTCTGTAGGTAAACATTAACCCAAGGCTAGCTGGGAAAGGGAGGGGCACCCTAGTTGAACCATTGAATTGAGAAAAGCTTATAGAGCGGAAATCACTAATGGTCTCTAAAAAGTATTTGTGGGTCTCAGGATGTGGAATTAAAACATGTAAATTAAGAGGGAAAAGTTTAGTGTATGTGAATGAATAGTGCAATGTTAGTGCCTGGGAAACGAAGGATATTTGATAATGCTGTATAATTTGTTCACTAGAATGAAATAAAAACTGCAAACAAAACAAAGGTAGATTGTTTTTCTTTTTTTTATGGTAAAATGATCTAATGTATGCAGGAAATTCTATGTATCCTGTTTATACTTTGATTTACGTTGGAAGGGGATGGGGTTGAAAGGTTGTATAATGCACATTTAATACCAGCTCTGAGTTCTGCTGTTTTTTTTTTTTTTTTTAATCCACACAATGTCGACTGCTCATACGTGTAGCATACGTAATCACTAGCTCAGAGCCAATCCGAAACCCTTCTCCAGTAGCCTCATGAAGGGCCAGTGAGATCTCAATTACTGCAAGCTGTTGGCTGAAACCATTTCATTGCCGCCCTGTATGCCAGTATTGGTCTGCATACCCACACTGGGAACAGTTTGCAGTGCTCTGTGGAACGAGGTCTTTCAAAAGGACTGCAGTATATATATCCTGTCCAATAAAATGTGGTCGGTCGGCCTGTCTGTCCGTCTGTCTGAATAAACGTCCTGATTATCCACCAACGCATATTTAGCAAAGCCACGAATCCCGCAGCCCTTGTGCTGTTCTATTTCTTTGCTTCCGGCTTTGACAGTCGTGTGCAGAAGGTCACTGTTAACTATTCAAGGCACCCTGTCACTGCTAATGAATGCTGGTGACATAACTCTGACCTTCAGCATGACTGCTAAGCTTGTCTGTGCCATCTCTCTACAGCATTCTCTTATTTAGCAACCACTAATCTCTTTGCAGTGCACCAAAAGGACGTTAAAAAAATAATGGACAGGTATCGTTCTGGGAATTTCATGTCATGTTTTTCTCTGGGCTCTTATTAAAGCATTTTTATCAATATGGTGGCCACACTAGCCCTTTTAAAGATCCTGCTGGTATTGGCATCATGCGGGCAGCCGAGAGGTTAATGGGGAGATAGTTTTCATTTGTGTCACATGTTGGAGAGAGATACGGTCTCCAGAACTACATTGTTAACCACTGTCCCAACAAAGCAGGAGGTAAAGGCGAATTCACTAATTCACTGTTTTTTGCTCCCCCCCCCCCCTGTTTAGCTTTGGCAAAGGCACCTCAAGTGCCATGTATGGCACAGTGCCATAGGTTTCCGACTCCTGAACTAGGCCTTTAACGTTACTTGCCACAGCAAGCCTGGATGATTAATATCAGCAGGGGTGAATTTCTGCTCACAAGCAGCAAGTGAAATTTATGAGGCTTGCTGTGTAGTGATTTTGTTGCCTAACCACTTACCTTTTTACCTACTCCTGGCATTGTGTGTTTAGTGAATGAGTCAGATCAGATTGTATAAATAAACGAATGTGCTCTTCCAAAGAATTCTGCATGAGCCAATTTGGTTTAGACACTTTACATTTACTTTATGAACTAGGGAAGTGATTCTGTAAAATATACCAAAAATGTTGGTGTGCTTTAAAATGTTTAGGAAGAGTACTCCCAATCTTATTTTAATTGTATATAAGGCTCATTACTTTCATGTAGTATGTTCACATGTATTCTGCATCAAGTTGCCATTACGGGCAGCATGACCATATACAGTTCACTTAGAACTAAACAACACAAGGGAACTTGGCAGTTCACAGTATTCATTGTGGGGCCACAGCAGGGATCATGACTGCACTTCATTTATTATGGGGAACATGTCTGTGCTGTCCATATTGCCTCCCCCACAGTCCCCACTAGTCATTATAGCATTTAGCTCAGCAACAGCAGGAAGCTTAAATTTTAAAGGAAATATATGTTAAAGGAACACTATAGCAATACAACAGCGGTGCGGAATCTGTTGGCACTTTAGAAGAAATAATAATCCTGAAAAATACAAATCTGTATTCCTAATGCTACAGTGCCCCTGTCTCTCTTTAAATTGGTTCCACCCCTTCTCCCTATCCAATTCTGCGTGACTTGTGCACATTCTACATGCCCCTTCTTTCTCTCTCTTTTGTCTAGTCAAATCCTTCTCATTGAGTAGCACTGACGATACACAGCACATATGTGGTAATTGCTGTGATTCTGCAATCCAATGGACAAAAACAGCGTATTTTGCATACTGATGCAGGATATCAGATAGATGTAGTATTTGAATCTAAACCACCATTCCAGAACTATAGTGTTATGAATACATGTTTGTATTCCAAACATTATAGTGTTCCTTTAAGATGAAGTTATTTTGGTTGCAAGACTGTCCTTTTAACTAGTTGCTTTCCAACTGTGCAGGATGTCATTGGCTGGTTATTTTTTAATGCATTTATTCTAAAATTAAATATTTCCATTTATTTCTGGGTTCCCTGCAGTCCATTATATTCATATTGAGCACTGGAGAATTTTTTTTTTTTTGCAGTGCCAATCTATAATTTGCTTTCAAAATAGGCCATGTGCAGAATGGTTTAAATCCCTTCTCCCTTTCATGCTCCCCTACATTGTAGTATATATGTATGATTCTCAGTGTCTTTTCATGCCTCTGCGCTTGTAATAGTGTGGAATGAAGCATATGCAGACTTTGTGCCCTGCATGTCTTCCTTCTGTAGTTGATTCACAAAGGGTTAAGTGAAATCCAATTTAAAATAATTGATTTAGATATCTTTTTTGATCCTTTAAGAGTCAGGTAGGGTTGGGTATAGCAATGGCTTTAAACTACATTGTCCCATCTGGCATTTTATAAATAAAATAAAAAATATAATACTTGGATTTTAAAGTCCTAATTAAAACTGGCATTTTCTAGAATGTTACCTTAAAAATATTATTTTTAATATGAGTGAATATAAATCATGTGCAGAAATCGCAACTGCAGTGACATCCAGATACTAGCTTTTCATAGATTATAGCTTAAAGTCAACACGCCTCTTACCTTGATCAGAGGGGGTGGCCTATTTATAAAAATAACCATGCCGCTGTATTCTTGCTGGGGAGTTTTATTACTGCCCTTTAGGAGGTAAAATTATTTATATGAAATCATATCAAATATATATATGTATAACCTTAAGCCTTTCTCCACAAAATATCAAGTGTTGCAGTAGTCCTTTCAGCCCTGTTTAAAGCTTATTATCCCTCTCTCCTCTTGCTGTTACACATACTTCAATTCTGACCGTCTATATTCTCCCCCAAACGGTGAATGTATGAATGCACCTTTGTAGGCACTATACGCCACATTGTTTTAAAAAATATATATTTCTACACATGGTTGGAAGATGAGATGAGGCCGTTTGACTATGTCTTGCCAGCAGCAGCTGGAAAAGAGGGTGTGACGGCATTTCTAGAGTTGCATCTTTACATGCTCAAATCCAAGCCATACTTGTGATGCCTGAAGTTAACTCCTTTAATGCCAGGTATCTCCTCCGTCAGGATAATATAATAATCTGTGTTAGGTATTTTAACAAGATTTAACTAATTAAATCACTTATTGACTTAATTTTTCAAAATGGGATGCAGATAGCATGAATGGAAAGTATGTATCTGTATATCTCCCACACCCCAATATATGTGATAAATTTATGAGAATGTGTGCTTCTTAATATTTGACGTTCAACATTCCATTATTTTATTCCCCCACAGATCTTTGGAAGACCGTGAGAAAAGAGATTACTGGGACTTCACAGCCACAGGCCAGTATACAGGTAATATTGTTACCAGTGTTTTTGACCGAAATCAACTTTTACAATGTATTGGCCTGTATTTGTAGAACCCTTGTATGGGTTTTTTGTTTTTCCTCTTTTTTTTTTTTTTCTGTGGTGGAATGAAATATTCTGGCTAATTGAGCAGAACTGATGGAGTGAAGTCTATGTGGGAAAATGTTAGGGTCAGTAGCATCTCTTGCCACACGGAGGTGTCTGATAGATCCCCAACACCTCCTGGGGACAAGATAAAGGAGGCAGTCCAGCCTGTCTGCCATTAGCGCGGGCTAACAGCAGTGATGCAAATATCACTATTGATTTAGCAGTAGCTGGGAGGTTAGGACGTGCCTGCCTTGCTACTGCTTGGAGCCTTACTGCAGAATGCCAGCTGTGGACATAAGGAGAGGAGGGGAAATCAATACAGCGAGGAAGCAAGTGTTTTTGGTGCATATTCAAGGAGACAGCAATATCTCTGTATTATGCTATGCACGTTGTGAGTTTTTTTTTTAATGGATAGGACATAAGTGGTTAACCTTTGGCACTGCAGCTGTTGTAGATTATTCTCTTTTTGGACTGGCTGGGCGTCAATTAGCGATCTCTGGTAAAGAAGGTAGTGAAATGTTTTTGGTGAGGGGCTAGGTTCTTTAACCCTGTAATGGCAATGGGATTTAAGGTACAATTCAGGTTAGAGAAGACCCCAGAAAACATTCTTACTTGAGAAGTTCCTGTATTTGCTGCAATTCCCAAGATCTGAAACTGCCTAGATCTGGACACAGCTCAGCCAGTTGGCATGCTCTGTTTTCAGTGAGACTGAGCATATGACTGACGTAAATCCTTATCCATTGAGGACTTCTGGGACACGTTTAACATAAGACTAGGGATAGACCGATTATCGGTTATTCCAATTATTAAAGCAGATATTCAGTATATTTCTGATAATCTGTACCGGTCTGTAATTTACTACGATAACCAATAACATACTCTCCACACACACTGTCTTCGGCATCAGCAAGCTCCAGCTGCCAGTCAGTAAAGCTCTATGCCAGGGCTGTCCTGCTCTATGCTGTATGTACAGTGAGTAATCTACTGTAATGTCCTGGATGACTGAGAATAATAGGAGTGCGATTGCTGACAGCAGTCTTATTCCAAAAGCTGACTCTGGAAAACGGTTATCAGCCAATTTCTACATTAGACAGTATTTCCATTCATTCGATAAATTGAATGGGTCTGTTGCCTTAGCAGATATCTGTAGCACCTGTAGAACATGCAGAGTGTACAGATATTTGGTTTCTTACATTGATATATTTAAGCGAAGAGTGAGCATATAGCTACAGTAATTTGTTGCAGATTGCTGCAGTTTAAGCAATCTTGGAACTGGAATATGGGACCTCCTTGCATTATAGCATATGCAAAGGGCACAGGCTGTTATGGTTCTGCAGGGCCCCTAAATGCACAGTGAAGTTAACATCCCATCGTCCTCGGTAAATACAAGTATCAACGCTATCAAAATACAAGTATCAAAAGCTATCAACCATGATTTCTGGTATTGTCAGCAGAAAGTCTGATTTCTTATTAACTTTTATCATTTAATTGAAGAAGGGGAAAGCTAATCCCCCAAAAAATAATAATTCTTGGCATTCTGCAATACATTTATTTTTTGCATCTTGTCTACTGGACTAATACGGCTAATTTTATATACTTGTGTATACACACACACAAATGTTTTTATTTTTCCTTTTTTTGTTATAAATGACAAGCAGGTTTATTGCAGAATAATTTGATATATATGTACTAAGACTGGATGCATGTGCCAGGATCCACCTCCACTTTCTATAAACTATACCAGTGATCTCCTGCTCCACACTGCAGATAATTTTGATCTGAATTTCCCATCCCAAGATGCTAAGTCAGCCTTCAGACAAATGGAGTGCTGAAAAAACTGCAGCTCCAAGGTCAGCCTTCACTGCTACAGACTGTGCATGAAAACAAACAAACAAGCAAAAAACCAATTCTTTTAAAGAGACTGTGCTCTGTTTTTTTTTTTTTTTTTTTAATTCTGAAGAAAGCTATTGAAGTATATGTGTTCCATGTGTAAAGAGTGCTACACTCTCTGACTTCTACTTATTGCCACTTTCACTAGTTGGAAGATTAAACCACTCATAGATGCTTTATGTATAGTTGTCAATTCTAAAGCAGGGATATTAATGCTGCATGCTAACTGGGGCATGAAGCCCCCACATTAACTAAAGTAGAGTTTCTCAGCTAAGGTGCCTATAACACAGGTTCATCAATACCTGCTTAATATTTTTGATATTAGAGAGCCTGTAAAGTAAGAATACAGAGATTTTTCTGGACCTTTTCATGGCATAGTATTTATTGCACGTTCCGTGACTCTCTGCAATGACTGAATAAACCAACACTGCACCAAATTTTGCCAAGTGCTGAGGTTCTTTTTCAGTCTTTTTACTTTGCAGTCTTGTTGGACCTACAACTCGGGTAGCCAAGATTGGAGAGTTAATTTATTGCTCCACACATTACCTGCTTCTGTGTTTTTATGTCACATTTGCTTTTTAATTCACTCCATTAAACACTAAAACCCTTCTTACCTCTTGTTCAATGTGGATAGAGATCACCCTTTGAGTACTATTCAGTGCTACCATGCAAGTTGTTAAACGCATTTTATCAATTTCGCCTAAACTCCTGTCCCTCTAGCCAGCTGCATGAGCTATAGTTCTGGACCCCAAAGAATAAACAAACCAGGCCCAAAAAGTTACCTGTGCGCTATCCCAAATCAGAAATGCATAAATCAGAAGCGGGGGGAGTTTAAATGCTTAAAATGTGTATATTTTTTATTTTCCATTGATATTTTCTCTAAACTCACTGATGGTTTGGCTTTTTGTTTCCTATAAACTTTGCAATTTCTTTAAACGGTTATTGAACCTATTTCAGGTTTACATAATGAAAGGAGCTCTCTTGCCCAGTTTCCCTTTAATATGTTCTTTGAAGCTTCAGCAATTTGCATCAATCTCTGCAGCTATGCCTATTGGCTGTCCTATGTATCATCACAGTGTACCATACAGAGCTTCTGTAAATTGCTTCATTCGTGAGAAAGCATAACTATATGAAGAAATTTTAAGTTTCTATCCTTCTGAATTTCAAGACATGCTGAAAAGCAGACTATGTAAATGCATCTTTTTTGCACGGCTTTTTATTTATTATTTAATACAGTTAAAGGATCACTATAGGGTAGGGATCGACCGATATTGATTTTTTAGAGCCGATACCGATATTCTGTGAACTTTCAGGCCGATAGCCGATATAATTTGCCGATATTCTGTACATTTACCATTTTGGAAAATAAAAACTGTTTCTAAAGGTAAATGCACAAAATATACATGCAACGTGCAGTGGATGCAGTGTGACAGGGGAGCTGTGTGTGTTTGTGTAGTGTGTGTAGTGGATGCAGTGTGTGTTTGTGTAGTGTGTGTGTTGTGGATGCAGTGTGTGGAGGATGCAATGTGTGTTTGTGTAGTGGATGCAGTGTGTATTAGTGTAGTGTGTATATAATGAAAGCAGAGTGTGTGGGTAGTGTGCGTAAAGTAAATGCTGTATATACTAATTTCAAAGTGTGTGTGTATATAATGAATGCAGAGTGTGTGTGTATTTGTGTAGTGTGTGTATAGTGAATGTAGTGTGTTTATATAATGCAGAGTGTGTGTATATAATGCAGTGTGTTTGTGTAGTGTGCATTATATAAACACACTACACAAACACTGCATTATATAAACACTACACAAACACACACACTGCATTATATAAACACTATACAAACACACACTGCATTATATAAACACACTACACAAACACACACTGCATTATATAAACACACTACACAAACACACACTGCATTATATAAACACACTACACAAACACACACTGCATTATACACACACACTATACAAACACACACACTGCATATATACACACACACACTATACAAACACACTGAATTATATACACACACTATACAAACACACACTGCATTATATAAACACACTACACACACACACTGCATTATACACACACACTATACAAACACACACACTGCATTATATACACACACACACTATACAAACACACTGAATTATATTCACACACTATACAAACACACACTGCATTATACACACACTACACAAACACACTGCATTATACACACACACTATACAAACACACACACTGCATTATATACACACACACTATACAAACACACTGAATTATATACACACACTATACAAACACACACTGCATTATATAAACACACTACACAAACACACACTGCATAAACACTGCATTATATACACAGTGTGTTTGTATAGTGTGTGTATATAATGCAGTGTATTTGTGTGCATTGTATACAAACACACACACACACTATACAAACACACACTGTATTATATACACAGTGTGTTTGTGTAGTGTATGTGTATATAATGCAGTGTGTGAGGGGGCATTTTTTATTAAATTATTTTTAAAAAAATGTATAATTAATTCTTATTTATTTTTGTTGTCCCCCCTCCCTGCTTGTTACCTGGCCAGGGAGGGGGGATATGACAGTCCCTGGTGGTACTGGCTGAGCTGGGGGGGCGGAGAGCAAGCGCTTACTCACCTCCCAGCAGCTCCTCCAGCTCCCCAATGCAACTCTCGCGGCCAGCGTGTCGCGCGGAGCGTTGCCATGGTGATCCATGGCAACGCTCGGAAGGCCGCGGGTCTCGCGAGAGTTGCACTGGGGAGCTGGAGGAGCTGCTGGGAGGTGAGTAAGCGCTTGGTCTCCGTCCCCCCAGGACCGCCGGGCTTGTAATGAGCCTGGCAGTCCTAGGAGGTATTATCGGCAATATCGGTATCTGAATTGGCCGATACCGATATTGCCGAGAATACTGAATATCGGCCGATTATATCGGTAAAACCGATAATCGGTCGATCCCTACTATAGGGTCAGGAACACAAACATGTATTCCTGACCCTATAGTGTTAAAACCACCAACTAGACCCCTGGGCCCCTCTTCCCTACATAAATATAGCAACATCTTACTGTATTCAAGCCAGAAGCTGTAACTCTGCATGCTGTTTGCCTCAAAAAAACAAGCAGTCTGCTGACCTCATCAGAAGTGGTAGCCTGATCCAATCACAGTGCTTCCCCACAGGATTGGCTAAGACTGACAAAGAGGCAGATCAGGGGCAGAGCCAGCATGATTCAAACACAGCCCTGGCCAATCAGCATCTCCTCATAGAGCTGAATTGACTCAATGAATCTCTATGATGAAAGTTCAGTGTCTGCATGCAGAGGGAGGAGATACTGAATGTTTGGATGCATGTTAGGCAGCCATGACCCAGGAAGGATCTCTAACAGCTATTTGAGGAGTGGCCAGTGAAGTTATCACTAGGCTGTAATGTAAACACTGCATTTTCTCTGAAAAGACCGTGTTTACAGCAAAAGGCCTGAAGGTAATGATTCTACTCACCAGAACAAATTCAATTAGATGTAGTTGTTATGATGACTATTTTGTCCCTTTAAGAACTACAGATGTGGCTGTCCAATATCCTCCCACAACTCTTAGCACAGTCCTTGCACTGGTTCTTGATTGGTGACATAAGTTAAAGGATATCTCTGCCTATCAAATCACTTGTGTTCATGTACATTTTAGGCCAATCATAGAACCATTTAAAAACATAAAGGGAATCAACACAGTAAAGGAGGAGACTGTATTTAAAAGAAAAACTACCACAACAAGAAGACATAGCCTTAAATTAGAGGGGCAAAGCTTTAAAAATATCAGGAAGTATTACTTTACTGAGAGGGTAGTGGAATAGCTTGGAATAGCCTTCCAGCTGAAGTGGTAGAGGTTAACACAGTGAGGAAGCTTAAGCATGCGTGGAATAGGCATAAGACTATCCTAGACTTAAGAAAAGGCCAGGGACTAATTAAAAGTATTTTGAAATATTGGGCTGTCTAGATGGGCCGAATGGTTCTTATCTGCCGTCACATTCTAGGTTTCTGTGTTTCAATCCTACATTTTATATATCCGTTTTGTTAAACTGTTATTGCTGCTTAAATGCCATATTTTCTGGAGTTTCTAAAACGTGGATTTTGTATAATGTTTTATATTTATATTCTACTTGGAAATGCCATGGGTTTTATTGCTAAAAGCTGCCTTGTACTGTCCCAGAAAATATTAGAACATTAAATAAATGATGGTTTTTGGTCAGATCAATGTAGTGACAAAGTTTGTGTTGATGAGATCAAAAATTTTACATCAACAGTACCTAAATGAAAACTCTCACGTTTATGTATTTTTGTATGGATAAATTTATCTTCAACATACCATTTAAGATTAAATTAATCTTTTAGTAAAACGTAGAGATATTATTTGTGGTTATATTGAACTTTGGGGCAGTTATTGGTTTATTTTTTTATTTTTAAAACCTGAATAATTAAAGATTCTTAGTGGTGTTTGTTTATTCGGCTACTCATTGAGTATTACATTTTCAGAATTTAGGTGACATAGGCCAGCCTGGAACTGTATGTTGGAGTATAGTGATGTCCCGAACGGTTCGCCGAGGACTCATCACTGAGTAAACTTTGACCCTGTACCTCACAGTCAGCAGACACATTCAAGCCAATCAGCAGCAGACCCTCCCTCCCAGACCCTCCCACCTCCTGGACAGCATCCATTGTGAAGCTGCATTCTTAGTGAGCTGTCCAGGAGGTGGGAAAAATCTGGAAGAAAGTCTACTGATATCTGCTTGAGCTCTGAGGAATCAAAATTTACTCAGCATGATAGTCTGTGACTGAACTTTATTAAAATAGGCTGGTGTGCTATTGGAGTATTTCCCTATTCTTTCTTCTCTGTATCTGCACTATTTTTCTCTTCTTTTCCTATTGAATTCCATTGTCAGTTGACTAGTTAATGATTGCTATGTTTGTCTTACTTGGAGGGGGGAGTATTTGTTATGAAAACTGAATTTTACTGAATTTTAGTAGTGTGTCAAATAAGAATTGTAGTTTGAAGTATGGCCTTATTCACCCCCCTCCCCCCCTTCTCTTCCCCACCCCATCCTACCTCTGAATCCTGTCTCTAAAACGAGGAAATTAGTTAAATTGCTCAATCATTTTGTTATAGAATGAAATTCCCTTTTTTGGAATGCCCGTTCATTATTAAATCAAAATGTACTTTTATGTTGACCTTCCTGAATTGTGAAATTATCATGTGCTCTGGTGAAACTTTACTTCAACAGAATTGTTGAATATATATGTTAAATGGGAGTACTAGATATACTGTACTCTGTTTTGCGATCATAGGGGTTGTTTGTTAAAAGGGCTATGTCACATAAATAAGGGCTGCTTTGTCTTAGTAATTTTCCTTAACTTGACAAAAGTGGGCAAGTTTTGTCATTTCCTCCAGCTGTCACCAGTGTGACGGCTGTAGGGGAAAAGACTGTGTCTATAGAGGGTCAAGCGGAATCCTCCATAGATTTCAGTTAGTCTCCCACATACGTGAGCTCCTGGCAGATGAAGCACCATGAGCAGAAGAGGACAGACATGAGGACCATGCCAGTGGTCGCAAGGGACCGTTTCAGGTAAATAAATTTCACCTTCCTGTACACCCTACGACCACTGGACACCCAGCGGAGTAGTCATCGTCAGGGGTCTTTGCAAATGATGCAAAGACCACAGCCCGTGACAGAGCGGTTTTAAACTGCAGCCAATGTACAGCTCGGTGTGATTTTCATTTGTAGAGTCCAGGTAGACACAGGCAGTAAGAAAACAGACTCTGTGTCCACAAATATTTAAACATAACTTGAAAGAAGGTTACTGGTGCTCAGAAGTGTACACAAATAAGACTTTTCTATTATTAGTAGGCCTGCGAATGGAACAACCCTTATATCTAGTGACATGACCTCTAGCTGGGTAACGATAGGCAGTGCACTTTCAAATGCAAGTTTGCTAAGAGAAACTCAATCTGATGTTCAGAAAAGGCAAATCTAGTTATTTTGTGAATGTTTGCACTACCATTTGGCTCCAGTTCACTTACCTGTTATAATCTGCTGGCTGATTTGGCTTTTCACAAAAGAATTGCATTAAATCAGCTGATGACTACAGGCCAAAGGAGTTGCTCACTAACACTATCCCCATTCTGTCCTTATCCTGCATTATTAACGCAAAAATACCTCAAACATTCTGAGCGCGAGTGTCTCTTTAAGAAACAAGCTGCGAGCTGTCAGAATTTGGTGAATGTGTGGTTGCAATATGTTTTGAGGTTGGATTCTACATGTATCTTGATTTACCATGGAAAAGGTTAGCAAACGTGTCCAGGAAGAGCAATAATGCCCAGGTTCCTCTGGGCAAGGTAGTTTGCAGATTTATGATGGCAACCAAACCAGCTTCCTTCCAGTTCTGAGCAGCTGCTCCCACTTTTAGGAAGTCTTGATGTAAGCTTGAACTCTGCTCCTCGAGTTACAAATTGTTATATTGTTCTGCTGCAGGTAAAAGCTGTATAAATAAAACCCTGAGTCATGTAAGACAATTATTCTTGCATTGTTCTGCAAGAGCTCATGGGGTACTTACACAATCCAAATAATGATTGGCATTTACTTTGTAATATCCATTTGGAATCTTTTATATTTTTTTGTTATTTTATATAAAGTTTGTATACATTTTAATATATATCTTTTAGAAATAAATATACCCTTTATTTGAACATAATTCATTGCATCCTGCTCAAGTGATTCCAGAAAGGGGTAGTGTCACCCCACTAATTGACACTAGGCCTATACACTTAGAGCCAGGTATCAAGGGCTCTAAACAAGGTGAGCAATATTGTATTTTATCTATATTGATTTCATCAATACTTAAAATACTACACTTTGTCAGATTGGATTATCTGTCTTTTCCTTGTCTAATGTGGAGAAAAACATATACGTGCATATCGTGAGAGCAGGGTCGTGTGTTCTACCCGAAAGAGACGCCAGGAAGTTTAGAGCCTTAAAACTGTAAAAGGCTCTAAAAAAATGTGAGTGGATTCATATTTAAAGCTCACAAAATCACTAAATTTATTTTGATATACTGCACAATTATTTGTATTTCTTTTCCCTCTTTTCTATGTAATACAGGTGTGACATAGAGGGTAAGTGCATATAAAGCACTATATATATTCACGAATTTATTCTTCTGAGCAACACGTAGCGCTACACTCGAGAAAACTGAAGGTTCAATGGTTATACCTGCAAACCTTTAAGTTTCTCTGTTTTTCTTGGTGATCTTTTATGTGTGGTGGGTGTATAGGAGTACCCACGGAGTGTTTTTAGCAGCTGCAATCTAATTTCATACCATAATTTAATAGCGCCACCTTTTCCACACCCTGTTTGTAAATCTATCGTCTTTGCACAATCCAAATAATGTTTTAAAACCTTTCTGCCTTACTTTTTTTTCCTCTTTATTTAATCCATCCAGTTGGTCACTGTATTGTTTGTACTTTATTGTATAGTTTCATGTTCGTCTTCAACTTCACAATGAAGTATTTGTTTTCTATAAAGCCAATAGAGCTGAAACCCACTAGCTATTGAGTCTAGCTCTGTTTTAGAATTCTACACTAAGGAAGAAAGGTACAAAGAGTAGTTTGCGAGAATATGTTCTGTCTGCAGCAATCACCATAGAAAATACAAACCAGTACTTCACATTGAGCATTTTGCACTAGAATTGCTTCTTCATTAGTCTTGTGCAAATGATATTTGGACTTCTAAATCTTAAAATGTCTGGCTGTAAAGGAAACCTATATATGCTAACTGTTAGCTTTTAATAAGCAGCTAAAATTAGTAAAATGGATGGGAGCTACTTTCCGAGCCATCAATTGTACGTAAATAAAGCATACATAATTTTACATGATTCACAAAAGCAAGTCAAATTCTGTTGTGGGGGGGGGGGGGTGAGGGTTTAATTCTTCAAAAAAGTTTTGTGTTTTTCTGTAGTTAAGCTGAAAACTACAAAAACAGGAGTCAACCTTATTTAATTTCTTTTTCTGTGTTTATTTTTTTGTGTCCTGCAGGTTTCCTCATGTCCGTGAAGTGTCTCTCGTCGCTCTGCGGCTCCCCGCCCTCGGTGTGGTCAGTCGCTGCAATTCCGACCCCGTGATTCTCTCCGACCGCAGTGCCGGACGTCATGAGCATTGTAATCCCTCTGGGAGTCACCACACCAGATACATCCTACTCAGACATGGCCGCCGGATCAGAGTGAGTGTGCCATAGAACCAAAATAGGGGCTAAATGTCATCCAGATGTTTCTAGTTTTACCTCTGAATTCTATCAATCTTCAAGATTATATAGCCTGTATAAAAGCCAATATGATAATTTACCTGTCATTTTTGTTTTTATAGAAAGTGTTTCTCTACAAGTTATTCCAACTGGTGTGAGTGACTCCTATTAAAGGGACACTATAGGCACATTGAAGTGGTCTGGGTGCAGTGTCCCAAGCCCCTTAACCCTGCAAAGGTAATTATTGCAGTTTTTAAGAAACTGCAATAATTAGTTTCTTGAGTTAACTCCACCTCTAGCGGTTGTGTACCAGGCATTCAGTAGAGGGACTTCTGGTCCGTTAGGCGACTTTTGACTGCCTGATGCTGGACGTCCTCGCGCTATGCATGACGTTGTCCATAGTCACTCAAAACCTCATAGGAAAGCATTGTATAATGTTTTCTTATGGGGTATGGGGAAATCCTAATGCGAGGATTGTCACCAAGGAGGGGAGTTGGGGGTGGGGTGGGGAGGGAGCGAAGGCGTACCAGAGCCTGCACCGAGGGACAGAAGGGAAACTTTTCCTGGCACTATAGTTTCCCTTTAACTTCAACATTGGGTTTTTATTTAACCTAGTTTAGGAGTTTGCCTGAAATTCGACAATGTTCACTCCAGGCAGAGCTCCTCTCGAGAGTTTTGTAATACCATAACAACTGTATATTGTGTATTTCTATAAACATCTCAACAACTCCCCCTCTTCTGTACTCAAATTATGTACAATAAAAAGCAAAAATGAAGAATTAGCCTCTTTCTAAACTCTTATCTCCTATGTTAAAGATGAAAAATTTTAAAGCAAAAAGTGATCGGAACATAGAAAAATAATAACTCTTGCAAATTGGACTTTCCCACTCCAATCTGTTCTAAATGCTGCTGCCAAACTTATCTACTTCACTAACCGCACACATACTGTTGCCACACACTGCTAATCTTTTTCAAACTATTTATTATTTGATGCAAACTCCTGGCCAAACTTAATAGTTTGAGTGTTTCTTTAATTTAAAGAAAGACCGCTTGCTACAGTGATTATGGTTCCTGGAGTGCCCTGGCGCAGCAGCATAAGATATGAGACCTATTTAGTATGAGTCCATCAGTGACAGGACCCAGGTAGCATCTGCCCCATCCAGAATGTAGAGCAGAGCTGGTCCCCATAACTAGTGTTTAGTGGCTATAGTGCTTGACTTGTTGCTTTTTTTTTTTTTGTCAGATAACTATTAAAAATAAAACAACAAAGCACAAAACACTTTACGAATTGCGTTCAGCCTATTAATTTGTGTTGTGCCTCCATTATTCTAAACTTTAAGCTCTACTAATCAATTACAGATTCACTTTATGCCTTAATCTTCTCTTGGTCAAGATAATATTTATTCTCTTTTTGGACCTTTGCTGGAAAAAATTATAAAATATATATATATATATATATATATATATATATATATATATATATATATATATATGCCTTTTTAGTATGATCACGTACATCACCAGCAGTGCATTTCACAAATATATATAAAAAAAAGCCTTTTTAGTATGATCACGTACATCTCCAGCAGTGCATTTCACAATATAAAGGCTGTGTCAATTCAGCCTAATTCAGAGATTGCCACCTAGTGGTCACTAGATATTATTATATATTAATTTGGGAACTTGTCATTCCTATAATTTTTACCATTCTAACACAACGTAGTATGGTGCTTACTAGATATTTTGCCAAAACAAATTGGTATGTTAACATTAAATTTTTGTCTTTAATGATTTTATTATCCTCCTTTTTTCTTTAGTCCTGAATCAGTGGAAGCCAGCCCAGCTGTCAGTGGGAAGACAGTCTATGCAGCTCACAACTACCATGGCACACAGAGCCACAGTTACAGGGGTCTGCCATATGCAGTAAGTATGATGCATTACACAAATGCTCTTTGATCTGGCATGCATTGGTGTATATAACGGTACATGAGCAACACGCTCATACAATGATATCTCCTATTCAAAATTTCTAATCTTTCATTTGGCTGACAGAACACTAGAGCTCTGGAATCATTTCAGTATTTAACATTTTTTTTATTTTGTGAAATATTTAACTTCTAGATGTTTGTACAAAACACATCTGTCCCTAAACCACAGGCTTTTTCTCTAGAACTGCCTGACAAATGTAGAAGCATTTGCTTGAACTGAAGAGACAGGCAGAGTGTGTCAGCTGACCCTCTATCCTATCAATGGCTGTCTATAATGATTAATTCTTCAAAATCAAGCTCTAGAGGAGAAGCATGATCAGCACAGGGGTCACCACCTCAGTGGAAAACTGTTCAAAAATAGTTTACCACTTAAAGGCGAGAAGGTTCTGGGCACCATAATCCCTGCATTGATATGGTTTAATGCAACTGGTGTATTATTTTTCTTTTTGTTTTTGAATGTGGAAGGGTTATTTTATTATTTACATAGTGTGTGTTTAGATGTCAATCTTGTTGCTACCATTTACAGGATCATAACTATGGCGCCCCTCCACCACCCACACCCCCTGCATCACCACCTGTCCAGGCAATTATACCAAGAGCATCAGCACCCAATGGCATTCACTCGCCGGACGAGGAAGAAAACTCTGGGGATAGCGAGAGCTCTTCAGAGGTAGAGCAGATTCCCAGTTGGTGCCAGTGTAGTCTTTCCCAGGACGGGATATTCATCAAGTGTGAGAAGTGCAGGTGAGTCAGGAAGCTATAGATGTAGAGATGTTTGCATTCATATACTTTTTATCTCATCTGGACCAATTGGTGTTAAACAGTTCCTGAATTTATATATAGTTTATTGATTTTTAAATTGTAACATATATATATATATATATATATATATGTGTGTGTGTGATTAAGATGATGATATAGCTATCCTAATATTGCATCTGTCCTACATTGTAAATATTACCAGATCCCAAGGGAATGGTTTTTAAAATTTATTTTCAATACTGTGATGTTTGTACTGTACAGCTTATAGTAGGTCACTTGAATTGTTGATGTTTAATTCCCCAGTCCTCCTTTAGCATCTCAAGTTGTCAGGGGGCTATAGCACTCGAGGGGATTAATCAAGGTAAAACAGGTGCTATTTTGGATACAATGTGCCATATGGTGTCAGACATTCTATTTGTTTCCATAGAGACATTTCATTGTTTTACATAGCACTTTGGCCCAGAATATTACCTGTTTTTGTGTGGATTAATCTCCCTGTTTTTCTGACTAGACTAGCTTGAGAATCAGTGCATTGAGGTCAAATTCATTTTATTTTGTAATATGCAAAGAGTACACATGTACAGCAGTAAAGCATTCCATCATTACAAGAATCTTTTCTCTTGCTTGTCATAGGGGGGTGAACAGAGGAAAAGTGATCCAACTTAATCGAAGGAAGCAAGACAATGTGTCAGGTATGCAAACTAAACTGTTGGCGTGTGATGTATTTAGTGTTCTATAGTTGGAATGGAATTAATATTGCAAATGTGTTTAAAGGAGCACTATAGGGTCAGCAACACAAACATGTATTCCTGACTCTATAGGGTTAAAACCACGATCTAGCCATTCTGGTCCCCTCATGCCTCCCTAAAAATAGTAAAATCTTACTTGTATTCAAGTCTGTAGCTTCAGGCTTTGGCCATGTTTCCTGTAGACCTGCCTGCTGACATCATCAGAAGTGGTAGCCTGATCCAATAACAATGCTTCCCCGTAGGATTGGCTGAGACTGACAGAGGCAGATCAGGGGCAGAGGCAGCATGATTCAAACACAGCCCTGGCCAATCAGCATCTCCTCATAGAGATGAATTGAATCAATGCATCTCTATGAGGAAAGTTCAGTGTCTGCATGCAGAGGGAGGAGACACTGGATGTTTGGATGCATTTTAGGCAGCCATGTCCCAGGAAGGATCTCTAACAGCTATCTGAGGAGTGGCCAGTGAAGTTATCACTAGGCTGTAATGTAAACATTGCATTTTCTCTGAAAAGACAGTGTTTACAGCAAAAAGCCTTAAGGTAATGATTCTACTCACCAGAACAAATGCAATAAGCTGTAGTTGTTCTGGTGACTATAGTGTCCTTTTAAATCCTTAAATTAGTGTATTAAAGGAACATTAAAAATACAAATCTGTTTTCCTAACTCTATAGTGTTCTCTTTATTTAAACGCAGCCCCCTCTGCTCCCCAAATCTTAATAAAAACTGGAATAAAGGATCGTATTTGCAAATCTCTGCCTCCCACAATGTCACGTCAGTGTTTTCAAAAGTCCAATCCATTGCTCCTCAAAAAAAGCACTATGCCAATGAAATTGAAGATAGCTGTGAGATCCTAAATTTGAGTCGTTTTTCACAGTGGAATCGCCTCTAGTGGCTGTCAAGAAGACAGCCATTAGAGGTGTGTTTAACCCTCTAATGTAAACCGTGCCTTATTTACTAAACGGCAGTGTTTTACATTAAACAGCTAAAATATAAGTGGTTTGTGTGTTTTAGGTGTCCAATAAATACATTGTAGACCGGTTTGATTGAATTCACTGTACTTTGCTGATTAGGATGTTTCTCTTTACCTTCTGGTGATCAGTTATTAAATTGATCTCAGGGTTTAGCCACAAAGATTCACATTTTATACATTGTGTTATGTGTGAAACTATTTTCAAAAATGGCTGTTTTTCCAAGCAATCAAGATTTAGTATATTCTACATGCGTCATTAATAAAAAAATAAAAAATAAAACATTGTCACATTTGTCATATTTTTTTTTAGACTGTAAATTCTAAAATGTTAAATGCTGTTAACTGTCAAATTCTAGTTCTGTGACAGGAATCAAACTATTTAACTACCTTTGTTTTAATTGCTTAAATGTCAGGAGCTGTATGGCCATCTCATTTGTTTGGGAACTCGCTTAGGAAAGTCATAGTTCAGCAGCCAGAAAGCTATAGATAGGCATTATATTTAAAATTAGTAATTTGAGGACCTTTGATATTATGTTGTTTCCCATTGATGTACACATAGGGACATTTGACAGTCTTTATTTTGTATATTTTTGTGCACTTGTTTCAGACCAGTTGTTCTCCTTTTCATTCATGCAACAAGACTAACATTTTGTTCTGGATTTGAGTGATTGTTAGATTGAGATTCATAGAACTCTTATCTCTGTTATCCGTGCAGGGGGCGAAAGCAGCGCCACTGAGAGCTGGGACGAGGAGCTGTCTCCATCTACTGTGCTCTACACCGCCACGCAACACACGCCAACTAGCATTACTCTCACTGTCAACAGGGTCCAGAGAAGCAAACCAAAAAAGAGGAAAAAGAATACAGAAAAAACACGTAATGCTCCAAAAGCCAAGAAAATTAAGGTAGAGTGATGTTTCTGTCCTGATCAATTAAAAGACAAACCTTTGGCCAACCATTGCAGTAATTTGTTAGCTTTGCATGTCATGGTAGAAGCAAACTATCTAGCACACATTCGAAAGTAATCACCTGACCATAAATCATAGGATGTCTATTTTTTGATACATCTGTATGTTGCTAACAAATAATTCCTTAAGTTGATTTTATACTTATAAGAGTTATTGATATACCGTTAATAAAGTGCTTACAGGTATTGATCTTCCTATAGATTTTTCAGTGTTGGCTAGCCAAAGATAAAGGATACCGCACTCTCACAGTGAAACAAGGTGCATCAAAGTTCGGGTTGGCAAAACCCAATTTAGTAGATATTAGTAGAAAGTAGGTCCAGGCACTCAAGGTTTCTTCAAAGAGGCAGATTTATTGAAAACTGAATTTGCATACTGTTGGTTAGGAAGGCATGAGTCAAGGTTACTACTACAACATGCAAACAAAGAGGCAATCAGATTATTACCGGACCTTTGAGTGACCCTGCTTAAGGTATATAGATTACAGCCCAGAGACTGTAAAACAAATATAACAAGAAACAGACATAGGTCAAGGATTTAATAGAGTAGGTTATTAGAGTACACTGAGCCAGGGTCTAGGATTCTAGAGTTAAGAGTAGTCAAATACACAGTCCAGACAAAACCAGAAAACACTCCAAACACTAGAACATCCTTCCGGTTAACTGAGATCACGAGAGGGCAAGGAAATGAGGTAAAAGAAGGGCTAGGTAGGGATTAGTTGTGATGTAGCTTAACGACTCCCGTCAAATTGAGACATAGGCTTAGCCTACTTATGAGCAGGCTTCAATGTGGGCATAAATAGAGCGGAATGGCAGCATGCCACATCTATATTGATGGCAGAGCAACGTCCACTGGTCGGCGTGCATCCTGCTAAGCGCCTGCATTTGTAGTCAGCTGAATGCAAGAGAGTGGCACAGCAGCATTCAGTGTCGGCAAAATGTAGAGGAGTGGCACAGCGATATAGGGAAAGCATGTTCTCAAGCAGTTCACGTTATTGATAAAATGAGAAGCAACGGGATACTTGAGGGTTGGGAGCTTGAAAGTACTCCCTGGTTTCATTGCTTTTTTTCCCATTGTTCGTACAGGCTTTTCGTGAAGGCTCTCGCAAGTCCTTACGGATGAAGGTGAGAACTTTTTAGAGGAGTTTTCCATCTTTAAAGTTTTTCATTATGGCAATATTTTGGCATTTAAGGAACTGCTCATTTTAAAGTGCTGAACATGCATGCTTATGTAGAAATGCCTCTATATCCCATCACTACAATAAACATGCTAAATTCTGTGTAATCAAGTGATCTAAATCAGCAATAGCTTGCATATAAATGTTGCAGATAAGAACTAATTATTTTTAAAAATAAATAAAAATAAAATAAGGCTCGGGCACAATCTAATATATAAATGTGCAAAATGTATATTACAATAATATGTTCAGCAACCATTTAAATATAGCGACAAAACAAATAAAAACCTTCAAAATTATGAGTAAATCTAAATGTAAAACCTTTTTAATCAAGTGAAATTATGGTTTTAAGCAACCTTCAAAAACCTAGAAATTTATAGAGCAGATCAGTTACACCAACATTTAAAAAAAAACAAAAAAAAAAACGTAAAGACATACAAAGGTTTATCACTAACAAAGACACTGCTAATCACTACCTATGTGAGTGATACTCCTTTGTGGGTCTTGATTTGTTTTGCACTATATATTTCTATTCCTGAAAACCAGAATTTTACTAGTCTTTTTATTTTGTGCACTGTTTATTTTTTGTTGTTTTTTTCAACAATACATTTCGTTCCCAGATCTCTCTATTTAAAAAAACAGAACAAGATAAAATTAGCAATGAATGGAATTAAAATCCTTAGTTTTCTGTGTCTTATGGTCTTTTTTCTTTGTTTGCTACGTGCCTGTGTGTTGTCTTAACTTTGTTGCATGTGAGAAACTGCTATTAGTGTATTTTTCTTATTTTTATTTTTATCTTTGTAATTACAGAACTCTACTTCAGATGCACAGACATTGGATGAAAACACCACAGAGGGCTGGGAGAATCGGATCAGACTATGGACAGACCAATACGAGGAGGCCTTTACCAATCAGTACAGTGCAGATGTGCAAAGCCTTCTGGAACGGCATGTGCGCTCCTGCAAGGAGCTGATTGGTAAAGCTGCTGGTCTGGAAATCATTAAGAAGTCTGAACTGAACTGTAACAATACAGTGGTTGGCTCTCAGATGCAGGTAAGAATTGGATTTACTATGTATTCATATGTACATGTGTACTGTTTATTCCAATATTTTGTGCTACAAGAGAAAAACCAGAGTATATAGTATTGGACTAATAAGTTATTTTTACATACCTGGATGTTCATGGTACAATTTATTTGTAACCCATTGACATCTAATATACCAGATGTTGCTGGGACCTTGGAAATAAGGTTCTGGTGAGTGCAGCGCTTGGCAAATGTATTAAGATTGCTTTAAAATTGGGGAAGAAATGTTCCACAGGTAGACCGCTCAGAGATCTATTCCTATAGGTCAGTCATTGCTCTGTCTGTTTGTTGGAATGCCCCTTCCTTTGTCATTATTGCATTGCTGCCCTAAAAATACCCTCTAGCAAAAACCATTAAAAAAGCTCCATCACCTACTTATATTGGCTCAATAGACACCTAAATGGATTACATGATTAGAGACTCTAAATAGATGTTATGGCATTTTAATCTGGTGTTTAAAGAAGCCAAGAGCATGTGCTGCTAACAGAAAGATCAGGTATTTTCTCAGTTGAGTTGATACGAGCCCAGCATTCCACTGTGCAGGGGAGAGGAATTGCAGCATCGAAAATGCCAGATGATGCAGAATGACCCACCATGCCCATAGTGAGTCCAGGTTAGTTTGATGCAAATCTTTACTATAATAATTTTTTTTTTTTTTTTTCTGATGAGCAAAATAAATTGCTGACCAGATAATCATGATAGTTTATTTGATGATGCAAACAAAGCTGCAGATGACACGGCAAAAAAAAGATTAACCCTTGGATCACATCTATCATTTTGTTTTGTTTTTTCGTTCTGTTTTTGTTTTTTTTAATCTCTTCCCAAAGTTGTTTTTTTGGCATAATCGGGTCTACCATTTTTGTAGTTTCAGCTGGGAAGAGTTGCTCGTGTGCAGAAACATCGCAAAATCCTGCGGGCAGCAAGGGACTTAGCACCCAACACCCTAGTAATAGAGTACCGCGGCAAGGTTATGTTACGGCAACAGTTCGAGGTGAATGGGCATTTCTTCAAAAAGTAAGTTTGTATCAGGTGAAAATTAGAGGGACTTTTAAGGGGACTGATGAATATTAAGTTTATGAACAGGCATTGACAAATGGTATTTTTTTTTTATTTTTTTTTAAATGGTTACCTTTTTAGATTTGTAGAAATTAATCTACATTTTGGTGAAATGGTTCTGGAACACTGATTAAAAAGTTAGCAGTCTTATTGTCGCTTTTAAAATTATTTTTTTATATATCTTGTTCTATTCTACACACATCACCTAAATAGAACGACGTCTGATGGCCCTTAATAGAATGTATTTTTATTTTTCTTTATTTAGTAGATCATTGTTTTTATCAAAAGTCTTTAAAAAGGACTGGGTTGTTGAGATACTGTCTTTGTTGAAAATGCATGTTTCCTATTAGGATTCAGGAGTGCATATTAATTGCTAGGAATCGTTTGAATATACTCCGTGTCAGTGTAGAGTCCATTTGTTTTACATTAAATGTATGTAAAATCAAATGTGTATGTCTGGGTGGTGGAGATGCCAGGTTTATATTTCTGCCAGTATGGGAAAAAGGGGACATCTGATTTTAAAGGATATAACTTCTGTGTTGATGGTGTTTCTCAAGTAGTTCAAAAAAATCCCAGAGTATTTTTGTATTGACTTATGTTTCTCGTGTCTTTTGAGCAAAATATATATTTAAAGGACCACTCCACACTTTCAAACCCCCCCACCCAAAAAAACAGTTTAGTAGATATACCCCCAATGAATACATACATGCATATTTTCATGTATGTGTTCATTGGGAATATAATTTAAAATAGCTTACAATAGCTGCAGTTCTTATGACTGCAACCTTTGTAAGCCCTTTCCCCCCGAAAGACTTTCAGTCTCTTCACAAGGAAATAACCAATCAATGAGAAGCCTCTGACTTGGTCCCAACATGCACGCGCATCGGATCGTGCATAATGTTGAGTGCACGTATATCAGACTGTGCATGCATGGCTTTTCAAGCACACGCGCGCTCCCGGTCGCATGTGCAGGGATGAAGCGGTTGAGCTGGTCTAAGGTCTGGGAGGCAGGCACACTCAAATAGAGCGTGCCTGCCACTTCTGTTCGCTCAGGGGAGCTAACAGAAGTAGGAAGGAATACTCTCTGGCTGTTTGACAGCCGGGGGAGTTCATTGGTGAATTTATAAAAGTGATTTCTCATAGATTCATGGTTCTTTAATCTATCAATCACTGCTTTCAATTATTTGTACCATATCTTAACACTTAAAGGACAGGATAGGTTGTGTCAGTACGTCCTAACTATAATGGGCTTTAATGCGTTTTGGGTGTACTGACACGTACTACAGTTTTAGTGCTAGCAGTATTAGACACTTGCTTACACCATGGAGTCCAAGGTTTAAATCAGACTTTTTGTTGAGCTCTGCATCGCTGGAAATCAGCAGTCCTTTTAACCATATAAATGCATTCATTGCATTACAGCTGAGATCTCGCAGGCTGCTTCAGGGAGAGCCCCCAGGGTCTCCCTGCCTGTCCGCAGTCTATGGTGATCGGCGCTGTGCTTTAATCAGTGTAATCCACTTAGAATCCAGATCCATTCATATTTACATTGAATGTAATTATGAAAACAGTCAGTAGATGCACATTTAGACCACTAGCCCCTGTTTTAACTAGAAATCCCTTTTTCTAAAATCAGAATTGAAATTAGCAGAGGTTTTCATTAGGGTTGGGGTTAGTGATGGGGTTATAGTTTGATTTAGGGGTAAAAGTTGGGTATGGCTAGAGTTAGTGTTACGGTAGATTTATGCATAGGGTTATTGCTATGGTAAGAGTTAATGCTGGGTTTTGGTTGACTTTGTTCAGGAATAGTGCACAGTTAAGTATAAGATTAGTGTAGGTATACGGATAGCATTACTGTAAGCATAGTGCTAGCTGGGGTGTTGGTAAAGTTTTAATGTTAACTACCAAAAATGTATTTAGATCCTGGAAATATAAGGCATTTACAAATCAGGACTGATAGATTAAAGGACCACTATAGTGCCAGGAAAACATACTCGTTTTCCTGGCACTATAGTACCCTGAGGGTGCCCTCACCCTCAGGGTCCCCCTCCCGCCCGGCTCTGGGGAGAGGAAAGGGGTTAAAACTTACCTTTTTCCAGCGCCAGGCGGGGAGCTCTCCTCCTCCTCTCCGCCTCCGATCCTCCCATTCGGCTGAATGCGCACGCGCGGCAAGAGCTGCGCGCGCATTCAGCCGGTCTCATAGGAAAGCATTTACAATGCTTTCCTATGGACGCTTGTGTGCTCTCACTGTGATTTTCACAGTGAGAATCACGCAAGCGCCTCTAGCGGCTGTCAATGAGACAGCCACTAGAGGAATTGGAGGAAGGATTAACCCATTTACAAACATAGCAGTTTCTCTGAAACTGCTATGTTTTTAAAAAAATAGGTTAACCCTAGCTAGACCTGGCACCCAGACCACTTCATTAAGCTGAAGTGGTCTGGGTGCCTAGAGTGGTCCTTTAACCAGTTTTGAGTTATTTTCTGTCCATCCCATTTTTAAAATTTTCTTCACACTTTTGGTATTAAAGTTAATAAAAAATATGTGATATGGAAGACACCCTTAAATTATGGTGGAACAAACGTGTGTTTATGCCATCTGTTTTAATAGTTAAAATGCACAATCAAGTGTAATAAATTCTCTTTAGATGTTCGTTTTACAGTTCGGCAAGGAGAAATTCATTTTGTGAACTTTTGTTCCCTCAGACCATACCCCTTCGTGCTGTTCTACTCCAAATTCAACGGTTTAGAAATGTGTGTGGATGCACGAACATTTGGAAATGATGCTCGTTTTATAAGGCGTTCATGTACACCTAATGCAGAGGTAATCTCAGAAACCTTTCACATTTCTTTCCACTACCAACACCACAATATTTGCGCTCTTGCTTTTTATGTATTCTTCATTTTAGTGGTGCACTTGAAGACATTTCCAGTCCTGTATAATGCCTTTTTTAATTTTAATTTTAAATCATTGTATTTCTTTTAAAACTTTGCTGTGACCCAAGCTCCTTTAATTCCTTGTACTTTTGGTCATTGATAACGAAGTATATCCATTTGAGTTTGTATAGCAATTTCACATGTACTGACACTGCCGATAAATAATTGTATGTTTGATAGTTTAGTTTATGGGTATGTGTGCACGTTTTAGACATCAATGATCTTATTTATCTGCCGTAATTATTTATGGTTTGCTTATTTTTTTGAAGCAAAGGGTTTTTTTTCGGTAGTTTCCAAAATATAAAATGCTCTTGACTTATCAAATTCCAGTTTTTTGTATTCGTTTACATTATTTATTGTTACACTTTTGGTGTGTAAGCAAAAATGGTTACATGCATGGTTTAGTACATTTATTCATACTAAATATAATGGAACTTTAGTGTGCATTTAGAAATAACTGCCTTTTTAATCTTTGTCTCTTTTGAAATGTCTAATTGATTGTACATGTAAATTAGATATATAGTGATACACATTTGTACATTGAAAACATGACTAGATTGATGAAATGATATACCAATCTTAGTGATGATTGTCATAATGGATGCAACTAGAACACATATAGTCAATCCTTCCTCAAGTTTCATTCCACAATGGATTGCTGGCGGCTGCACCTTTAAGAACTGGGGGATAGTTTTCTTTAAAACAAAAGTCAAAGTAGGGACTACGCTTGACCAGCTTTGACCCACTTCTCGCGGTCAAATGAATTTCCCCACAATTCTCACCTGATCTCGCGATGCCTCCATTCACTATTCCCCAAGCATCCTGTCATATAGATAGGATGCCGGCGAAACTACAGAATTCTGTCCTAACAGAATGAACAGTTCATTCGTGTTAGAATGGCTTTCGATAGTTTCTGTTCGTATCAGAATTTCATTATAATGAATGAAATGGCAATACTATTCGTGCCACGGTTGCATCTTGCAGATGCTTAGTAAATAACAATGTGTCGCCATCCCACCCACCTGTGGTGCATCAGTGGGGGCCACTAAACTAAATGGATGACTTAGTGTCTCCCCCTGGCCCTCACTCATGAGCTGCGGGTCGGGACCCTGAGATAAAACAAGAGGGGAGGGGGGATACCTATTGTCCCATTAGCGGAGTGGGGGGGAGCATAGTCCCGGCCCCAACCCATTAGTGGTGGGTGGGGGCTCTAAATGTAAACTCCCACACAAAAAAAAAAAATTTATACCTACCCCCCCTCACCCTAAAAATAGTGATGTAAATAAAAATAAATACTTACCATTTGAAGTCTTCTTTTTTCTAAAATCTTCTTTATTCGGCCCCCAAAAAGGCCAAATTCCATAAAGTCCGTTGAATTTATAAAACAAAAAAAATACCCGAGCACCCCAAAAAAATTATTCTGACGCAAAAATAAATAAAAATCCATGTTTACCCAGCGCGGGCACAGCGCAGACTGAGCTCCACGGGGCAGGGAAATGCTTATAAAGCCTTCCCACACCCTGCAATTTGACTCAGAGGGCTCTAAATTGGTTGGTTAAAGACAACCAATAAGAGCGCTCTGATAGGTAAATAGTGAGCTTTACCTGATTGGCTTACTATTTACCTATCAGAGCACTCTTATTGGTTGGCTTGGAATCCAACCAGAGTGTGCTGAGTAATTTTACACAGTGTAGAAAAGTTCTTTGGAATTGGTACTCAGCCTCTTTGAAGGAAGCAACTCTCAACTAATATCAGCAATGCTGAGCGTGGGCAAGTATGAAATGAACTCCACGTGACACATGTTCTGTCATAACTGGAAGAAATAAAAACCCAGTAGAAAATGTTTTGTCGCCTTGACTTACCTATAAAGCTAATTTTATTATTCTACCTTTCCATGTTTTTATGGTCATATCTCTTCAATACACTTGTCTTTTCAGTTCAGGGATGCTCAGGCAATTACTCACTAAAAAGTGAATTAAGAAATTACGTTGACATTTTTTAATCCTATAGTTTGTAATTCCAATGTTATCTCCACACCATGCATTTACATAAATAGATATCAGCTGTGACATTGCATATGTCCATGAACTACATTTTCCTTGAAACTCGCCTAGTCTGAGACCTGTCTGAACGTCATAATGAATGTGGTCTTCAGCATCTCCTCTGCCAACACTAATGTTAAACGTATCATCACCTGAGATATTAGCCTTTCACTGCCATGAATCAGTGTATCATGAACAATGGAAAGACATTGCATACGTGTAATTCTGTCATTACTGGAGGTACAGGGAAAAAGATAAACCATCTTTTTTAAGTTATGCTAACATTTACACACGTTCCTGTAATAAAAAAGTTAATTAAAAAAATAAGACAAAATTCTTGAGATACCAATATTCTTCGCACTGGAATTCCTGAATAATTAAGAATATGTTTACGGTAAACTTGTATCCTCCTGGCTTTCAAAAATTTTTTTTTTTTACATATTGTGTTCTCACTTATAATTGATGTTAAAACACTGGTATTTACAATTTTATACAGGAGCCATTCCTTCTGTTCTGATTTTTATAATGACTTCTGTGTTTACATGCAGTTCCTGAGTTAATCCTGCTACATAATTGTTTTTGTAGGTTCGACACGTGATTGCAGATGGAATGGTTCATCTGTGTATTTATGCTGTAGCTGCTATTGCAAAAGATGCCGAAGTTACCACTGCCTTTGATTTTGATTACAGTAACTGGTAAGTATGATCAATGGTGCAAGACTGCAACTTTAGCTGCGTCTTTCTAGCTGCTTTTGAGAGGCATCTATGTTTTTTGGCTTTGGTTTGTCATCCTGCTATCCCATAAGATCAGTTACCTCTTTTTAAACCTATTGATGTACAATTAAAACATATTGAGCCAAACTGCTTAAGACTCTTCCTGGTGTTTCATTTTATAGTGGACAAATGTTTAGTTGAACTAAAATAATTTGCCTGTAACTAGTGGAGAATTATATTTATTCATGTTTGTGTGTATGATATATGTATGTGTTTTTTGTGTGTATAGATTTGGTTTAACAAAAAAAACATACTCACTGGCTGTGCATTTTTTTTTTCTTATTTAACCATATCCAGTAACTATAAGGTGGACTGTGCATGCCACAAAGGGAATCGTAACTGTCCTGTCCAGAAGAGGAATCCTAATGCTGCAGATTTGCCACCCCCGGTAACTCCTATGCTGTCTATCGGAGCAGAAACCAGGCGCAGGAAAGCAAGAAGGAGGGAGCTGGAGCTGCAAGGCTATGCTGTAGAGGAGAGCAACAACAATCATGTGGAGGAAGTACCCGAAGTGCCTCCTGCTGAGGCAGCTTCCAGTGATCAAGAGGTAAAACCAGCTTATACTGTGGAAGCTCTGTTTCCATCTAGATCAGAGATGTGGAAACCCACCCTTTCTGTCTCTCGCTATACACATATAATTTTACATCGTCGTTTCATATATTTTAATGGTAGCTGCAAAGGACAAAAAAAATCTTGGCCTACCATGAAGTTCCTTTTTAATATAAAATGTTTTCACATGACTGCATGTATGCATGTTTGTGTGTGTGCATGTAAATTTCCTGTGTTTCTTTATTCAGCCAATCATCACATATAGCAACACATTATTTTCACTGTTCTAGACTAGCAGATAGGGGAAGAGTTAGTTAATGCAGTCTATTTTATTGAGTTTTAATTTTAATTTTTTTAAAACTTGTTACTTTCAGTCAAAGGACGAAAAGAAAGTGGATGTCCAAATAAATGCCTTTGAGAACCTGGACAAGAGAAGAAAGCGCAAAGACCAATTTTCAGAGCCAACTGTTGCTGAACCTGAGCCTCCTTCCATTGCTGAAGATATGAAGCCATTGGAGGAACCCACACCACAGGACGAATCCATAGAACCTGAAAGTCCTGCAGTAGCAGAACCTACTGTGAATACCAGCCCTGGAATGAATACTAGGCGATCTTCACAGGCAGGGGTGAGGAGATGCATGGTGCCAATGAAAGCGGTTATTCAGGGTTATTCAGGGCTAATAAGACAAAGGCATGTTCTGCTTTAGATACATTTTGTCTTCCTCTAAAGCTTGTCCCTGACCTTTCTGTTCTGTGAAGTCCTTTTAACGTGTACCATCTCTGCCTGTTGAGACACCAATTAAAATATATACAACCATTTTTTGTGCAGTGTCTGCGAGGAACCATTACCACTTTTCTTGGATGACAATGCTAAACATCTCCAAATGGGTATGAAGTGTGTTCTCACAGTCCAAGGACATTGCATTTTTGTAACTGGGGTCAGCATCTTACCACCTCCCTATTTTCTCCTACAGTTTGATGCTTGAAAAAGCTCATTTTTTAATACCAGATATTTTTGTGGCTGGCAAGTGAAGTAATAGGTTTTTACCTGTAAGCTAGACATTAAGTAGCATCACATAATTTTGATCTCTATAGTCCATTTCTCAGCTAAAACTGAAGGTGCAAGTTAGTTGAACTATTTGAAGGAAAAAAAGGGGGGGGAAAGGGGGGTTGATAAATGTAAGACTTTTAAAATGCAATGACCCCCCACCCCCCTTTTTCGTTTATGTAGTATAGGAACATTAGGATGGGAGAGGAAATGGGGCTGTGCTATTTGTATCTAGGCTTACATTATTTTTAAATTGCAGGAAGTCATTGCAGAGAAACCTGCTTCCAAGCCAATTCCACCCAAGTCCTCCAAGCACCGGCCCAAGAGCCGAATGTCCCGTTACCGGAGCAACTCGGCACACAGACTGCGGAGGCAAAGGCAAGCAGTGTCACAGCAGGTTGAAGTGGTGCCAGTGGTGTCTGAGGAAGGGGCAGCAAATTCAGCCACAGCTCCAACAGAATCTGGGACCATTGAGGGCGCTGGAACAACTGTAACCCAACAGGTGTCTGAGTCTCCTACTGTTACTCAGAATGTGACCCAACCAACACGGGCCAGCCTTAAATACCACAAGAACAGAAAAGTATGTCCACTCTGTATTAATCTTTTTCTAGATTATTTTTATTTTTTAAAATCACCATATGGTGTTTGTGCATTAAAAAAACCAAGAGGAGTTATACTAGTTATTTTTTTTTGTTTGTTTTTAAATTTGGAAAAAATCCCATTTTATTGTCCTCATGTGCAATGCTTGTTTTTTTTTTTTTTTTGCTTGTGTCTGAATGTTTGTATTATTCATTAATAAAGGATTGTGTTTTCTATCAGTATGTGGTTACAGAATGGTTAAACGACAAGGTTGAGAAGCCAGAGTGCCCTATTGAACATCCCTTGCGGATTACTACAGATCCCACAGTTTTGGCGACCACGCTTAACATGCTACCAGGACTTTCGCATTCCCCCTTTATCAGTACCACTCCCAAACACTACATACGTTTTGTATCTCCGTTTATGCCTGACCGGCGAAGGCGGCCTCCGAAAGTGGATGGGACTTATGGATCATGTAAAAAAGTTAGTGCTCATGTTAAAATGTATTACTTTTGCCCAGTTTTGCAACATTTAACTGTTTACTTTGGAATATCTTGCAAGCTTCCTGTTGCATGTTTAATGTTCTCAATCCCTATTCCGTATATATAAATACACATGTGCTAGCGTACTTGTTCTCTTACCTCAATTTATTTAATTTTTTTGTGTGTGTGTGTTTTAGCGCTGGATCAAGCAAGCTATGGAAGAAGTTGTAACGCAACCAGCTAACCCAACACAAGAGAAACCGCAACCTCTATACCAAAGCAACGAGAGCAGTAGCTCTTCTAACAATCTAATCAATACAGGTAAGAATTAGAAGCAAAGTAGTGGCTCATTCACTTTTGCTTCTCTACTACTATCACCAGCCAGTAGTTAGATTTAGAGTGAAATAATTCAAAGCTTTAGCATATGCTGTCATTTTATTGGTGTGTGAATTCTATTGTCGCTTTGAAGTTCTTTTCTGTGGTCTTTTTAGTTCATCTAATTACATTTAAATCCCTATAGAAAGGCATGTGATATTTGGGTGCGCATTGATATTTTTCACAATAAAATCACAACTTGGGAAGAATTTACTGCAAAGCTAGGGTAAATATATGTGTATTACAACCTCACAGAGGATGACATTTTTTCTGTTAATTGGTAATCCCACCAAGCAATTCTCTGCAGAGCTACAATATAAAGTAACCGATACCACAAGAAAAGTACCAAATATTGGTCCTCACTTCTTTAGAGTGGCTGGATTCAGCTGTAGGAGATGATTCCCTAATAATTTCTTACTTCTTAACCCAACAGGAATCACCGCCCCTTTTAAAAAATGGAAGATGAAATATATTCTGGAGGAAAACCCTGCTAATTTAACAAGCCCGAACTCCTTTGTCACACCTCCCCCCTTGCCCAACTCTTTAACCACAGATTCCCTAAGCCCTTTGCAGACCACCCCAAGCTCTTCTCTGCCTGAGGTAGAAGAATCCCGATACAGTTATGGACTGGTGTTTTCGCCAATCCCTTCACTTGCTGCTAGCCGCTGCAATACTCCACTACAATTCGAGGTAAGGGAAAAAGAAGCTATGTCATATATTTGTAGCCGATTTGAAAGTTTGATACATTTTGCCTCTTTGCTAATGCTGTATTATGACTTTCTTTGGATGGTCAGTTGTATGAATTTACATTACATGCATAGGTACACCCATCTCAGTTTCATCTTTCGTTAGACTGAAAGAAAGAACTTTGGTTAAAGAGGTAGCATGATGTAAAATGGAATAATGTACCTTTGATAGTTGCCTTTTGAAGATTAATTGTTAGATCACCTCTTTTCACCTGTAATAACCTAAGATATACATTTATATATATATTTTTTCTTTATTTAGATTAAAGAACTTTTTTTATAAACTTTTCAGCAGACATGCACTTTCTGATAATGATCTCTGCTTTATCTCTCACAATAGATTTATATTGCACATTTCTACACACTTTAATGGACTTTTTAGGCACTGTAACTGATTCATTGTGTTTGGAATCCCCTGGCGCCTTTCTTGCATTCAGTATTAAATTGTTTTAAAGGAACACTAGTGTCAGGAACACAATTGTGTATTCCTGACAGTATAGGGGTGAATATACTGTTTAGGTGCTAGGCCCTTTTTCCAGCGCTGTATCAGTCTTGTTGCGGCTGGCCCCGCTCACTCTCCTCCTCCTTGGCTGAAATAATAAATTATGATCATCTCAAAGGAAAACATTGGGAGTCATTTGCGCATGCATGGCAAAATGCTGCACTGCGCCCAAGTCAGTGCATCTCTATGAGGAAGTTTCAGTGTCTCCATGCAGAGTGTGGAGACGCTGAACGTAAGTGCTGCACACTGTGCAGCACTACCCCAGGAAACACCTCAAGTGACAGAGTGACTACTACTAGAGGTGTTACTAGGCAAACTATAGTGTCCATTTAATGTTTTAATGCTAAATGAGCATGGCCAGCAACCCATCCCTTATATGCTCTCTGATCTATTGAGGAGGCCTTAGCCTAAACAGCAATGGGTGCCTGAGATAGGCTGAAAGCATTCAGCTGACACTCTTAGCCAATCACATGCCTTATTTCTGGAATAAATTGTCATGGCTAGAAGGAAGTGTGTGATATCTGCCTTAATCAAAGTGGGGCTTGGCAATTGGAAGTCAAGGACACTCAGTGTTACACTGCTCAGAAATGGTTTCACGCTGAATGCAGGGATAGTGCCTGGGGACTAATGAAATGAATGGTATGGTTGTAGTGCCCACTGTATCCATTTAAGTATTGAGGACATGTTAAAAGTGATTAAACTGAAAATTACTGAAAATTTAAGCTTGGTAGTATGTTGTTAGTGTTCCTCTAACTTGGATTTCATTTTATTTTGTCAGGGGAGGGTTATCTGCCTTAGAATACCTGCCTCAGAGCGGGGAGGGTTGTTTTTCTTCTTTTTTTTTTTCTTTTCCTCTCTTTCTTTCCCCTTTTCTTTAAATTTAGTTTGCTTCCATTTTATAAGAAATATATATAAATGTACTTTGCATAACACTAGGCACAAGGTACAACTAGAATTATTAAGATGTTTATTTTGACATATGGAATTGGAATGTTGTGTTTATCGGTAGCATATGCAGCTTTTTTCCCCCAATTACCTTAGTTTATGATCCATGCTTCTTGTCATACCTGATAGTAGTTTTACCTTAGAGAGTAGTGTTTAGCGAATTGCTTATTTTCTTATGAGTTTTTTTCTTTCACTTTTATTCTTGTTTTGCTTCCTAAGTAGATGAATAACGAGTTGCTTTTCCTCCTCTAGAACATATCCTCCCCCGAGAGTTCCCCAGCGCATATGCCTGAGTCCCTGTCACCTGAGGTAGTTATCTACATCATGACAAATGCACAAAAGGGGTTGTGTATGTGTGTGTATGTATGTGGGGTTGGGAGACTGGATAAATCAGCAGTGTGTTGGCTGTATTTGTCTGCCTTTTTATACATGTAATAACTGGCTATCAAATAATAAAGTTCCTTCGCACTTATGGCTAGAGGATTGACCTTCCTATCCTTCTAGGCTTCTAATCATGCAATGTTAGATGCAAGTATTATATAATTCTGATTCTTGAGATATGTGAAATGTGGTACACACAAACCTTTCAGTAATTGCCTTTAAAAGGACTCTCAAGTTTAAATGAAAAAGAACAATTGCTGCTCATTTTGATTGCCATATAAAAATGTGAAATTGTACTGCATTCACAAGCTGAAATGCAAATCATTCTCCAAAGCACATCTTTAAATCCAGGAGAGAATTAACTATTTTCTTTGTACCAAGAAATAAAGTTGGTTTAGACATTAATTGCTACCTGTCATGGCAATACAACTTAATCTTAAATGATAGAGAATCAAATTTCGTCTGTACATTGTGCTAAAATCAGCGGTTAAAAAAAAAAAAACAACCCCTCTATCCTCTTAGCCAGTCCAGCCTGTGCCAATTGGCACACCGATAAGAAGGCTGTGCTCTGCATGTCAGTTACCAGGAAACGTTCCCCTGGGCATGCCTCCTGCTTTAATGCAGTGTAGAGGAATCAACGCCTGTCAGAGGACGTAGGGGCAAGCTATGTGTCAAGCCAGCAGCAAGCACAGATAGAAACAGGATGATTATTGCAGCAGCATTGGACCGGCAATTTGACAATGGAGAGAGAGAATAGATACGTTTTATTTACACTAACCCAACATGAAGTGTTGGAGACTTGTTAAAAGCTCATATTTTAATTAATTTCCATTACCTCTTGCTTCCTCTAAGACCATAAGTTATATTTCAGTGGGTGTTACACTTGCTGTAAGGCACACACCCACTGATATACATTTTATAGTCTTGGCAGGAGACTGGGTAATGGAAATTATGAGCTTTTAATAGTGTTAATGGAAGAAACAATGGTATAACATGAGCGGAGCCCGATGGTTAGAACACTGCAAACCTATCTGTTATGACAGGTTCAGTTTTAGTGGTTCCTGCAGGTACAAATCTTCATTTCCAGATTTGTATTCCCTCTAAAGCAGCTTATTTTGTTAGTGTTGCCTCATGAAATTTGAATTGCTAAGACATGTGCACTTACATGTAGAAATCATCTCTTCCTGTTGCCTTGGCAGCAATCTCATTTGTGAAGCAGCATTGTGTCCATATTTATTTTGACTGTATTGCCTCTAACCTTTTTGAGTTACCTGAGGAAGGCAATCCATTACATCCTGCCTTTTGACGTTCAGAAGCAAATTAGTATTAAGATTTCCACTGAGCATATTTTGATGTTTTCAAGATAGTGTCACAATTGCAGTCTCTCTTCTTACAGTGTCAAAATACTGTTTTTAAACTAGGATGCTATAATGGGTTCTCCAGTGATCTAATCAAAAATCTTTCTTCCTCCTTAAACCCTTAAATAGAACCGTGTAATTACACTTGTGCTAATTTATCCCCCTGAGATTTACCTGTGTAGTCTTCATCACTGAATAAGAATCCACAGGTAAATTTCAGATGAATTGATTCTTCTGGTTGTGCGTTCAAAGGAACTTTACTAGGATGAACCGCTCCAAACAACTTTTTGCACAAGCCTATTGTGTATTTTCATTTGTTTACCAGTAAGTGTTAAGTGGTGCCTGTAAATTTGTTTGAAATCCTAACCGCTTTCCTGGCAATCTCTGTTTGACTTAGTTTATATGATTTGCATGTGTGTATATATTTATATATGTGTATGCTTTCACTGTAACTAAGCTGTATCTTTCCTCTCTACCCCTTGTCAATTTTTTTGTTTTTTGTATGTTCTGGAATATGTATCCTGACAAATTGACTCGTCTTCTCACTGGCCAGCCTTGCCTCCGCCCTGACATAGACCTTTCAAAGACAAATTTCTTGGATACCACCACAGAGAATTCCCAGGACCACCAAACACTGATTCACACCGGATTTGTTGAACAAGCTTCTCAGTCCCCCAGCACCTCTTTGCAATACAGCAGCTTGCCAGAAAACATTTTTTTGGGCAAAGGAGGGGATGGGTCTTCGCTGCTAAGGACATCAGAACAAACTTTCCGGACAGAATTCAATTTAATGTATGCTTTCTCCCCTTTGAATGCTATGTCTCGAGCTGATGGCTCGTTGCGTGGGTCCCCTCATGTTGGGGATAGAAAATCTTCCCAGTCAGAGTGCTGTGGCTCTCCCGTAGAGAATTACTATGGCCGGCTGGGTCCTGGACTTAAAGAATCCGTGCTAGAGTCTATGTCTCCATCCAGCGAAAGAATGTGTGAAGGTGTCAGGTCGTCTCCTCAAAACCCACCACAGAGGAAAAAGGTATTAGCACTTTATTAATACTTACACATATACACATATATTGTCCGGATGGTTTAAGGTTTAAAATATACCGTATATATTAAACCACTTCTGTCCCATCTGGATTATTATGCGACATGCACCATTTGAAAGACTGAATCATTGCACCCAATGGTAGATTAGAGTATCTGTTGTCCCTTTATTGACATTACTAAACATGTATGTTCTATGACAATAAGCTATGTCCTCTATAGACTAGGTGTGAGGAGTAGATGATTGGCGAGCTATAATTATATGCCTCATCTGCCATAAAAGGGATGCTTTTTAGGCAGAATTTCCAACCAATAATTTTTTTCTGTAATAAGGTCTTAGACTGAGAACATTGCAGATTCTGTATGAACCGTGAAGTAAATACATCCACTGTACGGGATTATCTTAATTTGGATATGTAGGGTCATTTTATTCATTTCTTCCCCCTAATATTATATTGGAATATGGTTGTTTTTATGATTTGTGTGCAGAATGCATAAACAATGCTACTTCCAACAAAGAAATGTAACTAAAAGAAACAGCAAAAAAAAGTCACTGTTGTACTGTAGACGAATGCTTTTTATATGTAACGGTTATCAATTTCAAGTGATTGTTAATTGTGCCAATAAAAAAAAAGCAAAATACAATCTTTCTTGAATCAATAATGGGAATCTGATTTCTAAGTGGATGCTCTATTCAAGTTAACAAGGTAGCTGTATATACGTCATGTATATGTTTGTATAAAGCAATCATATCCCCTAAGATATATTTTTCTGTTGAAAACGCAGTTTTATAGCCTTTCTTTATAACATCTTCCATACCCCTAATTAATTTTCTAACCCAACTTCGCTTTTTTAGAACTGTAAATTATTTGAAAGCATACTTTGGAACTGTGCCTGGGAACCCCTGGCACTATAACCACAACAGTTTAGGCATATCATTTCCTAAGTCCTACTGCAATTCACATTTTGCAGTAATTAAAAGTTTAGTTATGGGGCATTCTACTTGTATTTCATCCTACTATCAATGGATCTTGGGACCAATTTGATCATAAAGATTCCTTCTGCACTATGTTAAAACAAACTGGAAATATTTGTGCAACCAGATAATCATTACTTGGAGAGAAAAAAATGCATTCTGAGATAAATGTTTTAAGTGCAAGTTTACAGAGAAAGCTGAAAATGTTGTGTTGCTGAATTGAAAGCTGTTAAGGTGGGCATGCCCAACTATTCAGCTGGCATTAGGGCATCTCACACCAGCATGGCCCCTTGGTCTGCTACTCTAGGGCACCTAATACTGCTAGTGTATTTTTCCTGCCTTCTCAACCCTCTGTCTTTTGGAGCTGGTGGGTTTTCTTTTTTGTTTTGGTTTCTTTTCAGCTCCAGAACTGGGAGTAGTTTTCATGCTTTATTCCTCAGGTGGAACAGACAAAGAACATTTTCCTCGTTAGACCTCTGGGAAGTCCAGAAGACTATAAATGTGGTGGCAGAACTACCTTTCCCAGCCCCTGGTTGATTTCTGGGGCTGGGAAAGGCAGTTGAAACTGCAAGGGAAATAATCAAGCAATGCATGCCTGGAAGAAGTTAAAGTTCCAGAAAAGGGTCTTTGTTTTTTGGATATTGTTTTGCCTACCCCCACTCATTGTTAAATTAGTTTCATTGCATTTTCCCAGGTGTCTTTGCTAGAATATCGAAAGCGAAAACAGGAGGCCAAGGAGGTCACATCTTCACCGTGTAGTGACGTTATCCGCTGCACAGGGACACCCACCCGCCAGAGTAGCAATGGGTCAATGTCTGACACAGATCTCTCAAGTATGCTGCACATGCAAGCACCGTCTTCTCCTCAGTGCGGCTTTTCTTCTCCAGCTCATCCCTCCATGCCACAATTAGAGGAAGTCAGCCCTCCTGAAACAAAGTCAACTGGATCCTCTTCATCCCATTGCAGGGTGTCTGAGAATATGAGCAGCCGGTGGTGAGTGTCCATCTTTAGTTTGAGAAATGAAAAAAGCAAAAACAAACCTTTTTAACTGCAATTCTTTATTTTATTTTTTCAGGATGGTTCCAACCTCAGTGGAGCGGCTGCGTGAAGGACAAGGGATTTTGGAGAGGGTTCTACGGAGTGGGGTTAAAGTGTCCCACAGAGGGGATCCTTCTCCATCACGGGAAAGCAGTTTAGACAGAGAGTCAGGTACTCAATTCCTAGTTTTGTTTGTTGTAAGCTACACGTGTATCCCTTTTGTTTATATGAATGATTCATGTTTAAGACCTTCTTGTGATTTGCTGAAATTAATGGTCTGAATTAATTGAACATACCCTAATTCAAGTAGATGATTTTCTTTGTATAGTTAAGCTTACATTTAGTCTTTCTTTTTATCTGGAATCAAGATGTTGCTTGGTCGAAACAATATTTTGTCTTTGGTATAAGGACAGTCTATTGAGGCTTTAACTAGAATCGTTAGCACTTTTCTGTGTAACAGTCCTTGTATTTTGCTTGTTTGGAATTTTATGTTCATAGAAAAGCTACAAGCATATGCAGATTAAGGATATATTGTATTAAAGGACCACTAAAGTCACTCGGATCACTATCATTTTAGCTCTTCAATGTAAAACATTGTTTTGTATAAAGTGCAGTGTTTACATTGAAGGGTTAAATACATTTTGAGTGGCTGTCTTCTAGAGGCACTTCCTCCTCCAGAGCAGAGTCAAACTCTGTCCTGCGATCAAATGCTGCTCAGGGCTGCACATGCATATTTCATCCACCAAATGCTTCTCTATTAGAAGTATTGGATTTAACAAAATCGCAGAAGACGTGAGCAGGCGTGGGTGACAGCTGCAGAGGAGGAATCTCAGTGCTGAAAACGAGTTGAGTAAACTATAACTTTAATTTTTATTGTAAAATTGAGCTGGAGAGTGGTCATAGTAACATTTGTTCTTTTCGGGTCTATAGGTTCCCTTTAAGAAACAGTTTGTGTTTATTTTAGGGCAGATTTTTAATGGTTATTCTGTAATCTAAATGGAGTAAATAGGAAACAATTTGGCAATTAACATGATAAATTTGATTTGCACTATATTGAATCATAACTGCCACAAAACAAACACATGAGCGGGAATGATTATTTCTTTACACGTGTGAGTCTCTTGTCACAACTATGTCTACACACCACACAGATGTCCTTGAAGTCACATGAATTTAGTAGTGCTGCCCTGGTTATTTCTTGCTAGTGTTTTGCCCTTGTAATGAAATGTGAACAGCCCTAGCTCTCTGGCCCCCAAGTCTGCCCATCTGCAACTGTACGGCAATTACTGTTATGGCTTCCACGAATAGTCATTGCTTCACTGGCACACACCCTCCTGTCCCTAAGAATGAGAGGAATTTTATTCAGGTTCACAAATCTTTTGATGGGATAGACCATTTCATTCTAGCTCATAAGTGGTTTGGAACTAGATGGCTTTAAAAAAAAAAAAAAACTTTTTATAACATTATTCTTGAAATTATTTTTTATGTGAGTAACTGTTTAACCTTTAATCCATTGTTCTTTGTTTTCCCACAAAAAAGATGGTGATCCAGAAATGCCCGGTATGGCTGTTACCAAAGGATCCACTGTTTACAGTCCTTCCAGATACAACTACCAGGTAATTTGAGCAGTGCTTCATTTAGTTAACTCTGTAACATCTTGCTTCTTTCTTTACAGTTCTAAAATAGTTAAGTTATGGGACTATATCTCTTATTGCTGTGAGAAGGAAGATAATGAAAGCTAAAGGCAGAGAGGAATGAAGGCAAACTTACTAATGTAAATCAAAGCTGTGTTCTCATTGGCTGCCAGTCCGTTAGCCAGTCAGAATACAGCTAGACTAGAAGCCCTAGTCCATTAACAGAATGTGTAAGAAAGTAATAATGGCTGCTCTCTCTAAGGGGAAAACCTTGCTGGAACTATGAAACTTTAAATAGACCTGTTGCATTACCTTTGTTTATAAAATATCTATTTAAAAGTTAAGTTGTAACATTATTATTTAAAGTTTTTCAAGTTTGTTGCTCCATCTTATATTTATGTGGTTAGGATGTTGTGCTTGTTAGGAAGAACAATCTGCTCTGTCTTGTTTAAAGAGTCTGATGCTGTTACTTGCAGAGGCGTTAATATATTTTCTCAAGGTAACACTCGTAAAGCAGCACTGTCATCCCCTCATCCAAAATGAGTATTTCATCAGGATAGAATCTTTAAGAAATGCTCATATTGACTTAGTTGGAATTTCACTGTATTCCAACCCAGTAAAAAGATATACTGAGACAAAGCAGAATATTCAAGGATATAATCTTTCAATGTAGGGTAATAACTGCTTGATCCAAGGATAAATCTGACTGCCATTCTGGGGTCAAGAAGGAATTTTTTTCCTAGCTTGTTGCAAAATTGTGCTTCAAACTGGGTTTTTTTGCCGCCTTTTGGATCAACAGCAAAAAAAAATGTGAGGAAGGCTGAACTTGATGGACGCAAGTCTCTTTTCAGCTATGTAACTATGTAACTATGTAACTATGTAAAAGCAGGGACTACTACTCCTGGCCACTGGACCCTTTCTGTGATGTCTGTGTCGGCAGTGTTTGCAAATATAACTGTTCTGCTTTAATCATGCCAATGCTAAAAAAAAGTATTTTATTCATATCACTGTACTACCTTGTGGGATTGAACCCAATATGTATGCCAATTTTGAATTCTACAAATAGTTATGCCTCGGTTTTGACTTTTGTTTCTCTCACAGTTTTTGCAGTGTGACAGTCCTCAGCCAGAGCCTCTCAACCTTCTCTCTCAAAGTTCATCCCCATTTCGAGGACCTGCTGCTCAGCCTGTTGGATATAACTATAGGACACCACAAAGGGCTGGACACACGGTCACAGACACGTCTGTAATTTCTGCCTCCTACTCTAGCCCTGCCCATGTGGCTTCCACAGACTCCCCTATAACCCAGTGTCCAGGGAGCTCTGGATTTTACAACAGCCAGCAACTGTATGGGAGCAGTGCTGGTAGCACTCAGCCCAGGAAGAGCTTCCATCATCGAGCCCCTAGCTGTGAGGCCAGTCCAGTCCAATTGCTCAGGACAGACTCTATCCCTTCAGACTCACAGCCCAGCTCTGGGGCTTCTAGCAATTCCTCCACTCCCCAAGCAACGCGATTAGACTCCCGAACTATTGCCACGTCTAGCACTGGACACTCAGGTTCAAGGATATCTGCCGTGTCCAGCCCTCAACATTACCCACAACGTGGGACTGGTGTGCACCAATACAGGTTGCAGCAAATTCAAGGCTCAGGAGTGAAGACTCAGACTGGCCTTTCATAGAAGTGCTAAAAAAAAAAGTGGGAGGGAGAACAGGATAGCACTATCCCATCAGCCATTCCGAATCCCATCCAGAGATTGGGTGGGTTTATTGGTGGCTCGGACCAGCACCTGATGGGCCAGGTTGCATGTGTCTAAGACTGAAGCAGGTAGAGACTATGACTTGCTGATAAATTCAGCCCCCACTCCCCACACTCACATGTTGCAAGAAAAGCAGATACTTTGGAAACATTGAGCAGGAATGATGCAAATATTTGACATCTTACAATCGATATTTTTATTTTATTTTATTTTCTCCTCTTTATCATCACCTGTAGTCACTTGTGCAGTAAGAACAATTTTTATATGATTAAGGAATTTAAAAAAATGGTTCAAATTGAAGCTGAATTAAAAGGGTGGGAGAAGGGGTTTAAAGAAGCACCTATATTTGTAGCATCGGGTTATAACTGTACTGTTTTTTTTTTGTTTGTTTTTTGTTTTATGAATGTTGGGGGTGGGGCGATAGAAACTGGCCTGATTTGCACTATATGGCCAATCATTCCAGATACATAAATGGCCACCCATTGCTCTTCAGGCTTAATCACTGCCAGCTGGAATGGTTTTATTGGTAACAACTGTTGGAAAGCATCTCTGAAACAAGACTGTAGTTTTTGGTTTTATAGATTTTTTTTTTTTTTTTAACTTTATTATTAATGGCATGTTTTGAGGGACGGTTAAAAATACACAGTAAGCAGTGCAAATGTTTTGTTTTTTGTGTGTGTGTGGAATATCCATCACGTCAAAAATCATAGGCCAACTTATAAATCAGGTTTTCATTGTCATCAAATGTTCCTCTGGCTTATAACGGTAAACAAGTAGTTTCCCTAATGCAGATAGTCTGTGCTTTTTGCGTATAAGCCTCCAGTGCATCTCAGTGGAAATTTAATGGCACTTTAAAATATAAAAATGTCACCTTGGCATAAGCTCGTAAGAAATTGATTGTTTCTTTCCTCCTAGATCTTGTATAAGGGGATGGGTGATTTCAGATTAGCAATATATGATATATTTAAGGACTATCAATTTGACCTATTGGTGGGTGCATTTCAACAGAAAAGGCCTCTTCTGAGCCCACAGTGTTTGAGGCACTGAAAGAAAGAAAACAAGCAGTTGTGTCCTTCCAAATTTCTCTTTTGGCCACCATGGTAACGTGGTTACTATGGCAAGTTGTATCCAGGAAAAATACATTCAGATACTGTAACTATATATGTAGAGAACGGAACCATACAACCATTCAAGACCAACCATTTAATCAATAGGCCTGAGCTTTGGGTTTTAAAGGGCAGTGTATACACTTGATTCTGTGTAGTAAAGGCTCTTTTCACTCTAATAAAATCTCATTTGTACTTTATGGACATATATGTTTCTAGGGATGGAAAAATATTGCTTATTTTCAAAGTAAAATTGCTTACTGCTAGACCGTAATCCATACTGTGTGCAAGAAAAAAAAGAAATCAAGGTTGGCTAACTCTGCTTATCTACTTAATACGGTTCTGATGCATTGTAGTTTTTGTTGGTATAGTTTTTATTTTTATTTTATAGAGATGCACATCCTTCCTGTCCATTTTATTTTAATTTTCCAAGGCAAATTCAATGATCGTTTTTATTGAGGGACTTGTCTTTCTAGCTTTGACCAAATATGTTTGCTAAGATGACCATTTTGTAGAACGGTGCTTGTCAACTGTTGTTGGCAGAGCTTCCTTGTGCTGTCTCCTAGAATTCCCACTGGAACATTTCAGATGGATATGTTTGCAGAGAACACAAGTAGTCCATTAGATGTGAAGGTTTTCAACTCTGATAAGGAACAGTATTACTGCTACACTGACATCCCATCTTGCAAATTCTTAAACATGCCTTTAGCACCCTGTTAATTTAATGAAAGGTTGGCTTTAATTTCTTTTTAACTACGTTGATTTAGTCTTTGTTCTATGATCACCATGAGATGGAAGTGAAAATTCTTCATTATGTGCTTGTTTTGTAGGGAATCAAGAATGGCAGAAGGTCCAACGTTTCATAATTGGGGAAACTTTGTAATTTCTTAAGATATTGTGGATTTTTAGAGGCTAATCATGAAGCCAAAAAAATTCACCAGTCATTGCACACATTGGAAATGAACAATGTCTTACATTGCTGCTGTTATTTTTTTTTGTTTTTGAATTGTTTCCCCCCTGTACCCCAGGATGACCCATATTACTAGCACTGGTCATGTAAAAATAAGCTCTTTTGTTTTACGCTCTTATCGCTGGGGTGTCGTCCTTGCATAATATGCTATAACGGTTCACCCCAGCAACAAAACTTCAAGTATACTTTTCCTCTCACTCGTTTACTGTAATACTTGGTGGTTAAATATTTTTATTTAATTTTATAATCATTTATAAGCATTGTAGGCTCGCTAATACAGACGTTATAATCCATGGTGCTACAATGACGTTCTCTGTTTCTTTACAGACAAGAAAATGCTGTGAGTCTTTACCTCTCCCTTTCCTCACTCTTTATCTCATTGATTTTTCTCTCACTTTCCAGATCTCTAATGCACAGTTGTTCCTTTTTTCTTTTTCTTTTTTTTCCTTCATTTCTCTTGGTGACTGTTACAGAGCTTTTCCTTTTGGAATAGGAATCAGGTGTCGCTTGGTTTAGGAGGGAGATATTTTATTATAAAATACTGAAAAAAAATTTTCATTTTTTTTTGTTTTCTTTTTTTTCTTTTAAGTTTAACTGCCTTTCCTTTCACAAAGCTGTACAACTGTGAGACTGGTTAGGGATGGAAATTACGTCACCCTCGTTTTGGGTTTTCTTGTATACTGTATATTATGTGTGTATAAACATCACAGGGTCTGTATCGCAGACTTCTCTTCCTGCTAGGCCTCACAACATGGCTGAATGCCTCAAAATGGCCGGCACAGTTTACAGTTGTCGGTATAGTCAACCAGGCCCATAGAGCGGGGTCACGGGAAGAGAGGCCTGCAGTCATTATCACTCACGTGGAGTTTTTACACAATGATGTAACATTTGATCTTTCAGAAGAGATGTAATAATTTTGATAATAAAATACTTACCTTAAAACAAAAAGTGTTTCCTTTCTTCAGATTGGATAGCACAATTTCCTCACAGAAATGTGGTTGTATTTTTGTGTGTGCATATGTGTGTTTGTATATATAAATGATGTATATATTGATATGTGTGTGGTTATAAAGCGGGGGAGTGATGATCTTTTATATCACTGAGCTTAAATGCTGAAGAAAGACGAAAAAAACATTTTCCCCTCCCTATTGTGTATACTATTTTCCAAACAAGTAGTGCAACTAAAAAAAAAAAAAAAAACTGAAAGCCATTTAACTTGTTTGTCACCTTTTTTTGTTAAAATACTTGATATATCCAGAGTTTTTATTTGGTTCTTTCGATGGATGATACTGTGGTCTTGCGGGATCCTCTGTAGACATCAGTGTTGTGTAGTCAGGCATGCATAAGCATATACAACACGGTTGTCAGCTCCTGGCAGATGAAGCACCAGGCTTTCACGAAGGACAGATTCAGATAAGTCAGGCTCACTTTTCCTTGCACCCCGTGGCCTCACTGCAAAGGGTAAAATTAAAATATCAAGCCTTGACTTAATAGTATTTTAATCTCACAAACAAAGCTATGTTTTGACCCGTGGATGAGTTCTTTTATCTAGACCCTATTTTCATTTTCATCAATCCAGCTGGCACAGAGTTGTCACCATACTCACCCCAAAATAGCACAATAATTTAAAAGGGACATCATAGTCAGTTTCAGAGAAAAGGCAATATTTATAGTTCAGGGTTACGACTGCCTCTAGTTTTAACTCTGTCAAACAACGATGGACGTCATTACACTATGCATGAGGACACCCAGTGTCTTCAAATCTCCCATAGGAAAGCATTGGTTCAATGCTGGTTCATTGCTTTCCTATAGGGAGGGCCTAATGCTCTCTTGCATTAGGTTCTCACTCAGCGCTGACGTCTGAGGAGGCAGAGGGAGCCAGTGCCGAGGGTCCTTGGGGCTGAAATAACATGAGTGAATTCACAGGTTATTTCACCCTTTGAGTGCTGCTGCGTGGGGGTGGCAGAGGGACACAGTGTTAGGAAAAGAACTTTGTATTCCTAACATTATAGTGTTCCTTTAAATTAGTGTGCTGGACAGGGTATGATATATTACAGATGTATTCAAGTTTAGAAAAGCAGTCAATGTCAATACCCACAAAATACAAATGCTGCTTTTAACGTTTTAATAAAGATACTGGACTGATCCATGGGAGTTTATTTGTCTGATATTCTCTTTTGCTTGGTCTAAGAAAACACACCGGTTTTTAGCTGAAGAACCAGAGGATAAAAATAGACTTACCACCTTCGTTGTTACGCAACAGGTAGACCTTTCCCTACAGTGATGCAGGTTCAGAGAAGATGATTTCATGCAGACTGCACAATACACTGTGTCTCAATAGTGCAGAGCAGCACTAACATCCTTATTGTGAAAGGTCACAGAGTATGAATGGTGTTGCTACCACTTGACCTTGATTGACCTACTGTACCTTTTAAAGTCTATCTCTCAATTATCAAATTAAAGGGACACTCCAGGCACCCAGACCACTTCTGCCCATTGGAGTGGTCTGGGTGCCAACTCCCACTACCCTTAAGCCTGCAAGTGTAATTATTGCAGTTTTTATAAACTGCAATAATTACCTTGCAGGGTTAACTCCTCTAGTGGTCGTCTAGTAGACAGCCACTAGAGGGCACTTCCTGGTTTCTAGCACAGGTTTTCTGAGCTAAAGCATCGCTGGGCGTCCTCACGCTATGTGAGGACCTCCAGCGTTGCTAAAAATCCCCATAGGAAAGCATTGAAAGCATTTGCCGCGCATGCACATTAGGTCTCATCCCGCCGGCAGCCGCGCATGCCCAATCGGTCCCCCCCGCCAGCTGATGTCGACTGGGGAGGAGCGTCGGCGGACCCTAAACCACCGCTGAGGGACATCGACGGTCTCGGGTAAGTCACTGAAGGGGTTTTCACCCCTACAGCAACATGGGATGGGGGATGGGAGGGAGAGGGGACCTGCAGTGCCAGGAAAACTATTTGTTTTCCTGGCACTGGAGTGTCCCTTTAATCCAATATATATGTCTACAGACTCATACAACAAGAATTAATAGATTTGTGCTTTCATTTTATTCGATTTCTGTTTACTTGCTACCTACATAAAACCTGCTAACCAAAAACAAATATTTCTGGTTTTATATGTAACATGCGAGTCTGTAATTTGCATATACAGAGTGGGCCAAAATTCAGAGTAGGGTTTGAGGAGTCAATAACATTTTTATTAATGAACCAATTTTAATGATATTGCATACAATGAATGCTTAACGTATGGAGATTTATTTGACTAGGTATGGAAGATGACAACTTTTAAATGAGCGCACTTTCCCGCCTCGCAAAATCAGACTCTCTTGATTGCATTGTTCATAACATTAATTTTTGTTCCTCTAGCACTGAAATTTCTACTTGATAACTCCATGCAAGGTCATCTTACACCAAACCGTGCAATTGGCAGGGTGCAATTGGAGTTGATGAATTATCCATGTACTTCAGAAATTACAGGTTTGCATACTGACAACGCCATTTAAATGAAAATGAACTTGGTCAGACATGAGTTGATGAATAAAATCATTGTTTTCTTTGGATAATTTGTTGTACTCATGATTAATCTCTCAAGACTCTGTTATAATATGTACCTCCAACAAAAGTTTGAACTATTATCAAGTTATTTACAAATCAAAAGCTACTCTGAATTTTTGCCCATTCTGTATTCTATTGCAGTATGCACAGTTGTCCCTTAGTGAAAATGTATCTTTAATCTGGCTAAAATCATGAAAAATACAAACAGACTTTCTCTTCTGAGTTAAAATTCACGTAAATGAAAATCACTTGGAAGATTGAAAAAACATTACGGGGGGGGGGGGGGCAGGACCAAACTGTCAAACATAGTGGATGTGAGCAAAAGAAGCTCCATGTGTATGGACATTAAATTACATTTTTCTACATGTTAAATACAGCAAAATTGCTGTTATATGCTTAGGGCAAGACAACACAGATTTGCATCTGATTTTCAGTTTATTACAATTCTCGTATCTAATTTTTCAATCCATTAATTTCCGAGGCCTAATCGGATTAATATGGAGGATGACACGGTGGCACTCTAGCCATACTATCACTCTTTGACTTTCAAAGATTTTCTAAGATCCTGGAGCCTCTCATCACCGCTTTAGAAAATTGATATCCAAGCCTCAGAACAGGTAACTAAACTTAGGGTTCAGACCACTGATGGCTTACCTCAACACCATAAATTGTTTCTAGACTAAATTTCCCATGATGCTCAGCTAGCTTTTATACTAAAAGCTAGCTGAGCATCATGGGAAATGTAGTCCAGAAACAATTTATCTCTAGAATGTAAGCTCATTGAGCAGGGCCCTCCACCTCTATGTTCCTGTACGTCCAGTTGTCTGGTTACAATTACATGTCTGTTAGTCCACCCATTGTACAGCGCTACAGAATCTGATGGCGTTATGTAAATAATAGTGTCCAGGTTAGCCATCACTGACTTAGACTGTGCCCACAAGCCTATCCGGAGCGAGCACATTGAGGCCATTATGGTGGTGGTACCTTACTTGAAAGGACTACATTTTAATTTTCTGGCACCTCATCTGAGGCAAAACACTATTTCTCCCAACTTTACACAAGCGTTTAAATAGAAGGAGATATCAGGACAGAACTCAGGACAAAGTTCACATTGAAGTTCAGTTTGCAAAATCTAACTGTCCAAAAGAAAGGATACCTCAGTATTTTTTTAATTTATTTTTTAAATTGATGTGGTGCATCTGTCTGTTCTTTTGCCAACTTGGCTGAGGTTTGCTGAAAACCCCCAATGAAATTCATCACTGTGTCTTATACTTTTGAGACTACTGTTCTGTATATTGAACCTGGAAAAATTCCAAGCGTAACCTGTAAATTTGTTTAACTTCATAATATAGGTTGAAACATTTGGAAGTGAAATTTTATAAAGGTACATTCCTTAAAGAGAAGAAATTTGACACATACATTCTGGGACGATCCACTTCAGTCAAACTAAATATGTGTCGCATTTAATCATATCTGTGTACTAGAGGAACTGTCCCTAAAAGTGAGCAGTATGCGACTATAATAACACTTTAACGCACAAGCATCATGAAAAAAAAATTTGATCTGAGTAAATGAATCAAGAAAGAGAAAATAGGATAGGAAGAAAACAATAGTATGAAAAAAAAGAAGAATCCCACCGCCACTTGCCTACAATCTGAACCCCCTTCATTAAAACCCAATTCAATTCCTCAGGGAGGTTAGCCACAGACTCCATATACTCAAGTATGTATTTTTTATGAGATTTTTTTTTTAAGCTAGAGATTGGTAGTGCAGGACGGCCAAGAAGCGTATCAGCTGGGTGAAAACCAACTCCTTAGCTGGCTATAGAGGACACGATCTCACACTTGTCTCCAAAATAGTTATATGATTGGGGAGAGAATATGGAGTAAAGAACGTCATACGTCAGTGGTCTTTTTTATGCATGTGCATGGGGAAAATTGTCACTTCGGGGCTTCTATTGCAGCTGCTTAGTAGATAACTCCCTAATTCCCACGCTATTAATGAGTTATGTACCAAAAGGCTGAAAGACCTAAATTGGTCTTTCAGCCAAATTAACTAATACTAAGTAAAAATTAGTAGTAGTACATTTTGCCCCTACTCGCTATACCGCGAGTAGGGGCATGTCTAGTAAACAGCGAGCTTTTAAACTAAAGGGACCTTCCCCGGCCTCCACATGTAGACACAGACAATCTCATTAATTCACAGCCTCATAGACAAACAATCTCGCTGATATACATAAGCTCATTGACATAAAAACACAAGCTCACTCACTAGCAGGCGCACATACACACACAGCTTAATGTAGTGGTTCTGGTGGCTGTAGCCTGTCTCTGCAGGCTTTTCAATGTAGCCACTGACTTTTCAGAGAAAAGGCAGTGTTTACATTGCTTCCTAGTGACACCTTTAGTGACAGACACTCAGACGGGCACTAGAGGCGCTTCCTGTATCAGTACGGATTGGCTGAGATCATCAAGCTTGATGATCTCAGTCATAGAGCCAGGGCCAGTCGAAGGGAGACCAGCACGACGTTGGGGAAAAAAAAGTGAGTAAAAACACTATTTTAACACACACACCCCATGACACATACATATACCATGACATACACACACACACACACACACACACACACACCATGACACATACATATACCATGACAGACACACACACACACACACCCCATGACACATACATATACCATGACACACACCATGATACAGACACACACACAATGACAGACGCACCGTGACACAGACACACACACACACATACACACTTGTTGCTACCTTTGGGCAGACAGGTGTGCTGGTGGCTGCAGGGAGAGCTTGGATGGCGGCCGCCAGATGAGCTCTCCCTGCGGCCGCAGGTCACCCACATGTCTCCCCGGCTCCAGGTGCCGACGGCCCACCGGGAAATTTCCCGGTATCCCGGTGGGCCAGTCCGGTCCTGACTAGGGGTCCCCAAACCCCTAGTCACCTCCTCCCCTCCCCCTCCAAAAAGATTATCCCCCTACCTACTCCCTTCACCCTAAAAATAATAAGGGGGACCTTTAACTAAGTACCTGTAAAAAAAAAAAAAATAATAATAATAATAAAACTTACCATTCAATGTTTTCTTTGTTCTAAAATCTTTTTTTCAACCCCAACGACCACCCAGCGACGAAATGGGGAGGCGATCACAAAAGCCACAACAAGCTGCACCCAGGCACTCACAAGACATAGGGGCCTTACTACAGCGCACTGCAGGCTACAAAATGGCGGCCGACCAGGACCAGGAGACTGGCTCCACAGGGACAGAACAGCAGACACAAGAATGCAGAGCAGACAGGAGATCTGAATCCCCCAGCAGCCCACCAACAGAAAGGGATGACTCCGCCCCAGCCACTAAAAAGGATATCGGACTCTTGCTACAAGAAATTAAGCAGATGTTCGATGTTGATTTAAACCTAATGCACACAGAAACGCAGGCAGTGACAGCACAAGTACAGGCCTCTGAAGAGGACATACTAGACCTCAGACAAGAGGTAAAAAGCATGGGAGATACCCTGAAACACTTACAATTGGCGATCACAGTGCTCCAAAACACTCTGGACGCCATGGAAGACCGCAGTAGGCGCACACATATTAAGATCCGGGGAATCCCTGACACAGTCGGACCCTCAGAACTAACACTGTACCTGAGGAGGCTTACGGCAACTATCCTGCCACACACACATGCTAAAAAGCTGGAATTTGACAGCCACTTCTGCATAAACAAGGCCAACTGCGGAAAGGGAAAGTGGAGTACAGATGGCTGCTGCCGAGAACCTTGGCGGTCATCAGCGGAATGGAGTTCCTAAAACTCACCACACTCTGAGGCGCTCCTCCAAAAAACTGGGACTGACACAGAACACCTCAACGCCGGGCACAACAACAGCCCCTCACTCAGGGGACACAGGGAGAACTGTTCCATTCTTTCCCAGGGGCGACAGGAGGCAGCGACCTGAACACCACATAAAATGTATACCGCAAATTTCCATGCTCTGCTGTTTTCATCTCTAAGTTCACCCTACTACTCTCTCTACACCCCAAGTTTGACTAAGGCCACCCCCTACAAAGACCGAGATGTACACCCTTCCCCCCGTGGCCCCCTTTGGTTAGGGGTCGACACTACACACTGTACCACGCATAGCATACCCGACACACAACCTACACCAAAGCACTGACAGAAGCACATGGCCCACACCGAGGCATACACACCACCACAAAAGGGGATAAACGACATCTTAACTAACCACCTTATGCCTCCCCCAAACTGCCAAGGAAGGTGCTAATCAACCATTTACAAGACTCTACTACCGTACACACACTCGACATATTCACCCACACCAAGACCACCCTATGGGTACCAATAGCATGGGCACACTTGACCCACAAGAAAAAAGAAAATGTGCAGACGCATTTCCACTATGTTCTTCCTGACTACATAGGCACAAGCTAACTCCTTCGACCACTGAACAGAAAGACAAACACAACATAACTGCTACCTACTCTTAGTTCCTATCAATATGCACCTGTAAACGTATTGCCTAACTTTGAACAAAGCTATTAACCATGCCGATTGCCAATTTGTCTATGCTGATAAGGCGATGCAAGTATGTATGTCACATAACTGAATGCACCGAAAATAAAGAATTTAATTTTTTTTAAAAAGGCCAAATAAAAATCCATAACAGACGCATGTAAAAAAATAAAATAAAAAATCCATCTTCACCCAGCGAGGGCTCCGCACAGACTGAGCTCTGCAGGGAGGGGTAAGGCTTATAAAGCCTTGCCCCGCCCTGCAATTAGGCTCAGAGCACTCTGATTGGTGGGTTTAAGCCATCCAATCAGAGTGCTTTGACAGGTAAATGAAGAGACTGACAGTTAAGTCTCTACATTTACCTGTCACAGCACTCTGATTGGTTGGTTTGAAATCCACCAATCAGAGTGCTCTGTGTCATTTTACACAGCATGGGAAAGTCCTTTGGAATTGGGGAATTGGGTGTACTTGTCCATCTAGGGACAAATGACTTGGCTTGCAATGAGGTTTCAGAGGTTAAAGAAGTTTTTAGTGTTTTTGCCAATGATATACAGCAGGTTGATTCCACACTGTCATTCTCTGAAGTTCTGCCTGTGCATAACACTCAGAACGACAGGTGGATGTGTATTAGGGTCTTTAATTTGTGGCTTGGTGAATGGTGTCGGGAGCAAGGATTTGGCTTTATTTCTCATGGTAGCTCTGTTTGGAATGGAAATAGGCTGTACAAAAAAGATGGTTTGCATCTTTCTCAAAAGGGAACAAATTTTCTCAGTGAGCAGTTCAGAGGTTTTGCTAGGATGTATTTAAACTAGGAGGGGGGGCAAAAGGGTGATAAAACATCAATCCAATTGTCCCCCAAAACAAGGACAGAAGGTGCCTGTAGCAAGTGTGTTAAAAAATAAGCTTAGAGTCATGTCTACAAATGCTCGCAGTTTAGGGAAAAAGATCCATGAAGTTGAGGCAATAATGGCAACTGATAATGTAGATTTAGTCGTTGTTACTGAGACATGGTATAATGTGAAAAATGACTGGGACATAGCAATACCAGGGTACTCTTTATATAGAAAAGACAGGGAAGGCAAGAAAGGGGGAGGGGTGGCCCTGTATGTGAAGGATAGCATAAAATCTAGCCAAATAAAAGTTAGTGAGGCAAACATAGAGTCCGTTTGGGTTACGTTAGAATTTGGTAATCACACAGTAACTCGTGTAGGTGTGATTTATAGGCCTCCAGGACAAGAGTTAGATAATCTACTAGTTGACGAAATAGCTAAAATGACAATGAAGGGGGAAGTTATCATCATGGGTGACTTTAATCTTCCTGATGTAAATTGGAAAACAAAATTAGCTACTTGTGCCAGGAGCACACACATTCTAAACTCGCTACTGGGATTGTCTCTAAAACAAGTTGTTGAGGAGCCAACTCGTAAAGAGGCCATACTAGATTTAGTGTTAACAAGTGGAGATTTGGTATCAGATATTACTGTAGGTGAAAGTTTAGGATCCAGTGATCATCAGCAGGGCCGGACTGGCCCACCGGGATACCGGGAAATTTCCCAGTGGGCCGCGGCACCTGGGGCTGGGCTGACAGCCCCATTCAGAACTGATCAGGCTCCTGTGATCCTGGCCGGCCATGTGCAAGGTGTGCGGCCACACAGCACCCCACAGAAGCTGGGGGAGCCAGGCGGCCGGCAAAGCTCACACATGGCCGGCCGGGATCATTAAAAAATTATATCTTTCTTTTTTACAAATAATATTGAGGCGGGGCGGAGCTTAGTGTGCAAGGGGGCGGGGCTTAGCATGCGGCGGGGGCCCTGGCTAATGCAGCATGGGAAGCAAGAAGGAGTCCTTGCTTCCCTAACAACCAGCCTGCATGATCCTGATGAAAGTCCACAAGAGGAACTGAAACGTTGATCTTCTCTTAAATATGTCAATAAAAGTTATGTTTTAAGGAAATCCGAGAGTGCAGCCAACTATTTCAATTGGGTGTGTGTATATATGTGTATATATATATATATATATAAACACCCTACATAGCACAATGACTTATGGGGCTGGCAGAGATTTTTTTCCAGGGCTGCTTCGTATCCCCAGTCCGGCCCTGATCATCAGTCAGTGTGGTTTAATATAAGAACAGTGACTGAGTCACACCACACAAAAACAAAAGTTTTAGACTTTAGAAAAACAGACTTTTCTAAAATTAGAATATGTGTAGAGGAGTCATTATCAGACTGGAGCAATTTAAATAGAGTCCAAAAGAGATGGGATTATTTAAACGTTGCACTATTGAAGGCAACAGAAAATTGCATTAGGCTTGTCAGTAAAAGCAAAAAATTCAAGAAACCACTGTGGTACTCCGCAGATGTGGCCAAAATAGTTAAAAACTAAAAGTTAGCATTTAGGAATTATAAAAAAACCCAGAGTGAGGAAGACAAAATGATCTATAAGATTAGGCAGAAAGAAAGAGGCTAAGCAAGTTATAAGAGATTCCAAATCACACACAGAAGAGAAAATAGCACAGTCAGTAAAAAAAGGGGGATAAAACATTTTTTAGATACATAAATGAGAAAAGAAAAGTAAAACAAGGATTAGTTAGAATAAAAACAAAAGAAGGAAGGCATGTAGAAGAGGATAAAGGTCTAGCTGCATAGGCGTGCGCTGCCTATTGCATTAGGGTGTGCACCCTAAAGCACAAGCACACGCCGCATATATATATATATATATATATATATATATATATATATATATATATATATATATATATATATATATATATATATATACATCATCACACATACACACACTGTGCTGTAAAGCGTGAGGGGTGCTGTTGAAGCGCAGTGTGTGTGTGGCGTATGCTGGTGTGCTATGTGGTGAGGGTGTTTGCGGTGCGCGGCTTGTGAGGATGCTGTTAATGTACTGTGTGTGTGAGGGTGCTGTTGTGTGTGTGTGTGTATGCTTTGTGAGGTGCTGTTAATGTACTGTGTGTGAGGGTGCTGTTTGTGTGTGTGTGTGCTAAGCATGTGAGTGTGTGCGCGCTTGTGAGGTACTGTGTTTGAGGGTACTGTTAGTGTGCTGTGTGTGTGTGAGGGTGCTGTTTGTGTTTGTGAGGGTGCTGTATGTGTGTTGGTGCTGTGTATGTCTGTGGGTGCTGTGTATGGGTGTGTGCTGTGTATGTCTGTGGGTGCTGAATGTGTGTGGGTGCTGTGTATGTCTGTGGGTGCTGAATGTGTGTGGGTGCTGTATGTGTGTTGTATGTGAGTGGGTGGGTGATTATGGGATGGAGGTGGGGGTACATTATTTGCTATCCCCCCTCCCTTCTTACCTTTTGTAGGGAGGGGTGATCGTGCTGCTGATTCTATCCTTGGTGGTCCAGTGGAGAGTGAACTCTAGCCCCCTGTGGGGCTAGAGTTCACTCTCGCGAGATTTGAGCGTTGCCGTGGCAACGCTCATATCTCGCGAGAGGAACCCGGCGGAGCTGCCGGCAAGAGCTCCGCCGGTCCTCTCCTGCCTCCCTCCCTGCATGTGGGTCAGTGGGGAGGGAGGCAGAGAGCAGAGCCGGCGCTCGGATAGCGCCGGCTCTGCATGAGCCGACAGGGGAGATCCTGAGATCTCCCCTGCCGGTCTCAATACATAGGCGTGCCGCGGGGATTAGGGTGTGCCAAGGCACACCCGGCACACCCCGTGCCCAGGCCTATGTCTAGCTGACTGCCTCAATGAATATTTTTGTTCTGTATTTACAGATGAAAAGGAAGGAAAGGGGCCTAAGTTGAGAAAAAGGATAAATGAGTCATTTATTACACGTGAGTTTACAGAGGAAGAGGTTCTATTTCAACTGTCAAAAGTAAAGACAAATAAGTCAATGGGACCTGATGGAATCAGGGCCGTCTATAATATGAATAGGACCCTGGGCAAAGCATTTTCTTGGGCCCCCTGGGCCCTGTCCCTGCGCCCCCCTCCCCATTATGCCCAACCCGCAATCACACTGACAGATATACTGACACATACACACACAGACAGACATTAAAACATTCGCAGATACATACTGACACACACATACACTGACACACAAATATATACTGGCAAATATATTGACACACATTCAGACATACTGATACACACACAGACACACATACATAAAAACAGACACATACACTGACATACTGACCCACACATACACTGACAGAAATACTGAAACACATACACTGACAGGCGTATTGACATACACAGACATACTGACATACACACAGTATGTCTCTGTGTGTGTGTGTTAGTATGTCT